TCTAAAATAGCACCTTTCTTTAATAAGGATTTTCTAAAAAGGCAAGGCTATAGGCTTACCAAAATGTCCAGTTTTTGACCAAGAATTTTTTTATCCAAAACCTGGCTAAATATACTCTAAAAAAGCATTAAAATTGTTTGAATCAGTTGTCGACTCTTTTTGAAGTTGTTTTTGGTTCTAAAATAGCACCTTTCTTTAATAAGGATTTTCGTAAAAAAGGCAAGGCTATAGGCTTACCAAAATGTCCAGTTTTTGGCCAAGAATTTTTTCATCCAAAACTTGGCTAAATATACTCTAAATAAGCATTAAAATCGTTTGAATCAGTTGTCGACTCTTTTTGAGGTTGTTTTTGGTTCTAAAAAAGCACCTTTCTTTAATAAGGATTTTCGTAAAAAAGGCAAGGCTATAGGCTTACCAAAATGTCCAGTTTTTGGCCAAGAATTTTTTCATCCAAAACCTGGCTAAATATACTCTAAATAAGCGTTTAAATCAGTTGTCGACTCTTTTTCAGGTTGTTTTTGGTTCTAAAAAAGCACCTTTCTTTATTAAGTATTTTCGTAAAAAAGGCAAGGCTATAGGCTTACCAAAATGTCTGGTTTTTGGCCAAGAATTTTTTCATCCAAAACCTGGCTAAATATACTCTAAATAGGCAATAAAGTCGTTTAAATCAGTTCTCAACTCTTTTTTAGGTTTTTTTTTGGTTCTAAAATAGCAACTTTCTTTAATAAGGATTTTCTTAAAAAAGGCAAGGCTATAGGCTTACCAAAATGTCTGGTTTTTGGCCAAGAATTTTTTCATCCAAAACCTGGCTAAATATACTCTAAATAAGCATTAAAATCGTTTGAATCAGTTCTCAACTCTTTTTGAGGTTGTTTTTGGTTCTAAAATAGCACCTTTCTTCAATAAGGATTTTCGTAAAAAAGGCAAGGCTATAGGCTTACCAAAATGTCCAGTTTTTGGCCAAGAATTTTTTCATCCAAAACCTGGCTAGATATACTCGAAATAGGCAATAAAGTCGATTAAATCAGTTCTCAACATTTTTTTAGGTTGTTTTTGGTTCTAAAATAGCACCTTTCTTTAATAAGGATTTTCTTAAAAAAGGCAAGGCTATAGGCTTACCAAAATGTCTGGTTTTTGGCCAAGATTTTTTTCATCCAAAACCTGGCTAAATATACTCTAAATAGGCAATAAAGTCGATTAAATCAGTTCTCAACTCTTTTTTAGGTTGTTTTTGGTTCTAAAATAGCACCTTTCTTTAATAAGGATTTTCTTATAAAAGGCAAGGCTATAGGCTTACCAAAATGTCTGGTTTTTGGCCAAGATTTTTTTCATCCAAAACCTGGCTAAATATACTCGAAATAGGCAATAAAGTCGATTAAATCAGTTCTCAACTCTTTTTGAGGTTGTTTTTGGTTCTAAAATAGCACCTTTCTTCATTAAGAATTTTCGTAAAAAAGGCAAGGCTATAGGCTTACCAAAATGTCCAGTTTTTGGCCAAGAATTTTTTCATCCAAAACCTGGCTAAATATACTCTAAATAGGCAATAAAGTCGTTTAAATCAGTTCTCAACTTTTTTTAGGTTGTTTTTGGTTCTAAAAAAGCATCTTTCTTTAATAAGGATTTTCGTAAAAAAGGCAAGGCTATAGGCTTACCAAAATGTCTGGTTTTTGGCCAAGAACTTTTTCATCCAAAACCTGGCTAAATATACTCTAAATAGGCAATAAAGTCGTTTAAATCAGTTCTCAACTCTTTTTTAGTTTCTTTTGGTTCTAAAATAGCAACTTTCTTTAATAAGGATTTTCTTAAAAAAGGCAAGGCTATAGGCTTACCAAAATGTCTGGTTTTTGGCCAAGAATTTTTTCATCCAAAACCTGGCTAAATATACTCTAAATAAGCATTAAAATCGTTTGAATCAGTTGTCGACTCTTTTTGAGGTTGTTTTTGGTTCTAAAAAAGCACCTTTCTTTAATAAGGATTTTCGTAAAAAAGGCAAGGCTATATGCTTACCAAAATGTCCGGTTTTTGGCCAAGAATTTTTTCATCCAAAACTTGGCTAAATATACTCTAAATAGGCAATAAAGGCGTTTAAATCAGTTCTCAACTCTTTTTGAGGTTGTTTTTGGTTCTAAAATAGCACCTTTCTTTAATAAGCATTTTTGTAAAAAAGGCAAGGCTATAGGCTTACCTAAATGTGCAGTTTTTGGCCAAGAATTTTTAATCCAAAACCTACCTAAATATACTCTAAATAGGCAATAAAGTCGTTTAAATCAATTCTCAACTCTTTTTTAGGTTGTTTTTGGTTCTAAAATAGCATCTTTATTTAATAAGCATTTTTGTAAAAAAGGCAAGGCTATAGGCTTACCTAAATGTGCAGTTTTTGGCCAAGAATTTTTAATCCAAAACCTACCTAAATATACTCTAAATAGGCAATAAAGTCGTTTAAATCAGTTCTCAACTCTTTTTTAGGTTGTTTTTGGTTCTAAAATAGCATCTTTATTTAATAAGCATTTTTGTAAAAAAGGCAAGGCTATAGGCTTACCTAAATGTGCAGTTTTTGGCCAAGAATTTTTTCATCCAAAACCTGGCTAAATATACTCTAAATAGGCAATAAAGTCGTTTAAATCAGTTCTCAACTCTTTTTGAGGTTTTTTTTGGTTCTAAAATAGCATCTTTATTTAATAAGCATTTTTGTAAAAAAGGCAAGGCTATAGGCTTACCTAAATGTGCAGTTTTTGGCCAAGAATTTTTTCATCCAAAACCTGGCTAAATATACTCTAAATAGGCAATAAAGTCGTTTAAATCAGTTCTCAACTCTTTTTGAGGTTTTTTTTGGTTCTAAAATAGCACCTTTCTTTAATAAGCATTTTTGTAAAAAAGGCAAGGCTATAGGCTTACCTAAATGTCCAGTTTTTGGCCAAGAATTTTTTCATCTAAAACTTGGCTAAATATACTCTAAATAAGCATTAAAATCGTTTGAATCAGTTGTCGACTCTTTTTTAGGTTGTTTTTGGTTCTAAAAAAGCACTTTTCTTTAATAAGGATTTTCGTAAAAAAGGCAAGGCTATAGGCTTTCCAAAATATCCGGTTTTGGCCAAGAATTTTTGGTGAGCCTATTTTAGGATCTTTTTAGGATCTTCTTATTCAGTTTTTGTATACAAAAAACCTCTCCGATTTTTAATTTTTAAATTGTTAGAAAAATTTATATCTTATTATTACAATCGGTAAAGATATCTTATTATTACAAAAAATGTAAGCATCTTTCTGTCTTTTTTCGTTTCATCTTTTTTAGATTTAGTCCAGGTCGGCTCTTTAAAATGTTTGCTTTTTATCTAAAACAATTATTTAGATTATTAGGAAAACAGAACCTACCATTCAGTATCGTGATATTAATTGAAGTAACAGCACAAACCTTTGGTGATATCTTTGAAACCTTTAAAAAAAGAAAAAGATGACACTATCATTTGCCGCAGGGTCATGATAATCAAACAGACGTCTTGGATATAAAGCATGTTTTATGATCGTTTTGCATTTCTTTCACTACAAACTCACTTTCGAAAGCAATGCAGAGACTCTTCTTTGGGTTATACGTTGGGCACACTTACTTATAAAACACTTTTTTGAGTCAATTAACTAAGAAATTTTTGAAGACCTTATTTGCTTTGCTTTGAATATAAATCAAAATGATTTACTACTTAAAGCAATGCAGACTCTCCTTTCGGTTATACGTTGGGCACACTTATTTTCAACGCCTTTTTGATTCAATTAAATAATAACTTTTTGAAGTGTTTTATTACTTGAGCGTGGGCTTGGCCTGTTTTTGGTTCAAAATTAAAGGTTCCGAAGAAAAGGCAAACCATTAAACAATCTTCTTATTAAATTTGAACAGTTGGTAAAGAAGCGGTAATTTAATCAAAATTGTTGGAGAAACATCGGTTCTACTGACTTTTATCAAAATTAAACTTTCTTCTCTTGTCTTCCTCGTTTTGCCCGTTTTTTAAAGCTGCTACGCCTGTCGCTTGAATAAGCAAAAATATATATTTATGTATTTTTATTTCTGTTTAATTTTGCAGTTTCGCTGCTGCTTACTTTTTCACATTTTCATTAACCTATGAAGAACTCAAACAGGCCACAGAGCTAAAGTACTTTTGAACAAACTCTACCAAATGCGTTGATCCTTAGTGAAGTATTCAAAGTGTTTTAGGCATCTATAAATGCTTTCTAAGTATAATATGGGAACGAGAGTGCACATCAAGAGTAAAATATTATCTTGGTAATTACATGGGTAATTATCGCTGTAATTAAAATATCATCGTGGTAATTAAAAGATATTTTACAAAATTGTATGTCATATCTCTTAGTAGTGAATATGTCAAGCAATGTTTTACATTATCTATATTAAGATATTATGTGAAGGGAGAATTCCTTTCTAGAAAAACTTGGATAAATAATAACATGCATTACTTACATATTCTTCAATATCAAGGTTACAAAATTTTGCCTCAGGGTTACAAACATACCTGATTCTTACCATTGTCATTTGATTCTGCAATGTATGAATGAAAACAATTCTATATTGGCACCGTTTTCTCCATCTACAGTGTCTAATCTAAAGTATTGTTGACCAAAAAATTATTTACCAAACTGGAGAACCCTTAATTGTGAAAAAAGATAAGTCTAGGGGTGAAAATTCAGATGTATAAAAAAAAAGTTCGTGTTATTTTCTAAGGTTAAAGAAAGATAACCGAGTTTCAATTATTTTGAGAGACAGATGTCGACTCCAAATTATAATTTTAATAACTGCTAAATAACCAACTGATCAAACTTAATAAGTAAAATGTTGAAAATTTCCCTTTCTTGTTTATCGGTTGCAGTTTAAGTATATGTTTAGCTGAGTCAACGTCAAGGAAACATCTGCAGATAAAAGAGAGAATTCAGTTGGAAAACTCACTCACCGTCGAGGACATCAAGAAGAAAGATTGAAAAGTTGCTCTCGTTCTATTCAAGTTTTGGTAAGAAACTTTTGTCATATCTTTTTATTTGTTCATCATGCTCTAGAGACATTCAAACAGGCGATCTTTTGCTTCACCTATAATTTCTGTCATGCTTTTTTACTTCTGAGTTGTTTGCTACATGCAATACATGTTTCATATTTTGCCTTATGAAAGCAAATAACTTTGTTTTAGACAAAATGAAGACAATACTGATTCTCTGTGCCGTTGCCTTCATGTCGGTAAGAATGAAGTGTTTTCTTCTTACATCTGGATTCAGAATAGTAAAATGTTACCCGAAGTAGCAATTTGCTTCAATTAAATGATGCTAATGGAGTCGTGTTCATTTAAGGCAATGTAATTAAGCTAAACATACAGATCCGACTCGTGTTTGGTTAACTGTCACATATTTAGATAATGTTATTTCAAGAGCCCAGAAAAGTTATGGAAGAAACAAAGAATGATAAATTCTATAGATTTAAGTGCTATTCGTTGAAATGATGTCATTAACTGGCCTATTAACAATGTAGCTATCCTAGTTCTCTATTGACAGCTAGATGTATCTGGTGAGAGTAGTTTCTCTTGGAAGTAAAACAAAATGTTGTTTTCATAGGCCACTGGCTGGGAAATCCAGTTTGAAGAGGGTGATAAGGAGTACAAAGAACGCATTGAGGTTGATGTTGAGAAAAATGTGGAAACATTCGATGTGCCAGAACATAATGGTCTTAATCATTCTGTGATACTGAATGATTTCAACGTTGTAAGTTATTCGACTTTATATCTTTTGACAATATGTAAAGCGTTCATAATCATGTTACACACCTAATCATACCCGTAGATATCAGGGAAAAGGAACTGGGCAGATTTGTTTGCCTTTATCGCCATTTTCTAGAACAGGCGACCCAACGACGGTTTAGGCAGAAAAGAAAAGGGAATGGTGCTAGTTTTTCTGTTGCCCCCGCTGGAATGGCAGTAACAGATCATTATCTTGATTCGGTCGATTGAAAACTGAAAAACATCAGTTTATCAATGCCTTTACTTTTGATTTCTTCGAAAGGTCAATTGCAGAATAATTTTATACATATAGTATCGTTACAGGGTTTATCAGCGATTAAAATTGCCGCAGTTGGGAAATGCTACATATCGAAGATTGACAAGGACGAGTATCAATCTCCCAAGGAAATGGAAAAGAGTCTTCAACAGGTATTTTCAGTCCTCTTAGTACTACATCATACATAACTGTTTTCTTTCTGATAAATTCTGCTGGTGAAAATCGTGCATTCTAAACAGACGTCTATTTGAAATATAGTTAACATGTTGTGATGCCAAAAAGGTCAACGATTAAAAATGTCTTGAGAAACATGCTTGTTAACCTATCTTTTCAAGCAATCGATTCTTTTCCAAGGTCTTTCTCACTTATGCTACTCTTCCTATCATAATTTTCCAATTCATTTTAAATCGGGTCACCAGAGCGAACCTTTCATCGTTAGTTCCACTTAATGCAAATAAATGGACATTCTTGCATATGAACAAAACTGTTGTAGTACAATTTTGCATGAATCAAGTCATTTTGCATGAATCAAGTCATTTTGCGTGAATCAAGTCATTTTGCGTGAATCGAGTCATTTTGCGTGAATCAAGTCATTTTGCGTGAATCAAGATATCAGGTTGTCTGTCGTATTGGCTTTTGTTTCCTTTAGTTTGGAGGGCGATTTCCCACTGACAAGTACGAGGTAAAAAAGGACAAGATGGTGGAAGTTAGAGAAATGGAAAAGGAAGAGGTTGGAGAAAAGATTGCTGCTTTCTGTCAAGGGTACAAGATGATCCTCACAGAAGAGGAAGACGACGAAACGTTTCAAGCAAAAATGAAATCTCTATTGGAAGGTAGGCTGAAGAAACTTTTGACGCGCGTTTTTCAATTCCTAAAATCGTAGATACGTATCATCGAAATAACGTAAAAGCTCTATCAAGCCCCCCTCTTTTAAGCCCCCCTATTTCAAACCCCCCTCTCTTAAGCTCCCTCTCATTTAATCCCTTATCTCTATTAAGCTCTCTTTTCTATTAAGCCTCCTCGCTATTAAACCCCCCTTATCGAGCAAAAATTTAAAATAAGTCCCCCTCTCTAACAAATCCTCCCTCTTTGGTCCCTGATGTCAAGCAACGTAAAAATGCGCATTGAGTGGTTCTTTTAACAGGTGGGATGATGATAAAATCATGTCTATTAAATACGGTCCATGTAAAAATTTCCTTGTGTGACTTAAAAGTCTAGAGGAAACTAATATTTATTCTTTAGAAGAAATCCCAGAGGATGAAATTTGTTTGGAAGATGTCTCAGGTTTATCAATTGGTCCTGGTGACTCTTATGAAGATTAAGACATATTAATTGATTGGCTTTGATAAACCTTTTGAAGCTGCTTGTAAAGTTTTTTGAGAACATTTTTACGGCATTCTTATAGCAAAGGAACGCATAAGGGAAATTTATATAACCTTTTTTTTGAATTTTGATTAAGCTCACCCCTCTCTTAGAACCCTCCTCTATTTTAAGCCCACCTTTTCGGACTTAAAAAATAGAAGCGCTTCCCCTCCCCAGGGTCAATAGAGCATTTATGGCATTTCATCGCTGTTTATGGGACAATGCTTGCTGCACGGTGAACAATGTTTACAAAGGCTTACATTAGCTTCTCAATAAAGAAGCAACCAGAAAAACGTCCTGGAGGCAGTAATCCCGTTTCAAATGCAAGCATCGACCTGAGATGGACATCTGAAACGCAATGAACTTCACGCTACAATGCAATTTTTCTGCCCCTCCGTAAAAGGACAAGGCGTATCAGTCACTAAGAAGATTGTTTTGAATGGTGCTAGGTCTTAAAATCAATTTTTACGATTTTATACAGGTAAAATCTTTTATTGAATTGTAGCAGCTTCGTCGGGACGAAGCAAAAGACAGCTCAATGAGCTAACATTGAACAGAAACATCTGTAATGGAGGTTGGCAAGCAGCAATTGCAACATTTCTTCTATGCCCGTACCCAGTTGACATTGTGACAAGATACCGGAAAACGCATTGTAATTATGTTGTCAAATGCATAGGAAGTGGATCAGTCTGGAATTGCAATGGGGAACACATTATTAAGGAGACGTCCTACTGTGTGGACATCGTGTGTCGTTGAAACAGTGAGAACGCAATACACTGTAACAGTAGTATTTCACAGTAGTTTTAACCCTTAAACATTATATTACTTTCTGAATGCATTAATATGTCTCTTTTTATCTCAGTTATCTGCATATGGTCTTACTGGCAAACATAAATGAACAATCGTTGAGAGAAATGTATTAGGATAGGAAATATAAAAAGGCCAAACTTATTATAGAGTGTTTTGTGTCCCATGTTTGCAAGTCTAAATAAAAGCTTCTGACAAGAAAAAACTAATAAGTTAACTCTAGGCTGTTTGAACTGGCACTGAATTTCCGATACCTACACAGATATACCTACAGGTACTAGCATCCCATTTTTTCGATCCGTTTCTATTCTGAACTTTTAACTTTCGGCATTATAGCAGTTTGTTAAATGCTTTGATTGGAAAAGGATTGGAAAAGTATAATGGCGACATGTTTCGGATTATTGGTAAAGCCCGATCGTCGTTCCACCTAGCAGTTTTAGAATCTATCTACATAAGCAGGAAAAAACCGCTACTGTGTAGACAAAAGGAGTTCGTTTTCACCTTAGGACTCCACTGATAACATTCTAATAGGCAAGCGGCACTGATTGGTCAACCTATACAGTCATGTGCTCGTGTTTCTGATTGGCCTATTTCGATCCACAACTGGGTATATATATTTCTTAGCGTACAGTTTTCGATCTATGTTCTGACGTTTTAAACTCTGAAGAGTGTCAGACAAAAAGCTTTAGTTTACTAAATGTTTGCATTTTTCAAAGCCATACTCTGTTGATTATAGTTTTATTATTGTGTTGATGTATTGCCTCTTACATATGCTATGAATCATGCCTGTCTAAAACCTGTTTGTTGCTCGTAAACATTTAGCTTTGAAAAAAACTCGGACAAAATCCCCAACTTACCATCCATCTTTTCTTTATGGTTACCACTCTCATAAAAAATATCAATTTTCGAAATGTGACGCATTGCTCACAGACTATCGATAAGAATTCACAAGGAAGAAGCCTGGACAGCGCACTTCTAATTTAGAAGATTCTGGCCATGCACGAGAACGGTGAAAGCATAATATATGCAAGGTCGTTAAATATGATAAATATGCCATATGCTTAATATTAGCACAGTATGCTTAATCACTGGGGATGTCAAAACATGGAAGATCCTTAACCAAGGTAAAATAAACAAGATAGTGGCAAAATATGGAATAACTTTAACAGAACTTGATTGTGTCTTTATTTAGCAAAACAAAAGAAATATATTAAACTTTATAACACAATGTATTGTTTATAAAATGCATGTGCCAGCGGTAACAGAAGGCACCGGGCTCTGGGGAGGATAAAAGAAAAATGTTAAGGCCACGCCCTTTTTGCCGCCAGAAAATGCCCTTTTACCAAAACCTGGAAAAAACGCCAATGACTGAATTTTTGTTACGTGAAGACAGTTTCAAAGTCATAGGTATGTTGCCAAAATATTACCCCTCCCCTAACATTTTCTCATCGAATTTAGACGAAATACAAAATTGGTCCGGCTGAGAACTGGGGGGAGGGGGCGTGCCCCCAGTCCCTCCCATGACGCCGCTACTGTGTGCCAGTATCATCTGGTTCCATTTGTACTGTAGTGTATTTAAGTATATTTGTCAATTAAAAAACTTGAAACTTGAAAGACAAGGAGCAAAATTAAAGAAGGAGTAGCTTGACCAAGAAAAGCAAAATATCTCTATATGTTGATCGCACATTGCCGCGATATTCCAAAAACTTCCACACCAAACTTCTTAACACGATTGACATCTGATAACTCATCTTCAAAAATAGTTCAAAGAAATTTAGGAACCCAAATTCGCCACCCGAAACCAAGCACCTAAATACAGCATCCAGCATTTATTATATAGCTTTTTGTAACTGGATTAAGAACCAGGAGATGCAAGCCAGATATGAGCAACAGCAAAATCAATTTTTATCTCCTTTCTATTTCTTCGAAAAGCTAAATAACTCTTCTTTCAAACGAAAACACAATTACTATGGCAATAAATTAATAACGATAAATTCATAATCATGTACCATATTATAATTAATTGGATTTACTATATAATCTATGTATATCATTCAATAATTATAGCACGTTCTTTGATAATGCTAACAAAAAGATATTCTAAATTTTAACCTTTTAAAGACCCTTTTAAAACTAATTAGAGGAGTTTTACATTATCAACATTGAGGAAAGTTGAAATTAAAATTAACTTCAACTTCTTTATTTTCGGCTATTCGAAAAACGACAGAATTGTTGTCAAACATCTTATTTCCATTCTCTAATTTTTTCTTAAATTCTGAACATCAAAATAGCATTCAAGGATTAGTCTAGTATTTCAAAAGGCAACCAATATTCACGTTAAATCTTTCTTCCCCACCCAACATTCACTGCTACTACCACATTTAGCTACAATCTTTCTAATAAGAGCTAATTTGTACAAAAGTTTACAATTTTATTGCCATCTGGAATCTAAGATAAATTTAATAACATTATTTCATAAACTGACGAATTCTTCAAAAAACTTGTTTCGCTTGCCAGCATTTATTCATAAAGTACAATTTTTGAACAGCATAATACCTACTGAGTTAAGTTCCAAAACATTCATTCACTAATACATATCTTAAATGTCTAATAAATAATTTCTGAATCGAGAGTCAGAAAAATGACACAGACCCACACTTTTGAAATACCCGAAACAGATTGTTTGTAAGATTCAAAGCTAATTATTCAAAACCGAATTCCTGGAATTTATAGTGCACTTCTTGGAATTTTGTGAGTTGCGGACATTGTTAGAAATTCATCAACCAATAATGAGAGAACTAGCAAGAGTTCAAATACTTTGTCTATAACTGCAAAAAATACATCTATTGTCGTTGTAGAAAATTTTCTGTAGTTGTAGAGAACCATTATGCTAAAATCATTTTTACCTTTTTTACTGCTTTTTCCTCTTTGCGGATTTTTCTTCCATTAATTCCTTCCGCCTTTCTATCTCATCTTCAAGTTTTGCAATGCGAGCACTACAGCGAAAAGAAAAGGTTCAAAAAGTGATAACACAAGAGCGAAACACGAAACTATGTGAAATTGCAGATTGGTGCATTGATTATTAAACTTTTTAAACCTATAAAATTAAATGATGATAGACCTTAGTCATATTCTGAAGCATAGGTGAGTTTGATTTCATTAATAACTTTATCCATTACTGTTACGTCTTTAGTTGAATTACGTAATTTTTGTCATCACCCTAGGAGCTATTAAGTACATGCTGTAATCTGTGTCAAAATGAAGAACAAAGAGTTTTTCTCTTTTGGTGATGAAGACATAATGAAGAACAAAGAGTTTTTCTGTAGACAAGCAGCACTAATTGGGCAACCTTAACAGCAATGTATTTGCATTGATAAATGGCCTATTTCGATTCACAACTGGGTTCCTAGCTTATAATTTTGATCAATATGCTGATGTTTCATACTATATAAAGTCCAGACAAAAAAGCGCAAGTATGCTTTGAATTGTTTGCTTTTCAAGGCCATTTTTAAAAGTACATCCCAAAAATGAAAAAGAATACATGATATAAACATAACAGATATTGCATCATCCTTTGACATCAGTTGCAGCATCCGAGAGATGATAACACAGGCCTCGTCACTCAGCAGTTTTTCTAATCCCCAAAAACAGAGCAATCAGCTCATCAATGAGGTGTCACGTTAAATATGATTCTGATCAGAAAACATTATTCGGAAAAAAGATGCTTTGTTCGATTTAATTGAAATCACTTTGGATTGCATAAATTAACTAGCATAATATCGAGGAGCAACTTGAGAAAGGGATGTATCTATTGGCAAATCTCTTGATATTTCAAATACCTAATTTCAAATACCTAAAACTGGTAATAAATGCTCGGCATAACAACATACGAATTGTAATAAAGTTTCAGACCTTCTTGCTTCTTCTGCAGATATTTGCCGAAAATTCGATTCCATGTCTCGAAGATCATCTTCTTCGTCTAAATATCTTTAAACAAAATGGACAGAAAACAGTAAGCTGACGGAATGAAACAAATCTGGCAGGAATAAAAATGGTGGATGAATGGAAAATGGTGCGATTTCCGTTAATTCCATCCCAACACTAATTAATTGTCTGATTAACTAATGCTGCACGTAGTTAAATTATTCAATCAAATGACGGCAGCCAAAAACATTATGGGCTGCACACATGCTTAACGAAACTAGGAGGAGCAACAATACGTCCCAAGAGACCCGTTGTTCAGTCAGTTAGACGGGTGTTCTGTTTGAACGCTGAAAAGGTGATAATACAAAGGAAATTGCTCTATTTCACTAATGAAAATGCAGAGAGTCTTACCGTCTCCGATCATAGCCGAAGATGCTTCGTATATGTCTAGAATAATCCATCGAGTCCCCTTCATCGTCGATAAAATCATCCATTTCATCATCATAATCATCATCACCATAATTATAGCCATCATCAGAATCATGACCTTGTGACAAGCCACCTTGCATTTTCTTCCTTAACAAATTGCGCTTCCTTTCCAGTTCTTGTCGTTCCATTTCTAGTTCTTCGTCTATTGAAAATACTTTTCTTCTTTTTATAGCAGCCTCTGGTCTAGGAAATTTTGCCAAACCATTAACTGAAGATCTACCATCCCTTCCACCTTTTATCATATTATTATTTTGTGGGTAATTACTTCTAACATCGATCGTCTGCGTAAAAACTTTGCCTTTTGGCTTGGGTATATCTTTTTGCCGTTCAATTTTTGCAATTACAGGATCTGGTTTCCCAACAGTCCCTTTATGTGGTTTAACTTTTCTACTAGGATTGTCTTTTGATGAGCTTTGACCTGGATCTGTTTTCGGTGATATCTTTATCGGATCCGCAATCTCTTTTTTCAAAGTTGGTTGTTTGTCCTTCTGTTGCTTTGCGACATTCATCAACTCTGTAAAGCTTAATGAACCCCCAGCTTTCTTCCGACCAATATCCTTGCCCTTTGTGAATGACTTCCTTAAATTGTCATCAGAAGCTGTTGTTGACCCTGACCATTCAAAACTGGACTCAGTCCCTTTTCTCCGCCTATGCTGCTTTATGACAGGTTTTTCGGATGTCACCAAAGATAGATTGCACTCAGACTTGCCAGGAATAGAAGGCACAGACTTAACAGTGCTTCCACTTTGTTCAAATTTATTACTTTTCTGGATACCTCCCTTTTTAGGGATCTGAAAACTTTCTTTCGACTTTTGTTCCTGCAAACCAGGACCCTTTTTTTGTGACGTCATCCTTTTATCAGATAAGCTTGATATTCTTCCAGATTTCATAGAGTCATGAACAACTTTTCTTTCAGAAATGCTACTGTTTTGTTTTGATGATTTTTTCTTTCCAAGACTTGACTCTAACCTTGCCTCTACCCTTTTCCTCCTCTCTGCCTCCATTGCAGCTACAAAATTGAGACAACAAATTGAGATAACAAAATTCTAAAATAGATCATGATGTAAGATACTCAAAAAGACAAATCATAAATGGAGTAGATGAAATTTGAAGCAATAACATGATAGAGTCTAACCAGTCAAAAATAGTTTATGGGTTTCATTAGAAGCCGGCAAGGAGTGAAAGTCTACTTTTTACTCAGCAAACCTTTGTTGCCTACTTAAACTAAAAAACACCTACATTTAAAGGCGAGCCTTCTTATTAAAAATTTGATGAAAACCCTGGTAGTTAATGATACTATATCATTGTCAAAAAGTGCATCTAGATTACTGGGGGCAGGTGAAAGCCAGTCGGCAAAAAGACCCTGGTACATATAAACGCACCTTGTATTGTAAAATACAAAAGTATGAGCAAAACAAACAAAACTTTTTAAGAATTAAAATCATGTTGTCCATAGTTATGTTACCGAAAATATAAAAAAATTGTTCATAACTCTTCTATTCATAAGTTCTATTCATAACTGATTCCCAGAATTAGGTCTTTTTATTATTCTTTAAAAAGTGCATGTGAAACTGGGTATCATTTTACTGGGGATTGCTATTTGTAAAATTGTTTTGCCTCTCTGAGACACAAATCTACAGAGTTTGCACCTTGTTCACTAAAATGCACATATAGGTGAAATATCTCTGATATCTCTAGAGTATTTTGAAAGGAACATTTTCCACAAGGTGGCATGTTGACCAGAGCTTTCACCCCCAGTTACTGAGAATTGAACCAGTAAAATCCATTATCTATATTGTCATAACTCAATTACCATAGAGAAAGGATTCCTTTTGCACTAAATCCTACACAAAAATAGGCCAGAATAAAATTAGGTTTAGTAAAGCAATGTTTGGTGTCCTGTTTGTACATCAAGCCCCTCTAGTCATACCCAAAGTCCTGGCTTCTAAAATGTTTAAACTTTTACTAAACATGATATAAGTCTAAACATGATAATTTCAGCAGACGGTCAGAATAAATACTGGCCTGGTAGCTGTCAGGCAGAGTTCAATGATAATTACCTTTTCTTTCTTCTTCCATCTTCTTCTTTTTGGCCATAAAAGATTTTACTGCTGTATCAGATACCATGGACGCTTTAGAATTCTTATTCTTTTCCAGTAAGTCTCTTTTAAACTAAAACAAAGGGGAAGCAATTTTTACAAATTTATTCTCAATGAGTATAAAAATAATGAATAAATATACTCATGCATTAAAAATAGATTAGACTTGGCTGGTATACAAATTATAATGTCTGGAATTTCACTTGAAAGTAGCAAATCACTTTTAATTGTACACAGTTGACACATATTGGTATCGCAAAGATGAATCTTGATATTATTTAACTTCCTTGGCATCCATAAGCATAGAAAAACAGAATTAGAAAAGGAAATTAACTTGCAAGAAAATAATATCCAGAAAAATAACTTCAGAGAATCCTATGTTGTTTGCCAAATATTTCAAGATTGCCTTATGATATTATAATAGTAAAAACACTTTTCTAGCAGTACAAGATTCAAAAATTAATTATGATAACACCATCGGTGGCACATCCATGTACGGTAACTGTGTGAAATGTGCTCAAATGTGTTATAGGAAAGTTTCAAACCTTTTTCTGAGCAAATGACTGGTTGTCTTTTGCAAGGCTGAGAAGGTCTTTGAAATCCATTTTTGAACAAAACTATTCTGCTCTGCTGCTCTCAAAAGCTGATAAAAGAACGAAATAGCTTATGATATGCAGAAGCAAAATTTATAAGTATATGTTTGGAATTATAGGAAGAGGATTACAAAAAGCATCTTGATACGGTATTCTGATTGAATCTGTTCAATGAGTGGGGATCATTTGTTAACAGTTTTAGATTGATTCTGTGCACTTTTACACAACTTTAGCCATCTGTCCCCTACTGTGCTCAATTCTATTTTAACAGGTGTGAAATTCATACACCATTGAGCTTGATCGATAATTAAATGATTTAAACCATTCAGAGAAAACTTTGATGCCAGAGCTTTTGAGCCAAATGGCTGTGTTTTCATTGAAGTGAAGCTGTGGCTAGAAAATTTCTTTCCCTGTTTGGTTTGTGTGACAGATATGTCAACAGCAAAAGAAATGCTTCCATTATCATCATTCAATTCCAGTAATCAAATCTTCTGGCCATTTCTGATAGCTTTATGCAGTGGCAGAAATTATGGGGGTTTGACAATCAGCCATGTCATAAGAAAATTTGGGCTTTCGTCAGATAATTGACAACCGTTTAAGGTGTCAAAATTGCTCCAAAAAATCGTTCTGAAAAGGAATTTAAAGCTAATTTAAGGGGTGTGATTGCCAAATTTTCTGCGTGATCTGCGTTTCCCCACATTACCCTAGGGGCCTCTATAATTTTGCTGTAATCTTTTTGCAAAATTTGAACATAGCATAGCTGATAAAATATAAGTAAGTACTAAATAATCAATCAAACAATATATGGCCAAAATCAAAACTGCTTGCGAATTGTTTCAAATTTGTGAAAATTAGCCAAAATTTCCATTGGATTCTTCCGAATAAAAGTTATTTTCAAACGTATTTCCCACTGACGATAAATGAACGTACAACTTGTCAAAATTGTAATTGGTCAACCTCTTGTATCATCAATTGTCTTAGATGAGATATCGATCTTGATATAAAAAATCACAAATGGATTGTTCTTCTTGCTACTTAATTATGGCTTGGTCAGCAAAGATTTCTAAAGGGTCTCGTCAAAAATAATCTATTTTTATCAGAATGTGCAGTTCCTTTAAAATTAGACAAGATTCAAGAAGTTATCTTGTTGGAAAATTGTAGGCCTGGGCCCCCCAAATGAAAGCCTGAATTTCTGCCACTGGCTTTATGGTCCCAGTTTCAAATGTTGTCCACTACTGCAGCTAGGCCAGCCAAAATGAGCAGGGTAATCCATTAAGACAGGAAGGCCAATTGTTTATATTGGCCGGCGATTAAGGGGGATGGACTGCATTTAGGCAATGAGGCAAAGCAATACACAGAAAAAATACAACAAATACAGACTTGGGTTATAGTAAAACGAAATATTTGATTGAAAAGCTATGGCAGCAAGTTGAATGCAATTGTTAAGGGTTCTTAACTGAAAATTTTGCATAATTCAGCAAAAATCTTATTTGAATAAGCAGTGGAGTGGAGTGACTATAAGCAAATTCAACTATAAAAACTTCTCCACCAAGAGGAAATACATTTTGCCTATATGACAGGCTGTAATTTAGATTATTTTTTGCTTTACAGTCATTAAAAAGGGAAATGATTAACTTTTAATGAAACGCCTTTTTCCTTTAACAATCATTCTTTTATGAAAAGATCATAGAAATGTTAAATAATGTTAAATACAATGAAAAACATTGGCAACAGGTAATGAAAAACAGATCCCATCATTTGAAAAGTTATACTTCCCATCCACATTATCAGACTGGCACTATTAGCATGTAATTAAACTGAATGCCAATTTCTATGTTTGGAGAGAAAATATTAACAGACATGGATCTGTTTAGAATTTTAGAGGTCTTTAGTCTTACAATATTGTCTATGGACTCAAAGCAGTTTTTGGCACTGAAATCTTTTGCGTCATCGACCTCATTACCTGAAGCCATTTCAAGCCATCTGGTGTTCAGGGTGAAAGGACTATCTGTTACATCCTCAATAACCAAGCAACCAAAACAGGCATTTAAATACACAGTTAGTTCGGAAAACCTCTTAACTGTGATACGATTAACAAGTTTTTTAAGTGAGTCTGAATTTCGCTTACAAAATCTGAATTTGTAAGCGAAGTCCAGACGACGGTGAGGACACGAGCAACAAAAAGATTAAAAAACAAAAGTTTCTTTTTCAGTTTAAAATCTACGCTATGGTTCGTAAATATTAGATAAAAATCATAAACAAGCCCGTTAAGAATCTCTTCTGCATGCGAATGGTTCATTAATGATTTTTGTTGGCAAGTAAAATACGAAAGTATTCTCTCCGTTCGTTTAGCAAACAAACAAGCGACTGAAACAACACTTTCGGCTAGTATTACGTCAGTGGATTGCAGCAATTAATCGTTTTCTGTTTTGAATATAACTAAGCAACGAACCAAGAAATGATGACAATACGCGATAAAAATGGCTTGGTTCTTCGGCAATGTTATTGTCCAATTTTTCTCGCCAAACAGCCTTGGTCGATAAATCTGACAAACAAGTGAAGCTTGAGATCAATTTTAAAGTTGCCTTACTTCATACCTTAATTAGTATATTTCAGAACTTGCTGCTGTCCTTTGGTTTTTCAGTTACAGCGAAATGAGAGCAAATCTTCCTCACGCTGAATGGAATGAACGAGAAAATGGAATAAAAAATATTGTCAGTCATTTATAAGCCTCGTTTCCATCACGCCTCTGCGGAAAGATCACTGGGAAAGATATCCAGCATAGGGGAAAAATGCATGACGCTGGTCATGGCGGCACGGAATCGCGGGCGCAAATACTCCACATGGCTTCAACATATGCAGTAAAAACTTCAAAGTCAAAGTATAAAAGTTAATTGTTTTCGGAAATCTAGTAGACATACTACTGGATGAAACTTATAAAACAGAAATGCTTAATCAAGGTATATCAAGAAAGAACTTTTAATCATTATTTCAAAACAACAAACAAAATTGCAGGTAAATTTCGAAATATCTACATTTATATAAAATTACAATATTGAGATGAAACAATGTCGCAATAAAAGGGTAACTTACAGAAAAATCTAGATTTTGCTACAAAACGAAACTATTGCCAAAGTAATTGCCAAACAACAAGGTTTTTGCTGGTTCTTATCATTTGTTGTGAATGTATTGCCTTTTCATGGAAAATGTTAGAAACTGACCGCTACTTTTGATTATTATGAATGTGAATGTGACTTCCTGATCGATAAGGAATATGAAAGAGTTAAATTGTCGCGAGAAATAGTGTAGCCTAGAGAAAAATCTAGATTTTGCTACAAAACGAAACTATTGCCAGAGTAATTGCCAAACAACAAGGTTTTTGCTGGTTCTTATCATTTGTTGTGAATGTATTGCCTTTTCATGGAAAATGTTAGAAACTGACCGCTACTTTTGATTATTATGAATGTGAATGTGACTTCCTGATCGATAAGGAATATGAAAGAGTTAAATTGTCGCGAGAAATAGTGTAGCCTAGAGAAAAATCTTGATTTTGCTACAAAACGAAACTATTGCCAAAGTAATTGCCAAACAACAAGGTTTTTGCTGGTTCTTATCATTTGTTGTGAATGTATTGCCTTTTCAAGGAAAATGGAAGAAACTGGCCGCTACTTTTGATTATTATGAATGTGACTTCGTGATCGATAAGGAATATGAAAAGGCTGAATTGCCGCGAGAAAAAGTGTAACCTACAGAAAAATATAGATCTTGCTACAAAACGAAACTATTGCCAAAGTAATTGCCAAGCATCAAGGTTTTCCCTGGTTATTATCATTTCTTTTGATTGTATTGCCTTTTCATGTAAAAAGGAGGAAAGTTGCCATTAATTTTGAACATGAACGATCACGAAGTCACATTTATGACCAAAAGTAACGGCAACTTCCCTCCTTTTTCCATGAATAGGCAATACAATCAAAAGAAATGATAATAACTAGCGAAAACCTCGATGCTTGGCAATTACTTTGGCAATAGTTTCGTTTTGTAGCAAGATCTATATTTTTCTGTAGGTAACCCTTTTTCTCGCGACAATTCACCCTTTTCATATTCCTTATCGATCAGGAAGTCACATTCATAATAATCAAAAGTAGCGGTCAGTTTCTTCCATTTTACATGAAAAGGCAATACATTCAAAAGAAACGATAATAACCAGCAAAAACCTTGATGTTCGGCAATTACTTTGGCAATAGTTTCTTTTTGTAGCAAAAGCTAGATTTTTCTGTAGGTTACAATTTTTCTCGCGACAATTTCTTTAAAATAATTTTTTTTTCGATTACAAAGTTACTTGGCTAATCTAAATTTTTAGACTGATTCAAAGGTTTGCATTTGAAACTCTGGGCTTTTATTTCTCAATTACTAATTTTTAACTTTATAATTGCATTGCGTTGAGTGGCTTCCTCTTTGGGAAAGTCAATTTAAAGTCAAATGGAAAATTTTGAAGATTTTTTTCAGTGGTTGTTGGAATGGTTTCTTGTGTAGTGCACGTGTTTAGCACAAGTCGCATTTTTATTTATCTTCGGTCAAGGGAGATGTCTTCTTCGGAACCTCTTCTTTGGCAATTTTTGTTCAAGGATTGTACCACTCTAGTGCTTGACAATTTTCAAGTGATTTTCATTGCCTAACAAAACAGCTTTTGGACGTATCATTTCCTATCCTTAATGGGGAAAACGTGTACATTTTCCTGGATTCTTCTAACTTTGGTTGCAAAATGTCCTCAACTTTCTAATGGTTGGTGTGTTTTCGCCCTTTTCTGCTTATTGCATCTAAATTATGTATTTTATTTTATTCTTTTGTGGTGTGTGAAAATATGTACTTGTATGCAAATGCATTTCCAGGTTGGAATTTGCATCAGTTTTAATGGAAATTTTAATCGAGACACACTTAATGCCTATTTTTTAAAGTTTCATCTATGTTATGGCAATAGAACTAGTTACATTTGTTGCTAGAACAATCATGCAAGTTTTGTGCTGCCTTTGTTTTGAATAAGTCGATCTATCGACGAATCTTTAATCATTCAAAACAATGTGGTGTATTCGTCCTGAAATGTTGCGTGAGCAGTTTTGACATTTGCTGTAACCCCTGTGATTCATCGCGCGCATGGCAAGTACATTTTTCCCCTATGCTAAGATATCCGCAATATTCAAAATGGCCGACGACTGTCACATTCACAAGGTGTGGAGATCACCGATATCATTTGCCTTAGCTGGGAAGATATTTGAAATGCTCTTTTGTCTTTGTCCCTGTTTCTTCATACCTACTGTGAAAGTCCCTGACATCCGTAGATTAGGAAAAGGGTAGAATGAAGTTACACCGTGGTTGCCACCGAAGGAAAAATTGCATTCTTTGAAGCAAATTGCATTCTGAAGCAAATTTTAATCACAAAATCTTATTCTTAAAATGAATATCCACTGGGGGAAAGCGATATCGACTTCTTCCTTGTTTTACCTTCCGCAACATACCTTCAAATCTTAGACATAAATTTTCAAAATTCTGGTTACAGGCACAAAGTTCGCACTGTCCCGGTCTTCAATTTACTTCATTGACCAATATTCACCATTTTCCATAACCAAATTTGGCCCTTAACCTTTCGGATTTTATCTAACAAAATCCGAGCAGAAAATCACTCTATGGTAGAAATCTGTAAATCCTGAGAAATCATTTTGATTTGTGGAAATCTAGTATTTTCTATACAAAAGTAAATTGCCCCATCAAGTGTTGCTTGTTTTCTCCCGTTTTTTTTAATTTCTCCTTTTAAGCAGAAGTATGATAAAAAATGATAAAAATGATTTTCTACATGCTAGAATTTCAAAATATTTTTGTTATTACTTACCAGACTGCAGATGATGGCAAGTGTACACCCGAGACATTTTTTCTAAAATTTCCCTGCATTCTGTATTCTATTGTTAGGAGCAAATGAAGAATTCAAGACGAAAATGGGATCAATTATTTTTCCTGTATCAGCCTCTGATAAAATTGATTGCACCCAAAACTCAATCTTTTTGCGTACAAAACGAATGCAATCCCAATGAGCAAGCTAACGTTCACCAAAGTGCACATTGCATACTTGAAAGTATGCTTTTGCTCCAGGGGGGGGGGGGGGGGGGGTGGGGGGGGGGGGGGGGTACTCCCATTGTGGCCTAACGGGAAAGATAAAACCTTGTTCATTATCTATAATAAATCGCAAGCTAAACTAAGCCATTGTGTTATTGTCAAAACTAGGTCATTTGGTAAGACTTTTAAATCAACTGAACCCCTCTGTCAGGGCTTGATGGAAGTCCCTCCCCCTTGGGGCTTTTGCACACCCAAGATCTTGATGGAAACTGCCTTACTCTTCAATCCGGGCTTGCCAATTAACAGCAAACACAAAAGTAGTTGTGAAACCGCCCCCCAGGTTTGGCCAAATTGTCGGTTTTGTCAGCAAAAGTATGTCATTTGTCGGCAAAAGTATGTCATTTGTCGGCAAATCTGCTTGCTTTTGTGGGCGCTGCCCTCCCCCCCACTTGAAAAGTGAATTTCCGCTACTGACAAAAATCATAAAATGACTAGAATGGAGGAAAGCCCCTGGTCTGTATAATATAGACAGAAATAACACACATACAATGCAAATATCGACTTTATCAAAAGAAAATGTTACAGAAATTTCGTTCATCAAAAATTGCGAAATTATTATCAGATAATTGGCGTAAACTGGAGCTAATACACTATCGTACCCCTTTGCGAAGGACCTCTCACATGAAGCAAAACATACTGGTAGCTTTTGGATCAGGATCTTTGTCTGCCAGTACACTAGCGCATTGATGTCCGACAGCTCGACAATTTTACCTAGAGTGATGCTGGCAATTCCTTAGAAACGTGTCAACCCAACAAGTGCAATAATGAGTTGCGTAATAGAATGTGTGAGGCACCCAAGCACAGGGTTGCCATTTAACCATTTTTGCGACCCAATTCCCCCACTTTGTCCTTCTTTAATTCTTCATCGCCTCCTCTCCGCATCAAGGCTCGCTGTGCATGCACAGCTCATTACGTTCTTCAATGCTAATAAGAGGCTCGAAGAGATCAAATCGGAGTTCGCCGAGTCTTCTCCAATTAGGATTTCTTGGCCGTAGAAGATTGATTTGGCCTTAATATCCGCATTCATTTTTAACCGAGTCAGTGGAAAGTAGACCTTAAAAGACAACCCTTGTTAGTGCTGGTTCTATTTGAGAACATACTTCGTCATTTGACTCACGGAATATCCAACAGGATTCGATATTCTGAATTATTTTCACAGCAGAATCAGATCGCGAAAAAACGATAGCATGCTATATTTAGTGAAAATGATACAGACACAATCACCGAATTCTCTACAATAATTGGGTTAACATTTTGATTACCCAAAGGGCCATTTACATATTACGTCGTCACAGTTATGATCAGTGGTGGGTTCTTAACGAAATATCTCTGTCACGGGGCTACGAAACGCGCGTACGATATGTTGCAAGAGATAGCACAGAGAATGCTTTTTAGGAGGAAGGTTTAATTATCGATTTATCGCCTATCCATAAACTGTGAAATTATGCATTCTAGGATATAAGCGAACACAAAGATCAATAGAGCTATGCATTTATTGGGCTAATATGGTTACATCAGATATTGGGATGGTTTGTACGTGAATGGGGGGGGGGGGGTCCAGGGAGAGTGGGTGTCGAGGAGGATGGCAGGTGAGTCAGGATCGACTTTGGGAGAACCTGTCAGAATTATGAGGTAGATGGAGGGGGTTGAGGGATGTACAAATTTTGGAACAAGAACGGGCCAGGTGTGGGCTCGAAATATGTTATTTCTTTGCGTATTATGTAGATGACCCCGTGCTTAAAAAACACAAATCATACCATTAAAAATATTTTATGATAATCTGTTTAGAAGGTGCGACTGAATCAGTGTGATAAGGAATGGCAATAATAGATTGTCACGTGAAAAATCTATTTCCGTCAAAAAGAAGATCTAGGTAGTTGAAGAAATTAACTATAATTCACCCGTCAATTGCATCTTATGTAAGAAATAATATAGAAGATAAAAATTAACAGTTTATGTTGTTAGATCTACCCTGGTAGGAAAAAGCCACCTTGAATAGAAACATGCACCTTAACTAGCATCGTGAGTACATAGTGACATGCACCTTAACTAGCATCGTGAGCGCACGAAGCGAATAGAAACCCAATGGTAAGTCACTTGCCTCTACTCTCCCTCTCTCTCTCTCGATGAATCTACCAAATGAGAAACAATTAACACGACAGACATTGTTAATTTAGCATATTTCACGGTTGAAACATGCCATTAATTTCTAAAAGAGCTCAATATGAAACATAAACACTCGCTAAATTGGAAGACGCTAGGAATAACTACATCAGCTCTCCCTTTCATGAATTGTGTCGTATTCATTGCTATGAAGTCGGTCATCTACAGTCATATCTTGTAACTGGGCTCTTGCGCTTTCGTCGATTGTTGGGAGAGAGGTGCCACGAAACGATGAAGACTAAAAGGCAAAGTAAAATTAAATTGGCCTTAGCGAAGTCACAAGGGATCCTGAGACATTCATGAATTTTGCATTCACGACAAATACTTTGACTATGTTTAAAAGGATTCTGACCCCTTGGCAGCACTGAAAAGCAACAAAAGAGGCAAAATCGAATTTTTCTCCTAGATTGGTCGACAAAGGCAAGACTTGCATATTAAAGGGCAGTGAACAGCCAAAACATTACCAGTCAAAGGCTTCAATAATCTTATTGGCTAGCGTTGATCTTGGATTCTGCGGGCAATTTTTTTTGGGAAGGAAAAAATGACACTCTGCTTCATGCTACAACTTCTAAAAACCTTGTTTGAATTTGTTCTTTCATCGCTTTCGTATGTCCCAGTGGATGTTCTCCCTGCTGTGACACCGCTTACCTGTTTAGGATCTCCCCAACAAAGCCCTTAACATCTGCCATGTGCTGTATTGATTGCAATTACGGGAGAAATCACTCACTTGCATGTTATAAGTAGGTGGCTATGTTTTTCCAGATTGAATTCATAAAACTGCTGATTTTCCCAAATAAATTCATAAAACTTGTTTCCTTAATCAGACTTAAGTAACTACACGCAAAAAGCGCAAAATCTTCGTGCCAAATGCCAACATTTATAAGACGGAAGTGAGTGCCAAATAACTCCCATACCTTAATGCCCCATTCCCTAACTACAAGGAGACGCACAAATGAAAATGTAGGTGCCTGCTTCTTTGTCTTAGCGCTACAAAATATCAATGTTCAACTTACGATTGGAGATCCGCCAAATATTCCATAACCAGTTGGAGAGCAGTACGGTGTAACTGTGGGTAGGCCCCTCTGTGGTGTTGCGATCGGTTGAGCTCTTGTAGGCAAAGTACCAGAAACGCTGCTACTGTCCATCAGTGTCGGATGTTGGTGGCCGAGAGCAGACATTTGCTGTGTTAGATTGAACACTAACTCGTGCTCCACGTTTATAATAACATATAATGGGTCTATGAAAGAAAAGAAGAAATCTAAGTTTACAAAAATCATTACACATACAAATAAGCATAAAATAGAGAAAAAGCTATCATTGGAATAAAAAAAACATTTAAATATTTCCACTCGGAAGAAAAGCCTATTCGCTAGAATCAAAAATTATGGTTTATTCAACTTTGTTAAATACTGTAAATCTTCGAATTGCCCCCCCCCCCCGCTCAAAAAGCCTTCCTCCCCTTGGATAAGCCCCCACCCTAGAACGACAAGATTCAATAAGCCCTACCCCAAAAAACCCCCCCACTGCAACCGTAAATCCTTGAATTGGCCCACCTCGATTTGTTGCCATCTGAGGATTGCCTTTGGTATTTTGTCAAATTACCATGAAAATTCATACATTTGGTGATAATTAATTAAATGTTAATAAAGAAATTCCTACTAAAATATACGAGGTCTTTCATAAATGTCTTCTTGATGTCTATTATAATTTCATAAAGACCCCTCGTATATGCCCCCCTTTGAATACCCCCCATCCAAAAATATCAAAAATAAATTCAGTGGCCATAAAATCAATTTCTGCTTGTTTTCAAAACCCATCAAAATTCTTGGCAGACAACAATAAAAAGCTGCTCACACAATTGATCACAAATATTTGATTGGACAAATGCCTGAGTTTTTACAATAAGCTGTTTTCAACACTGGCTGATCAGTATCACCATCAAACAGTGCAGAATAATTAAGCTGTCTCCCATTCAGTTTGGCTTGTTCACTTCATTGTTGTTCATGTTCATTTATATAATGGGACCTTAGCATTAAAGAAGCCCCAAATTTCCTGGAATTGTCAAATTTTTTCGGAAAAGACTTTTAACACAAATAAAAATTTTATTTTTGGACTAAGCATATGGACAAGCTTCTTGCCCATCTGATCACATGATGCCATTGCTTAAGGACAATTATATGACAATGCTGCTAATAATATGTCTGGGAAATTTTCTAGGGTGAAAAGAAAAATTCAAGAAATTATCATGAGACAACATAATCTTATTTTTAGATAATTAAAAGACATCAAACCTCGCAGTAAGTCCCTTAAAGTTTTTATTCTGCTCACCAAGTTTGGAAAGGAGCTACAATTATTTTCCGTGCAACAAAATATTTACAAAAGTGTTATCTTGAGATACCGGTATCTACATGGGGGCCCCATTATATCCAGTGCCCAGGGCCCCAGAATTCTTAACATGGCCCTGCTTCAATCACCCTAAAAACCAAATGGTTAGCTGATTCCAGTAGATATTCTTTTTTCATGTACCAAGACAAATTTATTGTATTACCTAGCATGAATTGCTATGCCAAAAAAGGTGGACCTAAACAATAAAATCATAGATTCAAAGTTCATCAAACCTCCAAAGAAATTATTTGAAATGTCAGCTAATCTCCATTGTCCTCTGAAACATCCAGTATCCATCGGTGACATCATTGGTATTGTTAAATCAGTTGTTGTTCCAGGATCAATTGGATGAACTGGAATTACAGTACTATTGGCAAAGTTGTGCCCATTTGTGAAGACTAGCCTTAGTTGAGTTGGCCACCTTTCATTTCCTAGGACAATAAGATATGGTTAAAACATACAACAGACAAGTTTTAGCAAGAAATGGGAATCTAAAGGTAGCTCTTCATCACAAAGCCAGTATATATGTTTGTCTGCCCAGTGGCGGATTTAAGGGAGGGGGGCAGTTGCCCCTCCCTCGACGAGTTGAAGCAAGTATGGTGCCCCCTTTTTGGAAATTGTGCGCCCCTTTTCAAGAATGAGAATCAGGTAAAAAAAGTTTCTGAGACCAATAGGTTAATTTGCTTCAAGGACTGTTTCAAAGTTTTCTTGTTAATTCTGAAAATGGATCCAAAATTGTTGTATACAGCGTTCTCTTGTCGTCAATTTTTGAACATTTTTCAGCACCCCCACTACCAACTGCCCCTCCTTCAAGTTTGTTCTGGATCCGCCCCTGTGCCTGCCAACATGCAGTGTGACATTGGTATTGTTTGCAAGTTAATTTCCAAATTTACCATTCAGCTTTTGATCATATTCTAGCTCAGTCTTAAGGACGGTTCCATAGGAGGGGAAAAATAAATCATTTGGGGCCTAAACTCATAGACCTAGTCTGTTGTGAAAGAAACCTGCGAATGTTCCAAAAGCAGATAACCTCTGATGCTTTATCTCCCTACCAGTATTTCGGATCCTCCATGTCTTCAAAAATGAAGTATGAGGTGAAATGACTTCTCCTTCCTTTATTGTTACATCCTCAACTAACTGCATACTAGCATGTGTGTCAGCTGAATTGATTATGTCATAGTAAGCACACAAAGCACTCTGAAAGAATGAATAATTAAAAAATTTAAAGTTCACAAAAAACTGTCAGCTGCCTTACAGATAGAATACCCAAGTAAAAAATAGGTTAGTAGATATATACATAAATGAAATAAGCAGAATTAAACAACTTGATCCATGTGAGTAATAAAAATATAAAAATTACACCAAAGAAGTTCTAATAAAGAAAAAAACTTGGATATTAAAACTGATACTCAACAGACAAACAATATGCTTATTAACTGTATACGGTAACCTACGGTTACAGATTCACTTGCATATGAAGCCAATTTTGCAAAAGCAACTTCCAAGAAGTTGTTGAATTATGAATCAAAATTATGAAACATTAAAGGACAGAAAATATTCAAATTCGATTTATTCATCATTTCAAAATTTTACCATAATTCATAAATATGATTCCTTACCTGTAAATTCCTGAAAGAAGAAAAAAAGCTTTATCAGAAACTTCATGAATTAAAATCGTCTAATTACTGATTATCATATGAATAATATTCTTGAAATATATGCCTTTAAGAAGGGCTGTATTTTGGGCATTTCTTGGTAACCCTGAGAGGAAGAGGCCCTCTAATCCAGAGAGCTAGGTGTCACCTGATTTCTTGGTGTCTCCTGGTGGGTGTTGACATAAATATAAAAAATGACAAAGAAAAAAGACTAAAAATACTGCTCAGCTTTTTTCAGTATCTTAGCTATTTTCCAAATTGTGAATCAAAAAAGCAATTCATACACCCCCAATTAACTCATTGCATGGTATCCAAAAATCATAAACCAGCAACTATTGTTAACCCAACTTATTGAAAGCCTGTATTTCTGTTCCTAGTCAGTGCTTTCTAGTCAAGATACTAAAGCTACCACACCTACAAGGTTTACATGTAAAAACCTCTAAACTGTATTTTACATGCCTCTTTGTGTTTCATTCATTGTGAATACTTGGAGAAATAAGATGTACTAGCACAATATCAAGTTTAATCAAATGAAGCTTTCATTGAATTTGCAAGAGTTGTCAATTTGCAAACTGGAAATCACATGCAAATTGCCAATAAGGTGAATTACATTATTCTTTCATTAATACTCCCTTTTGATATCATACTATGGGCTACATGTATCCATACATCAGGCATTAAGTATACTTGGAATGGGTCTTGCAACATGAAAATAAAATATAACACAATATAAATAGTGAAAAATGTGGAGTGTGAAATTTGTCACTTGTGGCAATTTACTTGGAAGAAATTTCAATAAAATGTAAATTATTGACTAAGAAAAGTCACTGAGCACATATAAAATTCCATTGCAAAAATTAAATATGTATACATCTTGTATACCCATTTCATATTTTAATGGGTTTGCAAAAGGTTTAGCATTGTTTGTGAATGAAAACCACCTCCTAAGCAAAACAAACACATAAATCGATTGTTCTATTTGGCAGCTAAGATTGTTGCCCTGCTTTAATAACATAAATCTCACTGAAAACAGGAAGTTTCTAAAACTACTAGACGATGGCCTTGGGAAAACTTGAAAATGGCAACAATGGTGGTACAATTTCTTGAAGGTTCTGGCTTCTGCTATTTGCGAAATAACAGCGATTGATGCGTTGTTTTTGCTGTATTCAGTCAAACCAGCAGACCGAAACTAACTCTTAGAATAACGTAAACAATTATTACAAAAGTTTATGCAAAAATTTTGGAAAAGCTAAACAGGCATATAAACGACCCATAACAATAAATCTTAAAGTTTTCAGCAGGGAACGCCACAATATACTGCTCGAGTGTGCAACATCATCCATTTGTTATGAATCACGCAACATGAAGTACTCGACCGTAAACACGGCAAGACATCATTTTATTTTAGCTCCGAAGAGAAATCAAATAGGCTTTCAAAGAAAAAGCCACATGCCTTTAGTTTAAGATTAAAAAAGCATATGTGATTCTTTAATTAAGAGGATTATTCATTAATCGTCAAATCCATGTAACTGTTTACGAACCAATTCGCCATGTCGAGGTAGAACGCGCATCCTGCAGGACTGATCTGACTTCCAACAACACTCTGAAATTGCGCTACAAGATCCTCGTGGTCCCTCGTGCCCATAGTGCTTAGCTTGTTCATAAGCTCTGGATCTAGATCAATGTCTGTGTCCATTTTTGATAAATGAGAACGGTTGATTTATTATTATCAAAACTGCAACTTTCCGCAGCACATTTTATCGAACCTTCTCCATTATTGCAGATTATACGAATACACGTTACGTCATGATCTAGAACCCATTCTTCTTACACTTCATCCTCCTTCCCAGAAGAGGAAAGTGAAATTATATAACGGAAAAGTTAGAAAATCAAGCAGGGGAGTCAATTATGGATGTGCCAGGGTTTATGTTACCCCAAAAGACCGACATATAACTTTTCGTTTGGGGGGGGATAGCCCTGATAAATAAGTGCAATAACAGCAAGTCTTTTGGGGGGAAGCCCCCGGCCCCCTAGCCCCCCGGTATCTTGGTCCTTGTGTTACCCTAAAAGATTGAACAAGATTGTAAGAACACATCTTTGAGGGCTGAAAATTGGTTCTTTCTTACCGTTGAATTTTCCTTGCTAGTATCAAAATGAAAAAAATTCATTCTGGTCGAGAGCCGATTTCATTCTCAGTCCAGCACAAGCTCAAGCGACTGTAACAAAGTTTTAATGACAATAAAGATATTAAAAAGATAACTAGAATGGATTAAAAATAATCGAGGGCGTCACTTGAGAGGCGTATGGGGGTGCTCCCCCCCCCCAACTTCAAGATTTTTGCAGGGCAAATGTTTTCTACTTTGTTGCTTTTATTATATAACTGTAAAAAGACGGGATGGAATGCATTTCTAAATAAATTCTGATTTAACTGAGAACTGAAATGTTACACTCTTGGTTACTATTTGCGTCTTGTTTTAAAAACCATACAGAAAAAACAAGTACCGCTTGCCAGAAAACTAAAGAAAAATGGTGTAATCCAAAACAGGCTTGCATCGGGATAGATCTGGAGTCAAGTTTCTTTCTGAAGTAGCGTCCCAAATAAAAGCGGCGTGTGTGAGAAAAGAAATACTACAGTAAACTCCTGATATACTGTAGTCACACCAAATGTTGCTTGAAAACTTGTGACAGTAAACCGTGTGCGACACTGTAAGCAATTTTTTGAATGATATAGAGCGTATTGTATAAGTTCCTATAGGTGTTCATGCTTGTGTTGCCAGATGAAAACTGTGTCATCGATAAATCATTTCCAAAATATTGGAATATGCCCTATCGGGGCATCGCTCAAGATATGTTGTTCTATTGTTGCTATGAATATGCTGGCATAATTTAGGGCAAAAGGCCCCCTTGCGCTGCCTCAAAGGAGGTTTGTAAAATTTACCTCCCTAGATGGCAAAAAACTCCTCGTTATTAAGATGAAACATTGTTCAAAGTTACATTTCACAGTAGCTCAGCCTCAGCTTGTTCTTAATTTTTTCTCAACTCTTGACCAATTTTTTTGACCAGTTCTTAACTTTATAAAAATGTTCTTATTAAAAAGAGTGTAAAAGCAATAAAATCATGTTTGAGAATAAACATTACCATTTGTTGTATTTTATATGCAGTGGGGTAGTTTCTCCTTAATGATTTTTTATTGCATTGAAGGAAGCTTTGATTCCCTCATATCCGGAAAAAGTTATTTTTCATCTAGTGTAGCGAAATCAGTGGGATGCTAGTGTGCAAATCGAAAGTGTGTCGTAAAAACATGAGCGCATACTCTTTGATTCCATTATGGAGGGTTGCCTCTACCATCTTTGATTCCACCCCGATCAACCTTCAAAACTCTTTGAAAACTGTGTTTTCAGTCGAAGACGCTTGTCAAATTTTGAGAAATGCCTTTCCATATTTTTTCAAGGGTTTTTGCACAAAGCAGCTTTGTTTTCTGTTGCTAGTATAATATTTGAGATTAATGTATCAATTATCAACCAAAGTGGCTTGGCTATTTTACTCCTAGAGAAGAATCTCTATAATCACCTAATCTGACCCGGAAAACCTTAAAAATCATTGATACAGCCTCTTTTAAAGCATCTCTGAAATTCAACGAAAGTAAACAAATAAAGAAACACGGACAATTTTCTGAGTGCTTCTATTGTACAAAACAATACCTCAATGTGACCTATCTATCAAAGATAGCATAACTATTGCATAAATAAGTTATCTATAAATAGGGAGAGAGAGGGGAGAAGTAGGGAGAGAACGGAAGCAGGAAGAAATGTGAGATAGAGAAACAACGGAAAGGAGAAACGGGAAGACAGGGAAGATAAAGAGACAAGAAAGATAAGAGAGGCAAGGGGCACACACAAGGGAGACAAGAGAGGTCGGAAGAAAAGAGGGTAGAGGGAGGGAAGGAGTGACAAGAGGGAGAAAGAGAGAGCTCTGAACCGGTTATGGCTGCTTGAGTCCGAGTTTAAGATATATATGTTGTCTTTATACCGGTAATGGAATAACTCCATTCCGGATTCTTACTGATGTATCTCGAGTGGCTATCAAATTTCTATAAATACATCTACATAGGCTAAAAGTTTACCAAATGACTCTAAAGCTATTTTAACTTATTAAAAATCTACTAAACATACTGATCATATATACAACAAAAAATAAAACAAAGACATGTATAAATAGAGAATAAAAACTGCTTTACAGACATTCTTGTCAAGTCTTGCATAGAGTAGCACGGTTTCTTAAGCTAAAATATTACATTTCAAGCTCAAGTCACTGCTAGCTCTTCTTCTCGATTCTACGTTATCAGTTTAGCACTTTCGTCATTTGATTCACAACTCTGTGTCCCTAGAACAAAAAAAGAAAACGCTATTAATTGATTAATTGATATAAAAAAAGTTATTAATTGAGGCATCGATGAATATCGTTAAGTAAACAGTGAATCGAGGTAATTTAGGGATCTCAGTCAGAAACGTCATCACAAAATGTCTTAAAGGCATCGAGTCATGATAAATTGGATTGGGTATACCCTAAGTGCCAAAATCCGCTGAGTCATGATTTTCATGAATGCCATGCTATTGGTTGACCTTGAACTGGTCACATGAACTCACCTCGTACTGATTGACAAAACAATTTCGATCAATAGCAAGTTGTCAACAACGGATGCAAATATCACATGAAACAGCAGCGATCACGCCGAAACCAAATGACCCCCTATAGAGAGGGCCTATTTACCATGACTCAATGCCTTTAATTTTAGTAGACATATGGGCAAAAAACTCCTTTTTAGGTTTCAAAAAATGAAACACGAAACTCGAAAGACTTGGCATTAGCAGATACTGGCAGCAAGAAACGTATGCCAGTATTACCCAAATAAAACCCCCGAGAAATTGCAGCAAGAAAATATCATGGGATGGAAATTCATTCCTATATAAAAGATTTATATTACATAATAAAATATATCCATGTTCCTCTGCAAAGAATATCAGTGGACTGAATTGCAAAGGGGAGTTAAAGATGACTTACAAAGATCTTATCACTTCGTCAAACTCCTTCAGTGTCCCTTCCATTTCAAGAACCGCACCATCTTTCCCATTAAAGGTTTTATCCGACCGTGCACTCCTTGGCGTCATCAGACCACCCATGGCGACGTCAAGCTGCTCCGTATCCACGTCCGCCACACTTTGCGCTTGTCTTCGTAAGATGCGACTCTCCCTCGAATCGTGCGACGGTTTAGAGGGACTAGCTTCTAAGGAAGGCCACTTAAAACTTGAAGCATCAAGTTCCCTAGCTGCTGGTTCTGACTCGTTCTGCATTCGATTTTCTTGTCTATTTGAGTATGACGTTGCATGATTGGTCGGGCGGTCTGAATGGATGCTGATGGGCCTTGCTTTCGCCTCCTTGTTTCTCACTTTCCCTTTCAATTCACTGAGAACATCTGTCATATCCACATATTTCGCCCCCCTGTGTGGCTTTTGTCGAGGGTTGCTATCTTTACTGTCAACAACAGAAGCCACCTTCACATCTTCAGTCACTTCTGATGCAATAGCTGGCCTCATGCTTAAAGAATCAGTTTTCAGAGAATCGTCTGATCGAGGCTGCGAGCCCCTTCTTCGCTCAAGATCTTCGTAGTTTCTGGAAGCTGCAGCTTTACGCACCGGTGAATTCAAAATTAACTGTGACAGCGACGCATTGCCTGGGGGAGGACTGGGACTATTATTTATAAGTGCATATTGCATTGGAACGATCGGCGGCAAATTGGAATCTCTTGGAGAAGGTGTGGATCCTTGAGGATCTAAAGGAGGAGGCGGCGGCGGTGGTGGTGGTGGGGGCGGCGGTTGTGGCGGAATTGAACTTGATGCTTTACTTACGTTGCTCGGTTTATCAACTGCCTCTGAGGTCTTATTTGAGTTGGCACTCTGGGACGTTCTCTTAAATCCAACCCGTTTCAACCTCTCCTTGGCATTTGACAAAAGCCTGTTTGTTAGGCCTAACTGCTGGTTACTTTTCTTTGGCTTAACAGCTGGAGCTACTGGAGGTGGTGGGGCATGCGGTTTTGAACGCTTATGTGATGCAGAAGGAAGCGGTGTGGCCGTCTCTGAAGCTCCGTCGTAGTCAGGCACTGGAATAACGATAGATGGATCTAGCGAATGCGCTAACCTGTCAATTTCCTCGTTGAAAGATGGGTCGTCATCCAAGCTATTACTGGGCAGAAGCCGACGCTCTTTCTTTGAAGAATCGCTGCGATGAGCGGAGCTGTGTTTGGATCCAAGGGGTACAGTGGCTGACGGGCGCCTTTCAGGAGGGTGACGGCCACTGTCTTGATGGCCGTTATCATAATAGTCACTTCCATGAGAGCCACTCTCGTGAGAGCCATTGGGCGAGACAACATCATGAGAAAGCCGTGGGCTTGGGCTGTTTCGCAAGGCACTTTTCTTTGGCTGCAGGTTGTGCTGTTCTTTCTCCTTTCTTGCATACTTTTTTATTCTTTCATCCCAACCATTCTTTCCAATCATGGATATGTCATCCAAACTTTTGTATGAAAGGCTCTCGATCGGCTCAATACGCTCCACAGTATCTCTAAACCCGACGGACTTCTTACGCTCCTGTCTCGCTTCCTTTTCCCGTGAGCCATTGCGATCTCTCTTTTCAACGCGTTCGTTCAACTCATCTAGACTGAGACTCCTCGATGTTGGTGAAAGTTGAGACTGGCCGTGGATGATCTCTATAACTTCCTGTAATTAAAATATATATCATCAGTATCTCTGAATTAAAAGAGAAGTTGCTGAGTTCAAAACCTTCAAATGTTCAAAGACATGCCGAAAGAAGTAGATGAAGTTGGGTAGAAACTACAAATACTGCCAAAGTTGAACTGGCCTAAGTTTTCTTTGCAAAAGTTTGTAAGGCTCAAACTATTACTTTGTTAAACCGTGTCGCAAAATGACAGAATTTGGCTATACTTTATTAAACGGAAATTTTATATCCATATGATATATAATGATGTATATGGTCTCAATCTACGGTGTGTGTATTCTGGACTTTATCATTGATGAAAATCGTTAAAATCATGCAAAATATTTATGGTGGTTCCTTCTGGTAACGTATTTTGATATAAAGTTACAATACAAAGATGGTTTGAACTAGAGAACAACCTCATCAAAAGCAACAGATCTCTTTGGTGATAGGTTCTCACTGGAGGCCGAATGACCACGTGCCGGTGATGTTGGTGCCCAGGTCTTTAGAATATCGTCATTAGACATCGGTGGTGGCGAATGCACCTGCGCTCGAACCTGGATCTGCGTATCAGACAATGGGACACTATCAAGGCCTTTTTGCTTGATTATTTCGGCAGAATAGGTGACACGGGAACCTTTAAATGAGAAAACAACGGTTAAGTTAAAGAAAGATAAGAAATTTGTCGAAAGAGCAAGCAAATGTGCAGATCACGTGAAATCTCTTATTGTCAAACAATGCATCTGATTGGCCAAAAAATGATGATTAAAAGCCAATCAAATAAGAAGTTATAGGATCAACCCAATCACAGATGACATTCAGGGGAATGGTCCTTTCCTTCTGAGCACATGGTAGGACCCAGCACTTGCATCCACCCAAGGTGGTTATTTTCTCAACAAGACATCCTTGAAAACATTCATTAGACCTATCAAACTCTGTAGTGAACACTGATAAGATAACTGAATTCCAAAGACTATTCCATAGGCTACTTTGACATCCAACGGAACTGAAGAGCAAAGGGTAGTTCTCAAGAATAACGAATAACGTATAGAATCAGCAACTCTAATTGATTCGATATGATATGAATCTGGTATCCTGTGAACAGGGTCTTAGATATCTCCTGCTATCTCTCTTAGAGTTTAAACCTGCATCAACACAGGATTCGGCAAATGAGGTGTAATTGAATTGAATGGAATCGTTCGTTGATCAATAACAGCATAACTTTACATGTTTTAGAGATGATCATACAAAAAAACATGTAACTTTCATCAGTCTTATTGAGATGGTGACACGTGCTTAAATGAATATAAAATGTGCAAATACCAACTTACTTAAAGGGGAAGGTTTGTTAGCCACTTGCGTCCGCATGACAGGTTCTCTTTGTTTTACGTCATTGCTCTTTAGCATAGATTCATTGGGAGGCTGAGATGTGACGCCGCCGCTGTTTCTTCGTGTTGCATTAGAATCGAGGCTAGTATGATCAAAGTTTTTCAAGCTCTTTGGTGAAGGATTCTTGACGCTGTTGCCAGCCATAGGTGGACTCTGTGCAGGAGCCTGATGAGAATATTCATTGCTAGCCGATTTTGCTTCCTTGAAGGAATCGCTCACTTTGCGTACAGCTGATGTCCATTTCTGTGCATTGGAAGAACGATAAGGTGAAAAAGATAAAATAAAAGCTTTATTTGTAGATGAATAAATTAAACTTTCTATCCATTATTGAATTAAATACATATAATAAAAAACCGAAGAATTACTTAAAACATCTCATCCTCCGTTAAGTTAAGAGCTCTTACAAAATCTAGAATTGGTTCAGAAATAATAAAAACTGATACAGTTCTTTATAGATTTAATGGCATAGACATTCTGTTTTTTACTGTTTTGATGTGCAAGATGGCTAACCTCTTTCGGTTCCCTAACAACAGCATCAAATCCGCCGGTTCGGTTCCCATTCGCAAAAGTTACCGGCTTCGGATCGTTCATTGAAAAAGCCGGTCTCTTTGACATTGATGGCGATTGTGACTGATCCAATGAGTAGGCCATATCACCTGAACTAGATGACTGCTGTCTTTCGAAACTGCGGGCTTCAACTTGTCGGGACCCTGAAGCCCAGTTGGCGTTGGCAGCTGGTGCAGTCGACCTTGCCACCGGCGCCCTCTTCTTCTCTTTGTATAACCGCAAACTGTTGCTTACTTTCTCGAGGCTGTCCCTTCGAAGAAGGAAGGCAGTTCTTTTAGGAGACTTGGATTCAAACTGCGCAATGGCTCTGGCTACTGCTGATTTCTCTTCTGCGGTTTCCTCTGTCTCTTTATCAGCGCTATCCTTACTAGTGTTGGTAATGGACTGGTTATCCCTCATCAGACTCGTATTAGCAATGTCTTGTGGCAATGGTGCTTTTCTTCCAGGAGGACAAGCGACTACCATATCGATATGTTGCTAAAATTTACAACAAGAAGTTTAGAATGCATTTGTTCCAAATATTGAAAGCATGATTAATTAAAACCAAAATTTGAAGCAAACAGAGAAGATGTAATTTATGAAAGACAACGGGCAAAATCAGCATCAAATGAGTTTAAGTATCCCACTGGTTAAGAAAGTTTTGTTATTGACAAAGTTTCAATTCTTATACTGACGCGGAGGTCACTAAGCCTTTTGTGAGCCCCACCCATGGCGAAACCGCCTGCGAAAGCCTTGTGTTCCCTATTTCTGACTGATGACTTGGGGAATAATATTGGGGAACTACCCTCAAAGGGTTGCAGTTGCTAATATGATTGTACAATATTATTAATCTGCGATACTAAGGACCGTTCAATATTCAAACGTCTAAGGCAATAAAGCAACGGCCCTTTGACGTTTTATAATATTTCTACATGGACGTTAGCTGGATATTGCTTGCGGAATTGTTATTTCAGAAAGAAGTGTATGGCCGCTGCTGTAACAAATACGTCAAAATATTTTCTACATACTGAAAGCCGACCCATTGCCTCTGAAATCGCTTCTTGGGCCTCAACTGGGTCACAGCCAATCAAATCTGTTCCTTCAACATTCAGAATAATGTCTCCTCTTTTGAGAAAACCTGTCAGAAAATAAAAGCAGTTGTAATGTTTTCTCAAATGAAAGAAAACAATATGATATTACATCTGATCATATTATCCTCCATGGCATTGTATTCGGTATAAGACTGTATTTCATTCCCTGGGGTATACCTGCACGTCACGTTCTGCAGCCTCATTTATACGTAGAAAGTCAATTGTTTAAATTATGTTTTGCATATAGAGTTTATGAGCTCAGTTTTACCATGTTCTGCCGCACAACCTCCTTTTAAGGTGTTTCGGACAACAACCAGATCATTCTTCACTTCGAGGTCGAGCATCAATGGCGCAGTCTAAAATATGAAAAGAAGTCAAAAGCCATGCTATAGCCTATTGTTCACATAACAAATCAACGTGGCCTACAGCAAAATATCTCAAACATGATTTTGAAAGAAATCATTGTTCAATATCACACTGAAATGGGGGTAGCAAGAAAAATGCCTTGGAAAAATGATATCCTGTCACAAAAGAGAGAACTAAAACAGCCTTAAAAGGTATCTTACCTTTAAAATAGCAACAAAATGGACATCTTTGCCTTGAGTGATACTCTCATCATACTAAAACGTGAAAAAAGATACTAATATTATAGCCTCTAAAGATGCTGAGACCTAAGCTTTCTCAGGAAAAGAATTTGATGCTACCAACCAAAAAGACGCCAAGCAACGGACACTTAAAAAACTTAAAACTGGAAGAATACTTTAGGTAAAGATCATTCAAAATCAAAGTCGTTCCAATTACTTTTAATCTCTTATGGCAATGTTTCCTTTTCAGGAGCCACATGACTCTATTGGGTATTTGTGCACCTGATTTTCACCCAACATGAGAAATCATTACTTTTGTCGTACCTGAAAATTACCCTTTCCTGGCTCAGAAGAGGCACCATGCAAATCCTCTTCTTCGTCATCTGATACCTCGTCTTCTTCTCGTCTCTCAATGTATTCAACCAATGGCCTAAATGATAACAAGGCTACTAGTTTTTATTTTACTTATAATGACGTCTCACTTTAGGTTGATGCAAATCTATCTGATTCGAAGTTTGATGATGAGCTACCGTATAAAAATACATACTTTATTTGATATTGTTGTTAATCACAGCGTTGTATTGCAGAATCTCAAATCTGCACGAAAAGCAGCAAATTCTTGAGATTATAAGTCGTTAAATCCTAATTTCCTACCAACAAGGGTTGAAATAAAGATTTTTGCTATGATGAATTAAACAAACAGAAAACCATACTCTTCGCCAAAACTTGTTTTCTTCTTGATTTCTCGAGAAACTCCTTCGGTCACAAGAATGGGATGAAGAGCTAAATGGAAAGAAAATTCCAAACAGTCGTTATAAATAGCAGAAAGTGGTTACAAGTACAATCAGAGAGAAGAGATAGACGATCAACTGCAGCCTCTGGTAATTGAATAAGCGAATCGATTAAATTCTTTAGAATTATGCCTCTAAAGGTAATAGTTGTACTAATCTGCCCATTAAAAAAAGCAGCTAAATGACAAAACAGCTACATGGCAGTTTGAAAGTCAACTGTTGACAATGGAATGACAGGGAGAAAGCTTTTACGCACTATCAGAGGTTATGCTGCCTTTTGAGAGCAACACGACAATCGATTATCACAACAACTTTGGGTATCGAAATGCTTATTTTTGATGCAATTGTAATTGTAATTGAAAAACTACGCTGTCTTTAAATGAAACTGAAGTACATACAAACCTTCTGATTTTTGCTTAGCTTTACGTCTCAGATACTCTGCAACATTCTGAAACAGAGATTTTGGAGAATGAAGAGAATGAATTCTATAAAAATCTACATATTTATTTTCGATAGGTAAATATTCAGAGATTTAGAGAATTAAAAGATAAAATATATCCAAATAAGTGATGTTATTCCAGTTGGCCGACTTGTTATTAACATGGCAAAAATCACAAATCTACTATATTACCTCGTTATGTCGCACAATCATAGTTAGATCTTTTTTTGACTTCAGCGCATCCACTGCCTGGAATAAAGTTCATTTGTTCCAATTTACTTTGTAATTTGCCATGTTATACATCCAATACAATTGCAAATAGACAAGAGACAGAGTCAAAAATTGATGACAATTAACTTTTTCCTTTTAAAAAACAGTGTTGCCCCTTTCTTGACACTTTGAAAGTAAGAAATGAAAAATGAAAAGGAAGTGAGAATAACTTTCTTTTTAGAAACCAAGAGTGGCTGGAAAAAGAGGTTCGATAATTCAAATTATTAGATATAGGACAATTTCGATTACATTCAATTGCCAATAACTAATTGAATTGTTGTGCAGTATATACAGAATATGCTATTTCAAAAAATGACACGATTCAATAATGGACAGATGAATACCTCAGAATGCTTTATTTTATCGAAAATTCTTCCATTCACTTGAAGGATCTGATCTCCAACCTATATTATCGACAAGACATTAAAATGTGACAAAATCCCTGCATACCTGAATACTGCAAATTTGCTTTAGGAAATAGAATTTATACTATTTATGCCAAAATTTTAAAAAAAATGACCAAATGATGGGCCCCTACAGATAACTGCAATGATATTACAAGAAGCGAAACAGAATATTAGAGTAGAACTTTTAAAAATGTATTTTACTTCATAAATCTTAAAAAACCATTCAACCGTGCAAGACTTCAAAAATTTTAAATATTGTCAATGCCAATTGTGGTTGGGTCACTTGGATAAAATTAGGAATTTTTCAGTAGAAGAAAATTGCTCAAGATTAAAATTAATTGACTATGCCGGGGGACAGGAATTGCAAAACTAAATACATTCTCTTCAACGTGGGATTTATCATTAATTAATTCTAACTATTATACAGAGGTTTGCATATTTGCTTTATCCAGACACAAAAGTTAAGAATTGATCAGATTGATCTACCGAGACATTATTTTTTAGCAACAAGCTTGAAGCCTATCAGGAAAATTTTTTTTGAAGAAAGAAAGTTTGGTCACCTTGAGTCCGACTTGGTCGGCAAGCATGTTTGGCGAAACTGCTGACACAAAAACGCCTTCGAAATTCTCGATGCCACTAAGAATGCTGGAGAAGCAAAAGGAGCAGTGCTTTCATACACAAATTCAGTGATAAGACAGCAATTATCATGTAACTGTGGGAAAAGATTGATCCTGCAGGTGTATGTAAAGGAATTCAGAAGGCACAGAAATGCCCATTTGCACTACGTAATATCATTTGAAGGGAACATGCTCTGAAAATGCAATCTAGAAAAGAAAGCGTTCCTGCCAGAATAGTAAAGTTTGAGGTTAATGATAAAGCCATGAAAAACAGGTTTTGGGTGAAGATAACAAACCTGCATCCAAGTCCTTCTCTTCCTATCTTAAATGCGAGGAATCTATCATCGTTTCTTGGAACCTCCTGTACACAATACAAAATACAGTTAAGCTTTAATGATATCACCAGTGACTGATAGCAGTGATCATAACAATAATATGATTATAACGATGACATATACAGATTATTATGATTATATGAGATGATAAGTAAATATGAGATAGTAAGTAATTGGTGTAAAATAATGGAGATTGAATGCTTACGGTATTATCATCTACAGAAAATGGTCTGAATTTCGGATCCTAAAACAAAAATTATTTCGTCAATTAATGACATAGCCACCACGACTTGCTTATTTTAAGTGAGAACCAGTTCATAAAAATGTTTGCATAGAACAAGTAAATAGCTAGAAAGCGATACAGAACAATTTTTAAATTAAAGATTATCACATTGCAACTGATCGACTGATTCTTGAACATCTCCTTCGAAATATGCAATCTTGAATCTGCACACTTTGAGTCAATACTTCAAGGCAAAAGTTTTGGCTCAAAATTTCTGGTACAAATGGTTACTGAGTATTAATGACTTACCACTAAAATTGATGGAGAAATTTTCATGTTTGGATCGACTTCCTGCCAGACAATTCGATTGTTCCTGTAGAAAAATGCAATAACTGTTATTGGCCAGCGCCTAACATTTTCCATATTAATTCCTCCTAGACAACTCTGGATTTAATATAAGCTTAACTATAAAGAAAGCGACTCATGACAAAAATTAAATTTGGAGTCCTCGCAAGTACAAAAAGCCAGGAATTAAAGCAACGATCAATATATTGATAATTTGTTGGTCATTATACAAGACACCTCAGGTTTTATTCTGATAAAAAGGTTGAATAATGCAGATATATTTTAGAAATGATGTATGCATAATAGTATATAAACAATCTTTTGGTGGTACAAAACTTGAAAATGGCTTTGAAAAAAGCAAACATTTGAGTAAACTAAAGCTTTTTGTCTGACACTCTTCAGAGTTTAAATAGTAAACAAATGAAAACAGATTAATTTTCTTCAATATACATTTATACAAGGGTTTTTCTTGGCTGCCTAAACAAAACTGGTAACAAACCCATCCAAAGAAGATATGCATATTAACAGAATGCCGTTACTCACACTTTGTTAGGAATTTTGCCCATATCTAGAATATAAAACCAGATATAAATCAACAACTTATACAAAGAGAAAAGAAAAATTGATTTGCCAAATTTCTTCTTGTTATGCTATAAATATACAATAAAGTAATGAGAATTACTTTTTTAAAGTTTAACTTACTTTTAGTGACAAAAGTCAGAGACTTCTTGCTTTTAAGCACATTGACAACTTCATCATGGATTGATTCATGCAATACAAATCCATTAACTTTCAAAATCTCATCCCCAATCTATGATAAAGGCAAAATCATAAGCTCTGTAAAATTAGGCTATTCATGATGTATTAGCAGTATCAAAAAATACGGCTTGATAGCTGGTATAATTACAGCCTAATTAGAATCAACTATCGTGCCAAAATGGATGCCATGAAGAGAGAAGATGCACACAAATGCCCACAATCAAATTGCCTTGTAAACAAGTCAACGCTTATTTCATTGTTATTAAAGCAGTGCATTTGTTAAAGTCTTCAACACAAAAATTCTTTAGAAAATTCATCTTCCATGACAAAAATACTAACAGCAATGTTTTGAAGTTGTAAAAGCATTCAAGTTGTAGATTTTATGCCTGCTCACCCAGCAAAGCTACTAATACCAATTTAAAATACCAAAAATGTAAAATAATGTTAAATGAATGCTTGCCCTTAGCCCAGACACATGTGCAGCTGAGCCTGGGATTATTGAGGTCACATAAATGCCAATTCCATGCTCCAAGCCTAAAAAGGTTAGCTCACTAATTACATTCAAAATACCAGATGTATGCATTCTTTATCTAGAATTCTTTTGTCTAGACATGAAATAAACTTTGAATTCGGAACACCTATTACAAAAAGATGTTCAGTATTTGACACAAAAAGCTACCAGTGTCTCTGAAATAATAAGATTCAAAGTCTTAATTTCAATACATGTTCATTAACAATATTCAATATCATTACTTCTTGCTATAGGTATAACCCTTGAACTTTTTGAGGCAGCAATATCAGCAAAATAAACTTTGCTCCAAGGATTATGTCTTGCAGAGAATTTTTTTGTATTAAAGTTTACTTTTTTAATAAATAACTTCCAGAAAGCAGCATTTAATAAATAAAAGAAATTTGAAGCAGATCATCCTTGCCTCCTTTGAATTTGAAGCCAAGTGATTCATTTCCATGCCGTTTCAAGTGTATGATTCTTTCCCCAGTTCTGAAACAAGCAAATTTCAAACAAAACATGACTATGTTGGAAAGACAAGAGATTCTAGTCTCGTCTACTAACAAAGGCTCCTTAACCATGTCAGAACAAAAAGTCATAAAAATCATAAATATCTGAAATAAATTGTAGAGACTAAAAACAGAGAACTTTAGCCTACAAGTAAAAGAAAAATTTTAATACTGAAATGGTGCTTTCATACCTTGCCCCTTCAGTAAGCTTATCAAATGCAAAAAGATGCTCTGGAGGAATAAACGCTCTGAAAAAAAAATACTTCACTTAAAATATTAAATAAGATACTTTTTTATTTCCTGCATGGTTTCAGGACCCTGTAGTGTTTTTAGATTATATTAGAACATTTAGATTTTATATCTTGTATTTTGACTTTTATGCTTATGGTTTCCTTGTCTATGCAATATGGTCATGAGTTGTTAAAGATGAAAGAAAAAACATCATGCATGGAGGGCTACAGAAAGAATAAAGGGGAAATGCAAGAATATTAAAGAACCAATCATGCTCAATTCTAAAATTTAAATGTTTGCATGAATTCTCAAATTAGCAGGTTACTTTATCTGTCATTATCAATTTGATGGATCTTTTTCCCAAATTGCTTTTCGTTATTAGCTACTCAAGATGGAATAACTAGTGCAATCTTAGTAGAATTGCTTTAAATTTTGATGTTGTGAAACCAGTACTAAGCATGCAAGAAAAAAATTAGAGAAAAGAAAACTACTTACCTAATTTCCTTGAAAAGCGGATACTTTTTGGAATTATCAAGAACAAGCTTCAAGTCTCTAACCAATTTCTTTACCTTCCTTGACCTGTAAATCCAAAAATAGAAAACAAATAACAAAAAAATACACAATAAAAATGATAACTCAATGAAATGTAACCAAATTCAACATTTGACGGGATTTAGGGAATGTAAGATATGATCCATTTGGGGTTGTTTGGCACAGAAAAAATTAATCCTAATCCTCTTACTTTGTCCTCATCATTAAAAAGGTAAATCAAAACAAAAATTTACAGGAAACTCTTGAAATCACAGCATGTCCGAAAATGCCAGACACTTTAATTCATTCTCAATTGCATAATATATATTTTGTTGGAAGAGACTTTTGAGACAGTCTGATGTACTCAAACAACTTTCATGGCTACATACTCGAGGTAATTTCTGAGAGCATCAAACAATTTGCTTCTTTCTTCTTCATCTTCAATCAGTGAATTGACCTGAGACAAAAAGGTTGCATGTATAGGAACAAATAAATGTAACTTTAATAAGCAAAAAACAAGCTTATGAAATGATTGACCTTGATGATAAGAAGCTTCCTACTGAAAAGATTATTAACAATTGAGGAAAAGCTATATTTTACAAAAGTGTGATAATACCCTTAGCAGGAAATCTGTTGCTGAAGTTGGCAAATAAACAGAGATACCACTTCCTTTCTGTTTGCCAAAAACTCTTGGTGTGGAAAATACTGATCGATCAGTTTGGATGTCATTTGAATTCTCAGTTATACTTGCAGAATCACTGTCTGTTATTCTGTTGCCATTCATTGCTAGCACTGAATTGCTATATTTTGTTGTTAAATTTACATCTTTATTTTGCATTATGTGTCCTTAAGGTTTCCTAGCTGAACCTAGGATACTAAAATTGCTAGTCAACAAACTGCTTGAAAAATGACAGGGGGTTGTGTAATACATTGATATCCGGGTAATGACTAGTTGTAAACTTGGTCTGAATAATATTTTTCTTACATAATATATTTTCATTGGCATTACAAATCATTCTAACCCTACTTCGGGGGTTAGAATCATTGCCCCATTACCACCTTTATGAGCACCCCTGGTTTATATGAATGGATGGTTGAAAACTGGATGCCAGATGCTACCAGCATGCATTTTGAATAACACCAGTATGATTCTCAAAAAAATTCAAAATTTTATTACTTTCTCAAAAATGCTCAAGAAATCGTTGTCAATGAAAAAAAAATTAAAATTGTAAAATTGTGAAGATCAAAATTGTTACTTTAGTCATTAAAGGCAAAGAACTTCATGACAAGTTTAAATATAATTTGAAAGAATTCATACGATATCATAACAGGTAACAGCCAGCATATAAGGAACGATCTGAAGTTTGATATTAAATTGTTATAAATATAGACTGCATTTTGCTGCAGAGAATTCGCGAAAAAAAAGATAGATATTATATGGAGGAAACGATTGCCCCCCTTAAAACAGTGTATAAGTGAATTAAAAATTTAAATGAAAACCAACAGGTATGCTGATTCAAGCGATATACGATAAAACCTGCTATAATAAAAAGTCGCATTGCAAAAAATTGATATCAAATTCTCTGTTGCGGCCGGATCATTTATTATTCAGCAGAAAGTTCTTTCACGTTAATCTAACAGATTCTTCTCTGTGTAAATCGTTTCATCATCAATCAGATATTTAGATTCTGGGAGACGAATGCAGTGCCAAGTTATGAATGTAATGTAAATCGTCCTTGATTTGAGAACATTCAATAAAAATTAAAAAAGCCGGTTACGCTGTCAAAATAGGACATGGTGAAAAAGATTGCTGTTGGAATAAATACCTCGTTTTTGAATTGCATTGCATGTAAAGCTATCTCTTTTTGCTCTCCTGGTGTCGCCATTGCTTTGAAGGCCACGGAATTCTTTTGTTTTTCACATTCTGCCTGTTTTTCGCCATCCAAAATTTTTTGTCTTGTTTTTTTCAGGAAGTTCCCAAAATAAAGGAGGCTAACTGTTTTATTAAGGTGGGTCTCCGGCTTTTACTGTTCCACCTTAATAGAGAGTCTCCATGGGAATCACCGGCTTTGGTGGGAGGGGGAGGGGGTGATAAGGGGGCTAGTAAATTGCAATTCGCCAAGAATACCAGGAATTTCGTGTAAGCAGCCAGATTTTTAGGGTATTAGCTTTGAAGCAATTTTGCTTTATTTTTTTCAAAAATAGCGCAGCCATAATGTCGAGAGGCTGAAGGTTTTCTGAAAAGTACGCTATACTGATAAAGTTCCTAAAATTGATGGAAAAGTTTGTCTCTGACGCTGAAGAGACTCTCAAAGCACTAAGCAACTGTGCAAAAATAAAAATAGTATGCGATTAGAATAAAACTTTCAACTCTCGATCTGGATAAGATTTCATTACTTTTCAGATCTTAAGAATGCCATAATATTTTCATTGCTACTTTTAAATTTATAATATGTACGCAAAATCTCTTCAGGCTACAAACACAATACAAACAATAATTCCATAAGAACACGAATACATATATACAGTTAAAGTTAAAATTAAGTATATTAACGATTCTATATTGCAGATGATCTACCAGAGAGTTGTGTTTGAGTTGCTTTCAGCTCGTAAGATAAACTCATTACTGCTCTTTGATAACAAACGGAAATATCATTCTAAGCTTCTGGAGCCCTCTTGACATATTAAAGATTATGTTATGGGATTTATAGGTTCCTGCAATTTCTTTATTTGCAGGTAGAGTGCTGAGTCCTATGATGTTTTTTCTTCCAGGGGCTTTCAGGATATCACCTGTTCATGATTTGTTTATATTCATATATACACTAGGAATATGTCAGAAATATGTAAAAGACTTGGTCTTCCATCCTTTTCTAATAAGGGATAATATTAGCAGTAACTTGCAATGTGTTACACAGAAGTGAAAAATTTAGGTTGATAAACCTAACAAAGGCCCTTTATACCGTTTGGAGAAATCTCTCGAAGACACTAGACCTCACGCTTATAAATCAGTTTTAATTCATCAACGAAAGAAGGCTTAAGAAGGCCCAATTTAGCTGTTACAACCTTGATATAACAGTTTAGCGAAAAAGTGAAGGGGGGAGGGGCTGCAGCCTCCGGCGTGCCTGTTCATTAGACACCCCTTATGAAATAAAATATCAGAAAAAGTTCAAATAAAAATCTGAAGAATGTCTAAAAATGTCTTCTTTTATTGATGCCATTCTTAAAATCTATTCCCTGCTAAAAGTATGACAAATTCAAAACATGGAATTATTAGGAGGCATAGCAGATCTGTAAAAAATACAATCAACTTTTTAGAATATCTTTAAATACATTTTAAACCTTGAAATGCTGTCTAGTTCTAAACACCTCAGGTGAAGAATTTTCATGCACCGAATCCAGGATTGCTGTGGCTGCTATCCAGACAAGTGATCAAATCATCTCCGTCTGTTGTTGATAAGATTTTGCTCTGTTTGATGTAGCTAACTTTAGAAGTTCTTTTTTGATATACTGTACAAGTGATTGTGGATTTTGAGAATTATCTGTCGAGAGCTCTTGGATGCTAAAATGTTTATCGTCAGCCGGAATATGGCTTTGGTTTACAGATGATGCATCATTTGACGGAGCGTTTTCGAAAGATTCTTCGTTTTCTTCTAACGAACTGAACAGCTGTAACAGAGAAAACAAGTACAAACTTCGATGAAATTTTTATGGCTCAAAATGAAAAAAAACAATATATTATTGAATACAGTGATATAACTCAACTTGTAAATGAAATATTTCAGGTAAAGGCGAATAAAGAGCCATGGCATATACCTTAAACAGCATATTGCCAAGAAAGAACTTTTGACAGTGTTGATTGCTTAAAAACCAATCTTTAAAAATTGAGATTAAGAAATTTTTCGTGCTAAAAGAATAAGCATGACAACAACAGAGCTATTTTTCTAAAAGAATAAGCATGCAATTTTCTCAGCAACTCATGAAAAATCGTATTTTTAACTAAGGAAATGGCCATAGTAAGAAAAGAAGAATAGATAATAAAAAATTTGATCAACGATTAAAATTCTATTTGAAATGTCTTCTATTTCAATTAAGTGATTTAGCAGCCTTCCACGAAAACGGTTCCTAGCAATATCGTCGTCTGGTTGGATAAAGTGAATCCCCCAAAGCGGGACCTAAGACTTTTGAAGCTGCTCTGTCTTTTTATTTTTCGTTGATTAAGCACGTTGGGTTTGAGAACCAATTCTTTGCCTGGCCAATCATAAAATGTTTTTATTGAAGAGGGTGTTTTCCCCTGAACAATAAATTATGATGAGACACCCAAGATTCTGCGCCAAAGTGCTAGCCCAGATCACAATGAAAATGTTCCAAGAAAAGAACCTTACACGCTTTTGGTGTATTGAACAGGACGCTTCTTATGTTGCTACTACAAGTTTCACGATTAATGCGACGAACGGGCAACTGTTTGGTACTGATTGTATTAAGTGTGTACAGCTCTGCCTATACGGCATTGAGCATAATAGGACAGACTTGCAAACAGTAACTTTGATTAAATAAGGACGTTATTGCTGAGTGTCTTCTTACGCAAAACATTTTCATAATACAGTTAATCACGTACTTGGTTTTCAAAGCTGCGAGCCACTGGTGTTAAGTATACATGCTGCTCCGGCGCAGGGGTTAGAACGTACGGCATCGGTGCTGGTGAAATTTTGTAGAGTTGTGGCGGTGCATGTTGTGGGGCTTGGGGAAGTGTACTGAAAAAGAAAATATTTTGAAGAGAATACTTCGCTCACTCTTATCCCATTTTCTGGTACCATTTGGCTGCACCTTGTATATCATATCCCATATTTGGGGTTAAACTTTATCACTTTTTGTATTTGCTGAGAAAAAGGAAATGCTTGTGAATTGCAACAAAGTAGCTTTTTATCCCGATGTCTTTCGGTAGATCAGGCAACGACCTAAAGACAATCGGTTATGAGGCATCATCCAAAGTATCACATGGGTTAACACAGAACTGACGCAGCTATGAAAAGTGCCCTACAATAATTTCTAATTCACAATGACCCTTTCAACATCAGTCAACTACAGATGGCGTCAAATTGTAAACTGCATATTGTATCTAAAAAATATCCTATTCTAAAAGTATCTTCCGTAGCTGCATGACTAATTGTCTTTACTCAAAACAAAAGGTGCTGGTCTAGGTATTCAAAGACAAGTCTGGGTCCTCCATTCAACAACAGCTCGTCGTTTACCTAAGAGAACTTTATCAGATGATTAGCTGCTTGCTTTTATTGAATCTCAGTAAAGAAATATTCAAGAATTTATCATTTGTGAATTTAAATACTCACCTTAGATACCTTTCGCTTTTGTTACCTCCAAATGGTCTTTTTAAACCTTGCGGTAGCAGTCGAGTGGAAGAGGGGGATGCAAGCTGCCATGGAGGCGGACTAGTCATAGGTCTTTGCAAGAGTATATCGTGAAATGAAATTGAATCGTTTGGAGTTCTTGATAACTGAGTATCTAGGAATAGGAAAAAGTGGAGTTTTAATCAAAAATATTTCAAAAATTTAGATAACTTTCATAACCTGTCGTTTCTGAGGCAGTGATCTTAAAATATAAACTTGTTATTTCTACCTACATTTTCTGAACTTAACGAGCAAGCAATGAAGATTGCCTTTCTCCATAATATGCTTGCATAACCAAAGAATAGTTGTTCTAAAGAATATCTTAAGTCCTTATGATATCTGAGGACTGTCTCTATTAGTTTAGGTCCAACATTTCAAAATCATTTACAAAATAACTTGATATGTTGGTCTGTAGCAGCGGCAAATGTCATTTGTTCGCTCACTTCCAATACTACCTATCTGTATTAGGTAACATTTGTGACCTCGGCAGAGGTATCACAACAATGAAATGCTACGTTAAAGCTTCTCAAACCGAATGCATATTGCTTGGAACAACATAAAAATGCTTACATTCACCGAAATTCATATCTGGAGGAGCTTCACTGAAATCAGCTGTCTCCTTTTGCTCTGTGAAGGAATCTTCATAAATCTGAACTTTATCCTTAGAAGCTTCTCCCTTTTTCCAAAACCCAACTCTACTTCCTGGTATCATTGAAAATGCGTCATTCAAAAGTCCATGAATTTTCTGTTTGGCTTCGTTCAGTTTAACGTCATCCAGGTCGGTAGATGGAGCAAAGACTGTGTTTTTAGACTCGGTATTATCCTGCGATCAAAATAGGTAATTATATTAATAGCAAAGAATGTAATACGAAATTGTGAAGAAAATTGGTGTCGTGAAAATTGTGAAGAAAACTTTAGAATATGTTGATAGCAATACACATTGTTTATTGGCTAATCAAATAAATTTGGTATCTGAAACATTGAAATCGAGGCTCGAAATCCATAATATAATCAAATGGAGGTTCACATACTTTGTCAACTAGATCTGTGGCTGAAGGCTCATCAAGTTTAAAAAAATTGTTCAGCTTCACAGCTGGTTTTTCAGGCACCTCTTCATAACCAGCAACATCGACCTTGCCACTCTTCCACCGACGTTTTGGTCTTTTTATTGACTTTTCGCCCACTTTTGTTGTTAATACACAGTTATCTGAAGAATGTTCAGCCTCGGTAAACTGGTGGTCTTTGGCCGCCATATGCCTCTGTATTGATAACTTCTTCTCTTTCTGTCTCAATTTGTTTTTGCTTCGTTCAACTTCTGCTTTCTGTTTCAAAGCATATGCAATCTGTAAATGGAAAAGGATGTTATATTTCATATTTTTTTGCGTTTCAACAGTATAAGTAATTTTGGTGAGCCTGTAAAATCGAAACATATGTTATCAAAGATGTTTCATTTTCTAGTTTCCTAGCTCTAAACAATTGTTTTTTATTCCACTATAATTCAGCGAATTGCCTGTGAAAAATGGTAATGTTGATCACAACTATATAATCAAGTATATTAATTTATCGATTCAGCTAATAACATAATTCTCTGCAAATTTTGTCCCAAAACATTGCATATGAATAGATGGTGAAAAGAATGGGAAACAAATGCAAACTGTTTTAGAGGGCTGCTTCAATAAAAGAGGTAACATGTCAAGGAACAAACAATTAATGATATTCTTTCATTGACAATCTCAGTTTACGGCAATAAATCCATTGTAAATTCATGAACAAGGGAAGCGGGATAATCGTACTCCCAAAGTGACTTTTTGCCAACAATCTGCAATAAAATTTAAAAACGCTGAGCAAAAAATGTCTCCAAGTGGAGCTCAAGTCTTAAGGTATCGTACCGTCAGGTCTGGTATGGACTGTAAATCCTCGTTTTCTTTTTCATGACCGGAAGGTATCCTCTCCATATCAAACATGCTAACGTACGTTGCGTTTTCTTTAAACCTCTGCTGCAGTGGAGCCTCGTTCTTTGACATCGTATCGATATATCTAAGCTGCCTCACAGGGGGCAATTCCGCAGCCGTTTGTTGCGTTTCCTACAAAAAGTGTATCTTTTGAATACAATTGAATCAAGTGCTTACTATAAAAAGAAAACTAGTGATATCCCCTTGTGCCGTGTAATCTTCGGTAACAAGAGAATATGGATATGGTTAATTGGTTACCTTGGTTATCCTATTTTCATCATCTTTCGTTGAAAGATAAAGCTTTCTGTTCAACTCTGAGCGACTGTCATACGCTGCATTTTCTATAACCATCTGCTGCGAAGGAGTCTCTTTCCTTGGCCTCACATCAGTATACGTAACCTGCCTCGCAGGGGGTAATTTTACAGCAGTAGATGCAGCTTTTTGCATCTCCTTTAAAAAGGCGCACATATGTTTAAACAATTTCAGAAAAAGACTTCATTTTCAAAATCAAAGGAACTTAAATGGACTTTCTAAAGACGTGTGTATTCTTATCCTTCTTGTAAAAAATTAGCTACAGAAACAAAAATTACTCAGTATGGAGGTAAAAACATATTCTAGTATAACTTAAATATCAATAACAAAGCTTTTTAATGAATAATCATCTCAGAAGCTTTCCTAGAGAATAAATCTTGTTTGCGTTTGCAGATACTGTAACATTACGTCACATAACATACCACGGTCTTGCGTAGCTGTTTGATTGATTCATACAAGTGGTCATCCTCCTTCGCATAGTTTTCATATGACACATCTTCGCTGGAAAGGTCTTGTTCGGAGACACGGGGAGTCTCTGCTTTTTTACGGTGCTCCTTGGTGTTGATTGGTTGATTCGAATGTTTTACGGGGGTGGCTCTAGCTCGAAGGTACCCACTCGAGCTGGTTTCAGAGTCATAGCTTTGGATCGAAGAACTGACGCTGGTGTTGTCCTTAAGAAATCTTAGATTGCCATTCTCCATTTGTGATCTTAATAAAAATTGGAAAAGATTCATTTTAGGCGTTATTCTAAACAAACGCTCTATATTTTTAGTACCAGTGGAATAATGATATCATGATAGGAATTTACAGGGCTTATACGATGCAATAAAAAAGTATACATGTTTCAAATTTGAAAATGGCTTTGAAAAAAGCAAACATTTTACAACATACTTAAAGCTTTTTCGTCTGACACTCCTCAGAGCATAAAACGTCAGAATAGGTTCCGAAAAAACACGTTTGAAAAATATCTACCCAGTTGTGGATCAAAATAGGCCAATCAGAAAAACGCAAGCACAAGACCGGTATAGTTGACCAATCAGTGCCGCGAGCCTAAAGAAAAATTACCAATGGAGTCCAAGAGAGAAAACGAACTCCTTTTGTCTACACAATGGCGGCTTTTTCAAATTTGTGTCTCAGTAGACATGTTTCAAATTTGCAAAATATTGGGCTGAAGATGTTGACCGGAATTATCAATAGCGTTTATTGTGTGTCAAATCTCGAATTAAGCTACATGATTGAAATGTTGACAAAAAATGCATAAACAGGATACCATGGTGCCTAAAGTAATAAACCTTTCTGCTAATGGGCATATATGAGGACTTAAACAATATAAGGGGCAGATTTAGGCTTTAAGACTTTCCCTGTAAAGAGTTTTGTCTCAAAAGAAAAAGAAGCAAAAAACATTTCCCTAAATGTCTACTGAGACACAAATCTAACATGCTATCAAATTATACCTGGTCGCCGCTCTGCTTACAAATGTAGCATCAGATGGTTTGCGAACTTTGCGGCGCTTGGAACGAATGCGGTCTTTGTTGTTGTTGTTGGATGCAAAACTGACCGGCTTCTTGCGTCCTGTTCCATGATACTCGTCTTGAGCATACATCGTAACGTCACTGTTCATCTGGAAAATTATGACAATAGGGCCTATTTCATTTCGAAATGACTTAACCAAGGATAACTGAATCACGAAGATCGTAAAATGAAGACTAGAAGTCGACTTTGATAGCTTCAATCGTTATTTTTATCGGTAACCTTATTCCGTTGCTCCAAAAATCTCAAGAGTGTGATAAAAACTGCCTACATTAGAAGCCAAAAATTGGACAAAACACAAACACAGGCCCAGAATAGGTTATTCTCAAAAGCCCTTAAGCTCGTGGCATCCACTTCAAGAGCCTCTTGTGCCACGGTTATTTGCTATCTAAAAGAAGTGGAAAATTAAGGGGAAGCAATTAATTATAATGTCGAAACGTACACGCAATTCCTTTAACTCTAAATCAGCCTTGGAAGGCAAATCCACCCTTTGTATATGATCTTTGGTGATAGCACTCTTTTTCTCGCCAGGTCGGCCATTTTTCCATCTATAGAAAAGACATGTGATGACCAGAAGCACAAGAAGAAATGCAGCCACGGAGACTGCTATTATCCAGATATAAGATTCCGATTTTGAAGTTACAGTTGGAATCAGTGACGTCACAAGAGCTGGACGGGAAAGAACCTGCAAGTAAGATGTCACATTATTCCACTGCCTGCTTTCTGAAATTATGTAATAGTGCCCTGGGAGCGCGAATTTTAAGATACAGAGGATACAAAAGTAAGTCTTAAAAAGAAAAAGGAATGTCTTAAATTTTAAAATTAAGTTGTCCAATAATTTAAAAATTTAAATTATTAATAATTTTAATAATTCAATTTAATAATTTCAAAATTTCATTTAACGATAATTTAATAATTTTAAAATTTCATTTAACAATAATTTAATAATTTTAAATTATTGAATGTCTTAAAGAAAAAGTAAATATAAACAAAATCCTGGTTTAGAATATTTTACCAAAATATTACCACTTAATCCTGGTTTAGAACCTCGTAACGGCGCTCTGAACCTCGTGGTAGAGGGCCATGATAAAGAAAATCTTCTAGAATTCATTGTTAACAATTACCAAAATTTCTTACTGAAAATACCCCTTGGTGCAGCATCTGGCTGCAAAGCTGCTACGCAGCCCTGGCATACTATAAAATAGCATATATATTTGACACTTCTCGTAGAGTGCACATAACAATTGATATCCGAGAACGAAAAGTAAGTTATGTAACCACAAGTGGAAGGTATTGCCCCGATATTCTAAAGCATGGTTTGTAGTGGTGCACTCAAAAGCAACAAACGTATAGCCACTGAAGGTTAATTTTTAGATGTTTTCAAGCAGCATTGCGGTTTTATGGTTAATTATTTCATAGCTAAAGGAAGCATCTCACCTCAAGGCCTAAAATTGTTGCCATTCTGGTTAACGACAATTTGGCAAAAATATCAACAAGTGCTGACGCCAGAAGAACTTGCCCCTTGTCAAGGATGAAAAAGACGATCTTTCCTTGGTCAGCTTGAGGCAAAGTCAAAGAGACAATCTAGAAAAACAATTGATGCATATATGTTGCAAAGAAGGATACACATGGTCAAAAGAAACATACACAAAAATGCAATAAAACAAAGCATTTCTACTCGTTTCGAGTAATGATTGTTACCAATTAAAAAACCCTCCAGAACCATCTAACTGTACCCTCTCATAGATGAGTCTCAGAATTGAAAGTAATGTCCCACCTTTTTGATAACTAATAGTGTTATGCTATACTAACAAACAGTTTGCCTTACTACAAAAACAGCAATCACAGCTTCCATTTCAAAAACTTGTTGCATTTTAGAGAGCTCTCGTGAAAACATTAGACACTACTGACAATTGCAAAGAGGCTACTATAAATCTTGCAGCTCTCCATTCAAAACCGTCGTATACTTTCAAAATTCCACTGACGATGGTTGAATAAAACTCTGATACTAAATGAATGCAAGTAGCATTACAAATTTAATAAGTTTTCCTGTTACATTAAAGAATTTACTTACGAATGTAGTGACACTGCCACGAATTTGAACGCCAATTTGCTCATACTTCGCCTCCCGGTACATCATGGTTATTTTCGTAGAAATGGAATCTTTGAAACCTTGTGTCACGATCTGGGTGCCTGAAGCAACTTTTAGGACCATTTTCACGTGATTAGCGTCTGTTGATTTGATGTTACTTATGGAGTAGGGCAACGCAATGACCTGGTATTTCATGGAAATTAATGAAATTAATGAAGCATAGCTTTAATGATCAATCAAGAAGAAGATTGATATCTCATACAAAATCAGTTAATACTTAAAATCTAACTCTCCATGATGTTTTTGTAGGGTGAAATTAAATCAATTTAGCTGGTTTCAAAAGTTACCTTAATCAAAATCACCAACATGCAAAGGCTCCATAATTAGAATATTTTAATGGATAAAGTTTTAAAACAAGGCTATTAAGACTTACGGTCCATGAAATCGAGGCGCTGAGGGCGGCAAGTGTTTTTCCTCTGAAGAATGTTTCGATGACGTCACCAGACTGTAAAACTCCACTATGCCTGACGAAAAACTCGATGTAGAAAATATTTGCAGGCTCAAGAATTCGGAAGTTTACCTAAAAGAAAAAGGACCTAAGTGACACGTGAAAACTGTTTCTCATCACGGATTCCCGACCTCAATCTTCAGCAACAACACGGTAACAATTTTAGACATGCTTAGTCAAGAACAACATACATTTCATCACAGATGTATTCTAATTTATATCATATTTTTCCCATTTGTCTTCAGCCTTCTGTCATCCCAACCAGCCTTTCCTAGCTTCCATCAACTCCTGCAACAGAACTCTTTTCCAGCTGTATATAAAGTATGCTGATTACAAATGGATTGTCTCAAAATTTGCCTCCCCAATCTTACCACCCTCGCTACGCTACTGTCTAAGAGACACGGGGAAAGGAAACGAACCTTCGCTGTTGCTGTGCCATCAGTTTTATAGAACTCGGCAATCTTCTTTTCGAACAATGCAATGTTATGAGAGCTAGACAGGTTTCGATTTGGGTCGTTGTTAAGAAAAACAGTGCCAAGAAGCCAGTGGGTGGACACTATTGCTGTTGTTGTTGCTGCCACTGTTGTTGTGCCGTAAACCACAACAGGCCCAAGAACCTAACGAGGACAAAACGCCGCACTTTAAGGTTATCGGTAGGGAAAAGAGGATATGAATTTAGCGAATAAAGATCGAGAAAATCTTATGAAAATCTTGTCAATTCATGGTAAATAACTCACCGTGTCTCCAAACCTCTGAGTAAGAGCCTGAAGTGTCATCTGATTCAGGGTATCCACGGTCCTCTGAGCTGCAACCATAGTGTTCCTTTCCAATACATAAAACACAACGTCAACAAACCCAGTAGTTCCTCTGCGTGACAAGATGATAATCTAGAAGGAAAAGATCATGGGAGAGCATGAATGTTGATGTTAACAGCCCACTACAGTTGTAAAGATGCTACGATTTGATTTACCTATTTGGTGCACATATGGCACAAGACAAGATCTGATGAACGCAAATGAACGCTTTCACTTTAGAAAAGATTTTTTATGGAGGACAGAAGAGCTTCCTAAATAAGGATTCAGTTGTATTAGTAAGTAAGTAAGTAATTTGACTCCACCCGCTTCTGTCGTAAAGTCGTCAGTTTCTCAGTTGGCAATTTTCAGACGTTTTCTTTGGCTTACTGGTCTTTGTGATGGGGAGTTCTTCAAATAAACTGGGATAATTTAAAGATGGATATTCCTAATGCGTGTTGCAGAATAAAGCCTTACCTTCGCAGTATTTCCATTTAGCGTCACGTCTCTCTTTTTCCTTTTGAAACGTAGAAGGTTGTAGGTTGCAATGATTTTTGTCTCGAGAGAGTTCAGATAGGACACGCTTGAGACATCCTTTGTTATTGGTACTTCCATTGGCACGTAAGCCAGGCCATACACGGTAGGAGGAATTGATGTTAGGGGAAAGAACGATGATGTTGTTATGCTTGAAACCGAACGAGTAACCAGGCTTGATGAAGGTACTCTACTTGGTACTGACAGAGGTGTGGTAAGCAAGGACTGGGATTGTGACGTCACTGTAGCCCAGTCTACTCCGAGTATTGTACTCTTTGCAAAGACAAGCAGATTTGACGTTACTGGCAAGTATTTATAAGCTGCTGATGAATTGGTTGAATCTAGAGCTTGAATGGTTGACATGGAGGGAGAGGAAGGCAAAACTCTCGACAATAATGTTGTAGAAGAGACTTTAACTGTACTTTTTACAAAATTTATGTTTGACGTCATATGTTCATTGATAGCAAGGCTCGATGAAATGTTTACAGCAGGCGATTCATAGAGACGTTTGGTTCCCGCTGGTGAAATTGTTGCTGGAGATTCATTTTGAGATGATAACTGATGGGTACGCTGCGAGAGTCGTTTCTGGAGTAAAGAAACGATACTTGCGTTGGTGTGTATGCTGGAAAAAGACGATGAAGGTGAAGTGGACAAAACAGTGCTCGTATTCCCTTTGATATTGCTTGATCTAGCACTGAAACTCACAGTCCGTCGTTGATTTAACCTTGAATTCATGTCCACACTTTGCAGTTCCAAGACACTAGAGACAGGTATAGGCAGTCTGGTTGTGCCCGATTCCGCAAAACTTCTTCCCGACTCAAAATTGCTATCAGTTTGGATGAATCCTGAGGACAGGCTAGGCTGAATTGTTGTCGCATAACCAGCTTTTCTTTGCGAAATTTCCAAGGTAGCTAAACTTTGGTCAGGTAATAATTTTCTTGTAGGTTCGGTGGATACTGAAACCGGTCGAAGAGCGGATTTAGACAACTCAGGAATGGCAGGAGAAGCTATAGAATGTGAAGCATTTGTAAAAATTGATGCCAAGGAAATAACTTGAGAAGGTGTTGCTTTAAAAATTGGCGCTGTCATTGTGTCTTTATGAAGATCACTAGAAACGGAAACGACTGGAATCGATGATACAGCTTCTTGGAATATTTTCCTGGAACTGACTTCTTTCGGTGATGATGATTGGTCGATGTGCTTTGATAATGAAAATTTTGCATTTTCAGCAGATGTATTGAGAACTGTAGAAAATATTCCAATGGAGACATTCTGAAGGCTCAATTTCCTACTGTTAATAGATGGTGCTTCAGAAAGATAAACAAAGAGACTTGCACTGGATTCAGGGGCGACATTGTCTTTCGAAACAGTAACAGAGCTTTTGAATGCTAGGAATTTGGTTGGTACAGCCACTGTAGATGTTGCATTGAATAACTGCTGATCCACGTTCGTAACTTGGTCTATTGTTGAAGAAAAGAACAATCCTGGTGTCACTGGTAGATATGTTGAAGTGAATGTGGAACTTGTGTTTCTAAATGCACTGTCTGTGACGGAGCTTGAGTGCTGACCAACGCTAGATGATGAAATACTATATAAAAGGCTTGTCTGTGAGCCAATGCTAAGGACGTTGGTACTCTGATTGGTCTTAATAGACTCCAAAGAGGAGCTCGGGGAAATCGTGATCACAGCGCTGGGTTTGCTCTGTGCCAAAGCTGATGTAGTTGAACGCGAGACGTTTGTGAAACTTGAGTTTTGACCGATACTGGCGAGAGATAAATCATACTGAAGGCTTGTCTGTGAGCCATTGCTGAGGTAATCAGCACTTTTACTGGTTTCGATCGAATCTAAAGACGAGCTGAGAGAAATATTGACCACTTTGTGGGCTTTGCTCTGTGTCAATGCTAAAGTAAACGAGCTTTGAATGTATGTCAAACTTAAGTCTTGTAACTTCGTATCGACGGTGAGATTGTGCCTCACTACAGAAGATGTGCTAGGTTGAGGGCTTGTCTGTGAGTCACTGCTGAGCGAGTCGACACCATTAATGGTTGTTAATTTTTCCAATGATGGGCTTGGCAGAAAATTGATCTCAGTATGTGCTTTACTTTGGGCAGTTGGAGAAAGGTCCGTTATTATCTGTGAGGCTGGTTCTTTGGCTGTTGAGAGCGTCCAAGCTACAGATTCAAAATACTCAGTTGTTACAGGAGAAAATAAGGAACGTGAAACTCTTTCTGAGTAATCTGAAATGTTTCCTTGAAAAACTGATTGGCTTTCAGCGGTATTGGCACTTGGAAACTGTGATATGAATTGAGAGACCAGTGTGTTCTCGATAGCTACAGTAGCGAATGAAGTATCACCCGTGGATTTGCTTTTCAGATACGGGATTGATTGCAAGGTCTGGTTCTGGTTTGTACTCACAATGCTTGGGCTGGAAACCGACAGGCTGGGATGGGCGAACTGCGGTGCCTCTTTGAAATAATGTGACGTGGAAGCAACCTGCAATGAGTCGGATATCGACGGTTTTTGGCTGCTTGATGTTGCTAGTAAGTCCGTAGTCATTTCTGAAATAGAATTCAAAGTTTCTGTTTCCATAAGCTGATAATTCGTCGATAAATTTTCGCTGCCAAAATTTACCGATAACTGGATAAAAGCAGATGAAGACTGCATCAAAGAAAACTCGGTTATGTTGAACAGAGACAACGAAAATTCCTGCTGGAATGTTGCTTTTGGTGAAATCAATAGAGATTCCCCAATGAGAGGAGACAATATAGAAGATTCAGCGGTAGATTGGTAGGTGCTGTCTGGTGTAGCTGAAGGTACCGAGAAAAACACTGTACTGCTCGTTGCATTTACTGGAAACGAGACATTCGACTGTAGAAACTCGTCCCCAGGATGCTGAAAACTATCTGTAGACATTAGGCCATCAGATTGCCAACCTTCTGAAGATGCAAAAGAAAGTGTTGGTTGGACAGTAGAAACAATACTGCTGCTACTGCCTTTCAAATCAGAATAAGTTTCATTGTAACTGTTTTGCTTTGGCAGAGTTGAAGACAGTGGAAATCTATCAGCAGAATTTATGTCAGTTTGGATGCCAATAAAGCTAGTGTTTTCCATCTTACTTAGTTTTGGCGTTTGCAAAGACGGTGAAACAAGTGTTGGGGTTATAAGTTCATTTATGCTTGGAGAAGGATACGCCTGTTGTGACGTCACATATATAGAGGCTTGTTGGGAGGTATGATAAATTGTATCCCGGGAACTGAAAGTAGATGCTGAACTGGTAACATCTTTTGTACTCAAAGATGATTCCAAAATCATTGGTGTACTAATTGTTTTCTTCTGGTTCAAAGGAGCAGAAATAGAAGAGAGTGCTAAGGTGAAATTCTCTTCAATGTCCCCTGCTGGCTGGATAGTTGCAAATGAGTCAATGAAAGTTGATGTAGACTGGGATTTCAAAACCTTAACATGTGACGTCGTCACCTTTATATGCGTGGAAACTCCGTTATTCGTTTCAAGCACCGTGTTGTTCCTTTGTGCAGAGCCTCCGTTAATGTTGCTTTGAGGTTGCCGAGGCGTTGCAGAGAAAAAAGCACCTTGTGTCATTTCAACATGAGAATCTATACTAGAATCATATTGGATGTCGTTTGCAATTGCTGCTGATAATGGAAGGCTTGGATTTTGAGATTGGGAGCTACTTGGCTGAGGCCTGGGTTCAATTGGCTGAAGGCTGGAAGTGATGGGAAACAATTTGTCTGTTGATAAAACAGTATTGCTATGGGATGCAGTAAAAAACTCTACAGGTTGAATGGTTTCTCTTTCAGATAAGCTGACTGAGCAGTAACCGAGTGTTGACGTCAGTATTAACTTCATACTTTCAGCCATGGATGCAAAAGTATTACCCACTGTATATTGGCTCTGCGTGCCCCTAGCACTCATCATTTTCAGTCCCCCAGCTATTACATCAGTCGAAAGGTACATATTGTGAGAGGACGCAAAGGATGGCATTATAGAAGGGCTGTATGGTAAAACTTCCCTCCTCTTTCTGTTGATAACATTTACACCAGTCCAAGGATCTGTAACAATGGTAGATGTTATCGTTAATGTTGCTTTGCTTTGGCTGCTTGATCTCAGGTTAGAGGAATTGATAAATGTGCCATCAGTTTTAGAGCTGATAAAACCCGTGCTGTGTCTTGAGGCAGGCAATGTTCTCAAATTATTTGGCGTTTTTCTCCAGTTTACGGAACTAGATACGGTGTCTATTGCTTGCGTCGTAAAAGCAGATGTTTGAGAAGACGATGCTGTATGGCCTTCTATATCTTCACTGACGTCATAGATGAAGGAGGAAGCAGACCCTCTAGGTAATGACGCCATCAATGACGTAATCATAGTCTTGGTCAATGAGACTTGAGAGGCAATACTTGAAGGAAAATACATTACATCGCTTGTTTTTGCTCCAGTGAGTTTTGGTGATGATACTGAAATCGTTTGGGACATATTTCTGACATATTCTGAGCTTATTGTTGATGTTATGCCACTTTCCACTTGTGCCGTATAATTAGCTGACTGGATACCAAAAGATGATGGAGCGTTGATATAGTACGTGATCCAACAAGGAGTTACATATTCAACAAACGTAACTCTATGGTTTTGGTCTGAAGAATATTCCGTTCTCGTTGCACTTGCGATTTCTGTAGATGGCGGAGGATATTCACTGGGAAGAGCATTGAGGAATTTCGATGAAGAGAGATTCGGGAGACGTAGGCTGATAGCAATGCTTCGTTGTGTGTATGTTTCGTTAACACGAGTTGATGAACTTATCCCTAAAGTACCATGAACTGTGTGTAACTGCTCTGATCTGCTTTTCAATGTGTTTTCGTAGCCCGAGGCATACAATTTCGTTGATTGTCTGTCAACAAAGGCGGCTGATAAACTGCTTTGCAAATTTAAAATTTTGGCAAAGCTAGTAGATTCAGCAGTGAACTCTGTTGGCATTAGAAAAGGGGTGTTGTTTGAGTCATGCATCATTGGCGTACCCTCTGGAACGTGAGGTAATCTAGCACTTGCAGAACTATAATTTTTATCTCTCGAACCTTTTGTAGTTTTCATTTCTGTAGCACTTTCTGCACTGAAACTTGGCAGGAATGTTGCCACAGGAACATCTGAATCACTTAACTTGGCCTGACTCGTCAACAATGTTGCATATTCTGTACCATGAGAGGCCAATATCAACCCATCAAATACAATTGCTTCCGTTTGTGTATTCCTGTATACAGATTGAAATAAAGCTATGTCTGTTGATACATCGTTACTAATTGATGGACCAGACCCACTGAATGATGCTTTCGACATATAAGGCATCTGCTTGGTTGACTGTACTGTAGTGCCTAGAGATCAAAAGATTTCAAAAATTTGACATTTTCCTAGTACATAGAAACGACTCAAGCATAATGTTTCTTTTACTGACTTTAACACAATGTTGTAAAAACATCCAGTAGTTGAGGGAATGGCAGTTGGTTCATAAAGTAAATGGAATAAGTCATTTGGTTCTTCGTCACTCATAATCTGCAGTACCAAAAAGAAAGTCTGTTTTTGGCTTCAAGGAGTGAAACTGAACATAATACAGACAAACTTGACTGAATCGCACCTTCCACTCGCATTAGTACCACGCGCACAGTCTGTTTTGGCTGTTGCACATCCTTCACATTTTTTCTGTACCTAAACCACCTTTGACATTCTAAAGCATAAAAACTAAACCCCCCGTCACTTGCTTGTCAAAAGTATTGGCCTTGTTCTCCATGCCATTTTTGCTCCTTCGTACAAAGTCGTAATTTGGAAAACATGCAAACACAAACTATGGTAGAAACTATGAAAGTAATATCTAATAAAGATTTCATTGGTGCGTTACAGGGCAACTGATAAACGTCGACATTATAGTGTTAACCTGCTCCTTGTGAAATTTCATTACTTTTCTTGCTTTTCGAGATTTTTTAAAACTTCTGCCCTTCCTACACATTGGCATACAACACTACATACTTAAAAATGCAAGAATTCGAATAAGGAACGTAGTAGAATTCCTACCAATTCTTTCTGTCATAAATTCGAATGCTCTCTTCGGACTGACGCTTTGTTCGTATACAAGCTGAACTGTTCCTTTGTACCTCATTCCAGGGGCGAGGCTACTGATATTGAGTGTGGTGTTCCCATGAACTGTAAATACCATTTCTTTCTCAGTTAAGTCGAAACAGAGGTTGGAGTCACTGCTGTTAACACAAGCGTACTTCAGTAGAATTGTGTTATTCGCTGATTGATTGGCACTGGTTGGCAGCTAGGGAGAAACACCAAAGAAACAAATCAAACACTAAAATGTCATTCATATGGAGTTTTGACAACGATCAAGGTATACTCGCTTATCATGTGTCCTTGCCAATTAGTAGGTGCTTCCAAAGAAATTCTACCTTTGATAACAGTTCCTATTTGTAAAAGAAAAAGCAAGAATCTGAAGAAACAACCGAATTGACATTACATTACTAGAATAAAGTAATAATTACGTTCATAGACGTAAATAAAGTACAGTACATAAACACACCACGTTCCAATGTTTAGCTCATCGGCTTAAAGTTGTTCCAAGAAATCTTCTAACTGTTGTTTTTATTTAAGCGCTTCTAGAAAGATTTTCACTCCCGGAACTAAGCTTTTAGAAGCAAAGGTAGAGTGAGACCTAACAGCACAAAATAAAGACAATTGCACCACATAAAATCGATCTTTCTTTTGTGAAAAGTTGTGTGTTTCAAATGCATTAAAATTAAAAAATGTAGCCTGTCTTCTGATTGAATTTTGAAAAGGAACATCATTATCCTTGATTTTGCTTGCTGCAATCTCGATACATCAAAGTATTGAATGTTTGGAAAATTGCCAATTAAAAGAAAAATAAAAACATAAACATCCACAACTAAGTAAATAACTTTTATTGACAAATTTACCTCCACATCAACCAGCACATGATTTTTTTTAACAGCTAAAACTCTAGTTCTCGGCTCTCCACCTTGAATTGGCACTGTAAAATTAAGGGTAACTTTATTGGTACAGTTCTGTTCAAAATATTTTTGAAAACAACAGATTGTGACAATATAGGACTTCATAAATGTTTTGCAACGTTTATTGGCAATGTAACGGTGTGGTCAATTGTGTGTGGATGGCTCAGTGGTCAGGGTGGCAGAGCTTCCTCACACAGTAGTGTGGTTTGAATGAACTTTCACATAAAGTGAGTCAGCCCTCTGTAACTTGAGATGGAGGAATCACGAGGCGTGGTCACAACGAGAGGAAGAAACAGGATATTGCTCGATAAGCATAGTTTGGCATTGTCCTAAAAACTACCTTCGCAAGCTAAACAGTATACAAATAAAATCGTTGTTGTAGCATTAAAATCATTAGATTAGATTAGATTAGATTAGATTAAATTAGATTAGATTAGATTAGATTAGATTAGCATTAACATTAGATTAACATTAACATTAACATTAGATTTATATTAGATTAACATTAGATTTATATTAGATTAACATTAGATTAATATTAGAAACAAGTCTAATGACCCAGAATTTTGATGATAGAAACACAAACTATAAATCATATGATGTCATGATCATAGCCTCACCCTCAGAACATCCTAGCAGCCTCACTCTGAAACATTTATGACCTACGAAGCTTGTTGCCTCGATCTCAGCAAATCTAGCGACCTTCATTATCTTGAGCCAGTTCACAGCAATATCTGCCCTGCCAATGGTTCCTTTAAAACTCTGTTGTAAAAAATTGCGTTAACTTTGATTATTGCTGCTAGCTGGAAGTTGCAAATAATGTGGCGAGATTAGCACGGCTCAACTCTAATTTTTTAGAATAAAATGTTAATTTATTCTCCTGTCGACTTCATTCAAGTACATATAAATACAGATAAAAAGTATTGTAATACTCTACGCAAGGAAAGACTGTAGTGATTTTAATATTGTAAATTAGGCCATATTCCTACATCATGCCATCACCATGACATCCACCTAGGTCATTCACAGCATCACCTAGCACATGAAATTCCCTTTACCATTGATCACACGTTCACACATCTATGTCATGCTGATTTCTTCCCAAGCCTAGATTTTTCCTTCTCCATTGCATCATCATTACATCATCACAACACATCATTACTCAGCACGTTTATTTTGTATATAAGTATATTAATTTGTATGTAAGTCAGTCAGTCAAGTTCAGTCAAGTTCAGATCAGAGTTATATATCAACACAATGTCTCTCTCACTGGCTCCGTGTTCTCTGCACGTTAAATAAGATTCGAAGCGAACACCAACGATGGAAAGTCACAGGAAAAGATAGGAACCATTGCAATTCATTCCACATAATAACGTTCCTATAAGACATCTGGATAAGAAAGTTCTTTCTAAACTACAGTGCGGCCATTATTTTGGCCTAGCAGGTAACTTACTCCGATAAACTCCATTCTTTTAGAATCGAGACCAAGCCTCATATTGAAGCCGGTTACCCAGCTTTCAGCATTTGGATTGCCGGATATGATAACACCAGAAAGCAGCTGCAACTCATTGAATTGGATTAGTAAAACCTTGGTTTGACCGCCTATTTCTGCACACCAACCATGCATTGAATATATGTCATTGCTCAAAGTGAGGCGTTCTTTAATTCCATTGGACAATGAATAGTATGTGGAGTTTTCTGCATTGTTCAAGCGCACAGAGCAAGCTGAAAATAGCAAGACAAACTGTTGGAAACATAGACACGGTTTTTTCAATATTTGCAGCTATTGCCCTCAAAAGTGTTTGCTTTGCTATTACGAAACTCAATACAAAATAAAATTAACCATTAAAAGCTTTGAAATCTTACAGAAAAATACCAGCAGTTGCATATATCAACCATGTTTCAAAAACTGATATCAAAATTGAGTTATTTTAATAAAGTTCATTCGCCAAACATAAAACGAATAAACACTATGAATCTATTTGACGTGATATTTCTAAAGACCTCATTATAACATTAAAAATAGAACTGGAATTCATTTAGATGTTTCTTGACATAGATCAATGAAAGAAAGCCAAGAGAATTTTAAGAGCTAAAAACAGCTCCAACATGCTTTTATTATATAAATAAAGAACCTATACACAATTAATTATCTACGAAGTTTAAAAGCAAATAAAAATTACATTGGTGCTCAGCAAAAATCTCCGCACGAACGCAATACTCCCTGGGTGCCACTCCTCCAATTCCAGATGGTCCACCTGACACTGGATACAATCTGACATAACGCGCGATGATTGATGGTGTGATCATGTTAAATACTGGGTCCTGAGCGGTGCCGTTGTTTCCATGGAATAACTTGCAAAAAAAAGAAACAAGTCGATCACAAATGCTGAAACTTTGCATTAACGATATGTTGGAAAGACAAAATCCTGCAGGTCTTAAAAAAACTGAGTCATCCCCTCTTTATTAAGTCAAAGAACAATAATGATTCCAGGTAATTCTGCATCACTTTGGCCACAAGCATGAAGGGGGGTGACAATAACTGTAACATCTGCTGGTCTCCCCAGAGAGAATGCATCAGCCAGAAAGAAAATCCAATTGAACCTGTGTCTGAAATGTCTTTTCGTAAAGCCGTAAATCTGCAAGGAGCGTTTTTTACAAATATGAAATTCATCGTGGCGTTAGTAAGACAAGAATATCTTTTATAGGCAAATTAGCCTCCGTTAGTATAAAAGTTGATCATTCTACGAAAAAGTGACTATAGGCTAATCCTATGTGAAACTTAAAAAGACTGTTCAAATATGAACACATAAACCTTCCTTTTGATTTACTGTAAAATTAAATTACAACAATAATTATCAACAAATGAAATTATGAGTTGAAAAGGAACCCTTACCTTTCGTTTTCCACTTATACTGAAAAATGAAAACGGGACGGTGGATGTATTAGAGAATGACAAATAGTATGCTGACACCATGTCATTTGTTGTCCTGCCAAATCGACCCTGTGTTGTCAATGCTTTCACTGCCAGCACTTGTCCTAAATCGAACTGAATCCACTGGTTTGCAATCATATCAATACACCAGCTATTCCTCATATTCAAACGAGCATGATAGGGAGGCTCGCCCACGTGACTTGACGAAGCTATTACATGTGAATCTGGTAAAATGCCGTTCTCAAGGCCCACTGGAAGCAGACTTTCCCCTGAAAGGTAACAGAACAAGATAGCAAGTTGTGTATTCTAAGGTCTTGTTAACGATTTTAGATACGGGAAAATTGAACTGACAGACAAAAGACAACAATTATGGCTACAAAGCTCGGCACTTTTTCAAACTCAAAAGACCCCAGAGAAACGTGAATGAAACCCTTAAATTTTGTGTTCAATAATCATTTAAAAAATAATAATTGGGCTCAGAAAAATAAAAAGATAAGAATCCTCAATAAAATCACTTGTCTACATGAATTATGACTGAGAACAAATCATTCTCCATAGATTAATCATTTAATACCCATCAAGTCAGATACGTCATTATGAAAATCTTATACTTACGTTCTTTTGGTAGACAGCCATATAGCTCGAAACGTAAACAAAACTTGGCGTTGTGGCCAATAAGTAGGAGTTTTATTGGTTTAATCCGCACAATTCTGGAGGTGACGGAGACTGGGGACCAGAAATAGCGAATTTCGTCACTGTCCCTTGAAGGTGACACGTGGATCTGCATTGAACAAAATGGGTTAGTGGAGGATGAGCGAATTTTCTGGGCTTATAATGAAGTTAGGAGTGGGTTCAAAAGTAATAAGGAGTGGCGTAGCTAAGAAGGGCGAGGGACAACCACGATTGGTCTGGTAATTTTTTCGGCATCTGTTGAATATCATAAGAAAGGTTTCTTTGAATTCCCAGCCACTTTGAGAATTGTTGAACATTCTCACTTATAACTTTTAAGAGCTTGTAAGCAGTATAACGAATTTTCCCTAGATGCTGAAAACAATTCTCAATTTTTCTTTGAACATCAGAATGAAAGTTTTTATAATTTACGATCAGGGACAGGCTTGAGTGAAAGGGTATTTGAAAGATAATTCCCAGCTTCTGCCAATTTTTTTAGCTGGCATTTGATTTCGATCTTCTGATAGTTATCTTGAAAATTGGCATAAGAAGTCTTTTCACAAGTTTTTAGAAAAATGTCATCATAAATAAGGCAGTACAGTCCGAATTTCATATGAATCTTTTGATGATTACAAACGGCCGATGAGATTGGCACTTCTATGAAAGCTTTTACTTTGGTCCCTTTACTGCTCCTACCAAAAGGCAACAGGGGCGGTTGACCACACGCTTCCCCTCTCTCCGGCGTCCCTATTTACGATTTTAGGAACAATGTTGCCTTCGAATGATCAGTACAAGAATAACAATTATCAGTGTATAGTTAACATAAGTAATGAACTGACAGAAACACACCGCATTATGACCATGCTCATCAGTGACCCTGGTAACATTTCTAAAGTTCACCCCGTCATCACTGAGCTGTACATAGAATTCTTCGATATCATTCGGCGGATCCAGGGGGTCACCCTGTATTGCTATGCCAGTTAGTTGGTAACTCCTACCAAGATCAACTTGGATCCAGTCTTCTTTCCAACTAGAATTGCCTCCACACCAACAGGACCCTGTTTTTAAGCGAGCCTGAGTTGGTCCCCAAAACCGTTTTGGGTATATGTCATGAGAGTATATGCTCGAGGCCGTAAGTTTTTTACTGTCAATAAAGCCATTTGCCAGGCCAATAGGGGTAATTTCTGTGCAGGCTGTAAAATAAACATTGAAAGCAAAAATAAGTTGACTGACGGCTATTCGGTAAAAGAAAGAAAGCTACTACAGTAATTATTCAATTATCCGACCCACCGTTTATCCGGACTTCGATTATCCGGCCCGTAAAAAATGTGAAAAACCTTAGGAAAAATTTTCGGCAGTTTTGATAATAGGTCGGGTGCGTTTTTCTTGCTTTCTATTTCAAATATTTAGGAGTATTCTGAGAGTATTTGGTGCATTAGATTGTCATATGTGCTTAAAAACAAACGTTCACATCACTCGCCTTTTTTATTTACGCTGGTTTCTGCCGTTTTTCGTATATTTTCAATTATCCGGAACTTCAGATTACCCGCACGAATCTTGAAATCCCGTGTCCCGATAAGACCGGATAATTGAACAAGCACTGTAGACAGCAGATTGGTAGCAGCTAAGGACCAAGATAGGTTTCGAATTGTGTAGGGGGGTTAAAAATGGGTAGGTGCTCAAGCCCCTTAGTCCTCCTTCGCTATCTAGGCCCTTAGTAGCAGCCAAAATGTCCAAGAGTGGCCTGCATCTCTAGATAGGTGATCCACTTATCGTTAATATTTCAGCTACTTGGTACATGATAAAAAGACTGTCTGTGAAATAGCAAAGGAGATCATATCTCAATACAATATCACCAATAATACTGGAACCATTATATTAAGTTGAGCGCACGATTAGAAAATTTGAAGGAGACGGCAAAATATGTCGCTATGGCAACAAATGTAAATAGCCACCATGGCCTTTAAAATTGCACGTGGTAAACATCAATTTTGTATCAAATAAAATGCTATTTCAAAAATCTTAAACCTATGCTTTTCCTGAACAACTTTTATCTCAAAACTTCAAGAAAATAATAAAGTAGAAATGAAAAAGATATTTGCGTTTATTTGCTTTTTTGAATGAAAACAAGGTTACTCAATGAAAGCACGATGTAATTCATGACGAGTGCATATACACGAGTGTAGTTTTCTACACGAGTGCATATGATATTTTCAAAGGCGAGTGAGCAGTTTTGACACAAAAATGATACTTTATGTAATTATAAATCACAAGGTTAAAGATTCCTGGCTCTATTAAAATAAAACACTCAAACTTGGAATCAACTGATGGCTTCAAGCCTGGAATGACATTCATTTACAAACTATTTCAAGCCCTGCCTGTATCGAATTTTGCTTCATTCCGCTACAATTAACTTGAAATCAAAATCTAACATACCTTCTGAGCTTGGAATATCACTGCTACAATCGATTCTCGCCAAAAACGATCCAGACAGCCAACAAAAGAGCAGTAGGAGAAAGCGCAAATCAGCAAAAACGCCATTGCCATTGCCGCTTCCTAACATTCCAGCAGATGCTTGTTAAGAATCTTGTAACAGATGTATTTTATTTTGGAAGTTACGAGCTTCTCGCGTAATTTCACTGTTGCTTCTTCCTCGATATAGCATTTCTTTGTAGCGTAAAACGGCTGCAGCTCTCGAAGTAACCAGTAAACAACTCGCGTCTCTAAATCAAAACCAAGCTGGATCTATTCAATTTGGAACAATGCTTGGCAGTGGAGGGTAAAGATAAAATGGGACGTTGGCGTTGTAAATGAACTGAAGAGAGAAAACAAACGTAGCTCATAGGAATCCTACACACGGAATGAACTTTGAAGCATCCTTTGAAATAGAACAAAAACATCATGCATGTTACAATTAGTAAATGATTTTTTTATACTAACCTATTCATATTTTTATTTTTACTCTTGACAAAGCTATATGAATTGGCTTTAGATTGGTCGCTCGCGTTCTCGTTAGAACGCATAGTCTAGAACCAAGGATCAGAAATGGTTAGATAAAAGGCAATTGGAGGTGGGAAAATGTACTTTTCCTTGGTATCATTTTGCTTCTGCAGCATAACTAGAACGCGTTCAAAGATTTAATGGCAAGGTCACAGATTAGAAGAAAAGGTCATTGGGCCAAAAGCTGAAGGCCAAAAGCTGAAGGCCTAAAGCCATCTTTTGATGAACACGTGATTAAGAGATAAATGACGTAATAGTCAATCTGATGTTGACTACACATCCTAAGAATGGAATGATTTAGAATTAAATTATTTAAAAGAAAAGAAGGCGAAAACTTCTTTTCCGTTCAAACACGCAACAATTTGCCATATTGCATTCAGAGGTTTTTCTTTTGGATTATGATTTTGATGTTTTTACTGCCAATTCTAATCCAATTTTTCAAAGGACAAAGGTATTAACGGTTCTAAGCGGATTGAAGCGACGATTGAACAACAATTTTTTGCTAGAACAAATGATTGAAAACAAATGCTCGTTTTCTTTTGTAGATATCCCTTTCTACCAAAAAATTATTTCTTTATGATTGTCTTGCATTTCAAAGGTAAATCTCGCCCCCGTAGCCAGCAAATCTTCATAGAAGGTTTTATTCTTGGGAAACTTGGCCTAAAAATGCCCATGAATCTGTTGAGAAAAAAACCCACTGTAAATGTGTTTGGGGTGGCTGCCTCTTTCAAAATTGTTTTCACCACTGAACGTGTTGAATATGATAAAGTGTTCAAGACGAAATCAAATCACAAATGGATGAAATAAAAAAGTAGGGAAAGTGGGAATACATTTTATTCCTTTGAAATAACCCCGCAATGAAATGTACCAAGGGCCCCCTCTCAGATCATTCCCAAGAACCCCAGGTGCCTTAGCCTGCGTCGCAGACCATCCTCAGAATACGGTCTGCGCCAAAGGCTACAGGTGCCTCCGTTAGCTACTGGTTGCTAGTCTCAAAATTAAGTCTTAAAATTGAGCACTAATCAAGGGTTTCAATTGGAATTGATTTTCTATTTTTCTACAAGAGGGCCGTGGAATCAGGGAGATTCTCTAATAATTGTCAGTCATAGCAATGAATGTTTACTTGCATTTATCAGAAGTCCCGCAGAAATCTTGCAATGGTACATGGAAAGGATAGTGGATACAAATATTTGCGCGAACGGATGAAATAGAATAAAAGAGAAAAATCTGGACGATTGGAAAGCAGATGACATAAAACTATCTTGAAAAGCCTAAAAATGAATCTCCAGGAAAAGACACAGGTAGGAATCTAAATGATAAAAAAATTGTTTGCTTCAATGGAAACATAATCTGAAACGAATCAAGAAGATCGTACCAAACAACAGATTCCAATTTAGGGTACCTGTTACATAATTCACATGGCTATGAACCTAGCCATTGGTGTTAAACATAATTTACAAATGATTTATCTCCTTTATGTGGGATTAATAATGTCATCTTCCTTGCTGTGGGTCGCATCTTCACCCAACGGGACTTGTTCAATATGTTCAGCAGCTGTTGCTGATTCGGCCTCGATTGCCAGGTCATGTGTCTGTGATTCTACAACACTGCTTGCCTCCACAGCGCCTTCTTCTACCTTCTCCGCATCCTGTTTGATGTCAATAGCGCCCTGTTGCGCATGAAGAGTGGCAGCCTGGACTATGGCGCCAAATTGAGATGGATCTGAGACAAGCTCCAGTCCCTTCCCATCAGTCATTGCCAAAGTGACGTATTCATTATTACCGGCATGCTGTTGCATAAGTTGTTTGAAGGCCGCCTCCATTTCCATTGTCAGTAAGAAGTTACCAACCTTACAAAGAGAATTGGCCCCGACATGAGAAAAGCTCATATATTTATGCTTTGACACACTTAAGACGAATGAAGGGCTGACACATGGGTTCAGGAATCTCAGATGCAACAAGTTCAGAACTACAAGCTGGGCTTAAAGCTGCATTAGTCATACTAAGGGTGGAGAGTTATACATGTGTTCAGTACACATGCTTGCTAGCTTAGAGTAGAAACAAATCACAGTTTAAGACTTTGGATAACCACAAAACAAGTTTTGTCTTCGTTAATGACCATACCTGGACGTATGATGGTTCTGCGGAGGATTCTGCTCCTGCAAGACTTATTGCCGCTGAAGCATCGTCAATCTGCATTGGTGCCACTATGAAGGCAACTTCTTGCGACGAAATATCAGCTGATGTCGGGTCCTCAACTACAAAAAGTAATAGTAATGCTATACCTAAGCTAGTTACCTGAGCTTTTGTTGCTAATCCTACGTATCATAGCGAAAACTTAATTACTGAACATAATAGACTGTGGCATATTTTGGCCTTCCTAGTTAAAAGGTTCAAAAACAAAATCTTCAGATAAAGAGTTTTTACTTCAGTATTTTACCTATTTCACCAACATCTAGGCGATAACAAAATATACCGACTAACCATGGTTTCCTTGGCCAACTATCTAAAATGGGGAAGGGTCACACATTGGAGAATTAAGGTCCTGAATAACGTGAATCAAATTCTAATTCGCTTACCGGAAGTGCTAGCGGCCTCGTCTTCAGTCGCCGAAGTTGCATCTTGTGGCTCCTGTGCAAGGTCTTTCGGTTTCTTTTGCGTCAACGCTCTTTTCTTGCGAGGTACATAACCATCTTGGTGTATTTTTTTGTGATTGCTAAAATTGCCTGAATCTCGAAACGCTTTTCCACACACAGAGCAAACCAAAGGTCTTTCACCAGTGTGTATTCTACGATGCTCCTGTAAAAATAAGCAACAATCTTAATTTTGCAGTAATGTCTAAAAGCATTTTCAATATTTTCAAACAATATTTTAAATGAGATTTTGATTGTGATCATCATTACCTGGCAGTTCTCCATCCTAGCAAAAGACTTTCCACAGATGTCACATGCATACGGTTTTTCCCCAGTGTGTGTGCGACGATGACGCCATAACGATGGGCCCCTTGGAAACGTCATTTTACAAAACTCGCATTCAAAAGGTTTTTCTTGTCGATGGACTTTCTCGTGCTGTCGCAAGTCTCCTTTTAAATTGAATCTTTTATGACAGGTTTCACACTCAAATTCCCTCGCGTTTACATGTTTTCTGTGATGATCCTCCAAATTTGTCTTTGTGAGGAAAGCCTTAGAACAACCTGGATAGCTGCATTGGAATGGTCTCTCTCCACTGTGAAGGCCTAAAGACATAAAGCTGCCATATCATCATGGTCCTATCACCGACATCAACTGATACACTAAAGAGTTTCAAACCGTGACTTTAAAATTTTAAATTTCAGAACTTTGGACTGACTATAGAATCTAAAAGAAGACCTTGAAATTCATTTTTAAAGTTACATAAAAATCTATTAAATGTTTGGAAGAAAAGCTGAGATGCGGCAAGTGAAAGAGCTGTCAATACCTTACTGTTTTTTGGCCTGTTTCATAGAGTTTCAAATCTCAAGAACAGTTTATATGGCCATATCTTAGCCACTTTCATAAATTATGCAAATTCTAGAATTATCAACAATTCTTCCAATTTATTTCTTCGAAATTCAATATTTCTAAAATAATATTTTTAAGGCACTGTTACTTTGGAACACTATTGTAGTCATATCCTTATTAACTCAACTAAGAAAATTCCATTCATAGAAAATGTTCATGCATATTCTATTTTATATGAATTGGGAATATTACATTAGTGAATACATTGCTCACAGGATTCTCACTTGAAATGATATGGAAAGTAGAAAAATGGTACTGAATGACAGTTAAGGAATGTCCCAGTTCTTGGTGCTAAGAACATATTTATTTCTGTTGTTATTTCTGCTAATATCCAATTCCAAATGACCATTTAGATTTACTATCCCCTGGACCATCACAGAATATTTAGTTAAAATTTGGTTGTTGGTGTAAAGCATGTTGAGTTAAGTAGTTTCAAAATGTATGTTTTATCATCATCATAGTGATAATGTGAGTGTTTTTTCCAGCTCAAAATAACTTACATAAACATAAGAAAATATACCTTGATGATTCTTTAAAATCCCTAAATTTGATAGTGCTTTGCCACAAACTTGGCATGGAAATGGACGATAATTGTCATGTACTTTGTTGCAATGATCTTTGTAATCGCTTGATTTCATGAACCCTTTGGCACAGTCTGGACATTGCCATGGCAACTTGGCACCATGAACAACCAGGTGCTTTTCCAAAGCAATTCGCATGCTGAATGATTTGGCACAAAAGCCACATTTGAACTCTCTCTCTTCTGCTCTGGTTCTTTTCCGCTTTGCTGAAGTCTCAGACAGTTCATCAGATTCAATATCTTGGGAGGTCTACAAAATTAAGAAACTTTAGCAGAAGGTATTTCTTAAAATGCTGGTTTTCAACTTTGCAGAAAAAAGTTCCTTCATTTGAAGTTTCTATCAAATTCAAAGTATGAAAATAAAGGAGGACTCTTGTCTTCAAATTTTTGCAAAATAGTCAGTCTAAACTAAAAATTACTTAATTGTTTACAAAAGTTCTACTGAGAACCTTTGTGTCAGGAGACAGCAAAGTGTTTCCCTTATCACATTATTGTAAAATTTTCCCAGCCAATGAGAGAAAATAACTTTCATGTCACATCAAACATACAAAACTCAGGTTTGGGAGGTTATAGCAACAACCCCCATAACAAATATTGTTTATACAGATAAATCAGTCACCTGCATACTCCTTGGCAATTATGTTGGCAATAGCGAAGGCCAAAAATGACATGATTTGATTTAACATGTAAGTTAGGGAACTAAATAGAAGCAGAAAAAGCAACATAGATTTAATTTACCTGAAATTCTGCTTCAAGATTGACAAGCACCGCTTGTTCCCCACCCTCTACTTCATTGCCAACACCTTGAACTGCTGCTACATCTAACATACTTGAATCAATAGTTTCAATTTCAGTCCCTTTTTGATCACCAGCTCTGGTGCTTTGAATCTCCTTACTAAATTCAGATGCTAAGAACTCAACAGCTTCAATGTCTTCTTGGTTCAGTTCTCTTCCCTCTTCATTTCCTCCTGTTCCAGACTGAGATGATAACAAAGGCACATGAACGCAAAGAAAGGTTAATGCATATTTTCCCTAATATTATGACAATACTTGGCTTAGGCCAAATTGATAGCACACACATTTAAGTCATAGCACCAATGAGAGTTTTTCAGAGACAAGAGGCAAACAGAGATGAATCTCGTGAAGATGATTAAAGAAATTAACAGATTTCACAACATCTCATCACAAAGTAACAAAATCATGAAAAGAAAAACTTAGCATTTCATTCATAAAGGTTCCAAACAAAATAAATTGAATATTATGAGTAGGAGAAACAAACCATTTCATAAAAATGGTTATTTAAAGAATAATAAAAGAAACCCCAACTTATACTTTTCAAGTTTGCAACTATGAATATCAAGGAAAGGTCGTAGTCATTTGTTGAGCACAAAAGAAAAAGTCTCTGACATGCATAAACTTATGAGAATCAATTCTTTATCCTATAGCAAGTGACAGATTGTGTAGAACTTTTTTTCTTTTGAAACCAATGGTTACATGAAAACATTGATGGAATAGATTTATAGCATTCAAATGGCTTGTTCAGAAATGTGATGAGCATCAGTCATTCACTGTCATTCACTGCTTAGGGCTGTGGCAAAACAAATAACTTGATAGACAGTCACATAAAAAAGAGTGTGGATTTTGGGAAAAATAACTCCTCTGTTTTTTAAGAAATTAACAATTTGAATTAAATTCAATCAAAATCAAATTACATTACATGACATTAACAATGAAGGATGTGGGGAATTACATTCGGTGTAGGCGAACTTCTTTGGGCACAAGTGCCAAATACTTCATGTAGCAATATATTTAAAATGAAAACGTAAGCACAATCTCCCTTTTGTTGAAAAAATAACTTGTTTGGAAGAAATTGTGTATCTAGGCCTAAGATGGAACAAGGTTACCTTTTTCTTTTCAAAAATTATCTCATCTTCTGTCTTTTTTACATTAGCTCCAACAAAATCAGTGTTTCCTAGAGCTGATGATGAAATTTCAATTGCATGAGCAGCATCACCAGCCTTTGCTTCAGTGTCAAAGAGAGCATCTTCAACTTTTGCAATGATAGCTCCAGAATTGGTGCTGCCAACTTAAAAGCAAAAAACTGCAAATCAGAAACTGGATGTTTGGATTTGATTCACAGTATCTGGATTTGATTCACAACAAATACAATTACAAAAATATGGATTAATTATAGAGGGGGCCAGAATGAAAAATTTTCTGACAAATTTTCTTCGATTCATTTTAATTAAATAGAAGCATTTCATGTTAGTGTAAGGGGGAGAGAGAAAAGCACATAACCTTTGCCTTAGCTTGAAAGACTATCAAAATGCACTTTTTTCTTGTCTGTTTCATCATACTTACTGTGAAAGTCCCTGACATCCCGTAACCATATAGGTTGGTAGATTAGGACAAACAAAGGTAAAGTAAACCTGAGGCAGCACCATGGTTGCCGCCAAAGGGCAAGATTTTTTATAATCTTAATGCTTCAAGTTCACTGGAAAATTGCATCTTTGGAGCAAATTTAATAGTAAAATTATATTTTTAAAATTAATATTCACTGGCAGAAAATGACAAATTGATAGACTTCTTCCTTGTCATACCTTATGCAATGTTATTCCTTCCCTGCTATTGTAAGGCTAAGACTTGCAGAGTCTCAGAAACTTGTTTTGGCAAATATTTCGAGTTATTACATGTTAAGGTGAAGATAGTGGGCACTTACTTAAGGGTGAGTGTTTGTTGTCAATCAAAAAAACGTTTTAACAAAAAAATGTTGTTTCCAACTGTGGACCATTCGGATTTCACCAGCGAAATGGAAATACCCTTGAGATTGATCACAAGAACGTATCCCAGTGAAAAATATCTCTCTTACAATAAATTCAAAAACTCTAAAAACTCTGGGAGTTTTTCTCTGATATGATGATAGCGTGCACAAGGTCATTATTGAGTGAAAATATTAGAAGACTCTCCAATCCGCAATTTGTGGGAGTTTTGGCATGTATGTGATGGGTAGGCATAGACATAGGAGACATGGGGTCTGGAAGGGCTGGAGCCCCCTAATCAGGCAACAGTTATTGCATTCAAGGCTCCATTTGGGCAGTTTTGTCTAAATGAAGCAATAACAATGGGGCACAATCTATACTTACAGTCTTTGTAATATGAAAATAGGCCGCGTGCGGCATTTCGCACGCCTTGGTTACTTTGCGCGTGCGATGGCGTGCGATGCGAACCGCTTTTTATCGGTTGTTTCTCATCTCTGTTGTCAAGAACTGGGTGCTGCTTTAAGGAGACCTTTTATGTTATAAACTGAACGGAAACCAAGGTAATTGACGGAGAAACTGTTCTTGTTCTTTTTTAAAGATGTTAAATTTAATTAGTCACTTAAAGAAATCTGGATTGAAAAAAAATTATATTACCCGTAGACCCTACTCTATTACCTAAATTCTATTACCCGTGAATATCTTAGCGGATATTCATAAAAAATATCTTACCGTTAGATCGGTATTTCTTTGGAATTGAGCTAACAATCAAATGAGAAGGATTGGGTAGAGAAATGACACAAACGTCGAAATGAACACACTTTCTTTGGGCACAAAAACAAGTTTAAAATAATTTAAAAATAAGTACAGTCACCGTCACTTTCTTCTTCATCAGAGCTTTCTTCAGCTTCCTCCTCCTTATCTAGCTTCGGTTTCTTCGATAAACTGTTGCAATTATCCCAGACTGGAAACTTTGCTTCTTGCGCGGGCAAGTTTATTTTGAAAATTTGAGACTGCGCGCCTGAAATCATGCACTCTTAGTTATTTTTATTGTTAATAATGTTAAATCCCATTGTCAAGGGATCTAGGGGATTTTGCGCGGCCAATATGCAAAAGCGCGCAGAGGTGTGCGCGGGCAATATATTGCGGGCGCGCAGCAAAGTTTCCAGTCTGGCAATTATCCAGCTTTCGCTTTCTGCTTTTCGAAAGATAGATCTCCGTTGCCCTTTTCAAAATATTCTCCCTTTCATCGTCAGTCCATATAATGTCATTGACTGCGATGCGAAGTCTCATCTCCATAACCCTGTATGACATTATCTGACAATAATATGCTGAGAATACTGAATGCTCTCTCTACCGATGAATTGGAGCCAGATATTGCAACCATTATCTTTGCCAGAATGCACAGGTTGGGGTACTCGTCTGCCCTGTAAGAAAGCGTATTTTTCCACAGCTTTCTTGCTTCAATCCTACAAGCATTATATTGTACGTATTTTTTGAATGACTTCCATTCCTTGAGAGCTTTCGAAACGTCAAACTTCGTCTCGCTGAGGGGGGGTTTTGAAAATAGCTGCAAAGCAGTGATCTCTGGGAACCCGTAATCCTTGTTGTCGTTCCATTACTTTTGATCAAACCACTTCATCGTACTAAATACTCCATCAGCATCATCGAAGTAGCATCATCCTTTTCCGACTTGAAACCGATAATTTCATTCTTTCCCCAACCAATGAATGTTGCCAGCTCCACTTTGTTTCTTTTCGCCATGATTACCGAAGAACAGAGTAATCAATCGAACAGTGAAAACATCTCTTGGATCGAAAATTTAAATTGCCGGGTTTTCACAGTAAGCACCAGGTATTGATTGCAGATTAATCCCCCTTGGGTCAACTGAGCGATCTTGTCGTATTAACTGTTAAGCGATCTTTTTGACGCTGTTGTTAAATCCCTTATGGGAATACTTTAACAACACCTTGGACAACGACAGAACCGACTTTGGCGACTTTGAGTTACTTTGAGTTGAGCAATTTTAAAATAATTTTGTGGCAAATTCTTTGTTTTGCGCGTGCGATGATTAGCACGCCTTGGACAATTTGCGCGTGTGTGGAGGCGTGCGCGTGCGATCGCACGCCTCATATTACAAAGACTGTACTTAATGTGTGGCATCTGCCATTCCCATAAGGGGAAGACAACACCAATAAACTACAATCTTCATGATAAAGCAGTTTTTATGATAAAGCAAAACTGACAATGGTCCAAAATCCAAAGAATTTTCTCTAAGTTAGTCTAAAAGTTATAAAGTATAACACAATAACTGACACACACTTTTCATATATAGTAGAAAAATTTGTGAAGATTTCCGCCTAAATTTCAGCCTGCTGGTTTTAATGCTTTTAAAAATGGCAATGTAAGATTATCTGCAAGTACATAACATCATAAATGGGTATTAAAAAGTATTCATCTAAAAAACAAATGTGATTTGCAGATCAACCTTTTTAGTTTTCTTCTTATTCAGCCCATATTGTTTGCAATACAGGCGACTTGTTTAATATGCTGTGAGCGAAAGGGAAGTCGAAAAAGGCCATCTGGGGCAGTGCACACAGGCCGCCGTTCCCTGGATCTCCAAAATGCCATCTAAAAACCAAACAATCATGACTGGCCTCTTTGCATTTCGCTTCATATTTCTTTGCTATAACTTATCAATCAACAAAGTATGCTTTTAAACAGCACAGCAATACATTACCACTCATTTTCTTTGGCGAAAATTCGCGCCAATACTTCTTCGTCTTTTCCTCCGATCCCTGTGAAGGGAAGGCCAATGTCACAGGGACACAAACGCTGCTCGGATTCACTCAAAAAATGGAAGATATAACTTGATTTCATTCAACTACTTGTTTCCCGTTTTCCTTGACCACTTGTTGGGCTTTTCCTTCAAATCTAGACCCTTGCTCGTGCAAGACGTGTTGGTCTTACTATACACCTTAGTTCACCGTGTGAAAATCAAAGATGGCGGACAAAACAACACGGGCAACGCAACAAGACCAGAATGGTAGTCACGTGATACAGACGAAACGTGCATACAGGTTTACTTTTGCAGAGGCTAGGCATAGGCTAACCTCAAAAACAAAAGCAAATATAATAAATTGACCAGCTTTTGTTTCAACGAGTTCCCCTAGCTCTACACCCAGTGAAAATTGTATCAGGACCTGTTTTCAAGCCTCGGGGATGGGATAATTTTTCTGTGCTTTCTTTCCACGTACTTCAGTCCTGAAATGAATTGGCAAGTTCATTGAATTAACTGGGAATTCTGTTACGGATAACGTAACGGAAGTTATTGTGTCGCGTTTTCTTGTCACTAGTCCACCATTTAAAAGTTTTTTGTCAATAATTATCACCTGCTTCATATTGCTTTGGGATTGAGCTTCTCCATGAATGAGTTTATACTGCAAATGCCGTCAAAATAGAGGAACTTGCTAAATCTGATTTTGGCCTCAAAGCAAGTCTTTTTCAACTCCAGTTTTCAATAAATGATCATTGAAGAGTAGGAGTTATCTTACGTTTGTAGTTGCTTTTGCTGCTTTCAAAACGATTCATTAATTTATTCTATCATGTTCTTGGTATTGTCAAGTCCCCCTCAAGATACATTTTAACTCTCCACCGGTATCCAGTCTCTTTGAGCTTTTCTTCATAGGTTTTAACTATAGTTAAAACACTTCTTACTTGAAATCGTTCTTGTACCATGTCTTCTTACTTGGTACAAAAGAAGGTAAAAACACTCAACAACTAGCAGGCATAGGGCATCTAATTTCTAAACGATATACAAACCTAGAAAATCCTTCTTAGATAAATAATTAGATTAAATATAATGTATATATTAATTTCAATCTGTATGATACTATCAGCAGCTTTTCAGCAAAGTAATCTTTTTCTCTAGCAACCCCCCCCCCCCTGCATGTAACCAAATATCTTTTTTTGTAAATGTAAGAGAAACACACTAGCACAAATATGCAATCCATGGAATATGTTAAAACGATTTCATAACTCATCATTAAACAATTAATATATACAAAACTACAGCAATACAATTGGCATGGTTGTTAATGAACCAAGCAAGACATTAATACAGTTTACTCAAGTTTAATAATTAAGATCCTCATAAGCGTTGAAACATTACCGCAATTAGTATCAGTTATATCAGTTAATGTATATGCATTACGTTAATATGTCTAACAGTACTTTAGCTATGATAAGCTGAGAATACTTGCCTATGAACACGTTGCATGGTATGCAACAGATTCAAGCATCATATGCCCCCAGAATTTGTAATTTGCAGCCATGTTCGTGAACATAGACTCTCGATTAATTGGGTTTCACCCTACATTAGCAATCCTAAATATCTGTTTCATTCTTTATTGCATATTTAACATTTTTCGATCAGTTTCGAGTGTAACGTCTACCAAAACTGCTAAAACGTTACGAACTGGCTTGAAAACGACTCTTTTCAATTTTCCTATGTTTTATTTTTCACCTCGTGGAAAATTCCACAATTTTCTGGCACTAAAATACTACCTTAATGATATGATGGTGTTTTATACTGATGGTTCTTTTTCGTGTTTCTTGAAAACAATCTACTTCACATGTTAGAAGCAACCATGGTTATATTTTCTCCATTAACGAGACGGTATTCGAGCTGGCTGACGTCACTCCTGTTGGCTACATGAAGTACTAAGAAATAAGAAATACAGCCATGGAAAAAGTACAGAAGCCTATCAAATCTACTATACGGTATTACGTATACAACATCTATCAACCCGCAGTAACTCCACGTACGAAATTGTCCGATAGACCATTTGCCATATTGTCCATATCAATATTATTCCTGCGTGTATATTCTGGTCGAACATCTTCCGTAGCGATATTTTGCAAAAGACGCTTCAGCACTTGAACGAGCATTCTTCTACTTCTGTGATCGCGAATCTGAGGAAGCAAAGTTTTTAAAAGGAAATTAAAGAACAAGCCTGACATATAGATTTGTGCAATACAATATATTGCAAGTAAAGCTAGTTTCAGTTCCAGGATGCTTAGCAGACCCATCAAACTTCAACAAAATAGGAAATTCCTGGAGAAGTTTTAATTCTCATTTTTAAGAATTTTGAATTTATTCTTGATAACGAGACGGCGATAAAAGATTTTTTCGGCAGCAATGCTCCAATGATAAAAAAATCCTACAACAACATTCAACATAATCTGTTCACACTTGGATTGATTAAAATATGCGTAAAAATGATGTTATGAATAACAACCAGTTCCTGTAGCGATTATCTGTGTGCACTGTACTATCATCCTTCCGTTCGGAAAATGCCACGTGAACCTGTGTGCACTACTCCATTAGTGCCCTGCCCTTTTTACCTTGCCCCATACATTCAATCCTTTGAATGCTCGTCCTTAGAATAACATGCGGCAAAAGTGCTTTCGCATTCCCACACAACAATGTGTATGCACAAATAAACACAAATCTAATTTTCTAACATGGTGCACTCAGGCAAAAAATTGAAATTTCATAAGATTAACAAACGTTCACATACTTGCGCGGGCAGGAATCTCTCCGCGTGCTGGTTCATTGCTCTTCTTCGCAACGCACCTAAGACTTCAACTCCTGGAGCCTCGATCATAATTCGTCTTGTAGGCTTGGCAACCTTGACCAAAGTAACTGATCCACAAGATGGACCACTGAAAGGAGGTGGGCAGCGACAGATATTGTTGCCAAGGCAAATCCCACCATTTTCGCAAGGAGCAGAACAGGCTAAAATGACAGGCAAAGTATATTATAAATTGTGCATCTATCGGCTTATTTTGAAAATTTCGAGAAAAACAAGGGGTAAATTACTGAAATCAGTAGAATCTTTTGATTAAGTCGATGTTGCACTTTGAAAACATCATAAATCTATACCCACATACTTTATCTACGAAAAAAGACTAATTTTGGAAAGTTATACAATGGAAGTGATTATGATTAGGATTTCAAGTGATCTACACGTGATCTTCATGTGATCTTTACATGCTCAAAATTGCAGCTGTTTCAAATTACCTGGTCCTTCACTTTCTGCAACTGGGCCTATCAGTTGACCGATGAGAGGAGACTTCACTTTTTCTTCAGTTTCTGGTCGATGAAGCTTAAATTGATGGTGTTTATGATGGTGGAATGGTTTGGGTACTGAACCAAGCTCCATTTCAAGTCTGTTAATGTCGTGTTCAATTGCAGGAATATCTACATCGGGGAGTGGAGTGTGAGGATGAGCAGCTGCAACGATTAAAACAAAGACATAAATGAAAAGGCTTGTCAATAAGTTCAATATAAAAAGGATTGTTACATAATTGTTACACTGCAACATGGATGCAACAGTTTCTTAAATTCTTTAAATTTTTTCTAAGAATAATTGGTGCCATGATTGTAGAGTCTTTGGGAATCTAAAAAAGTACAAAAAGAGCAACAAACAAATTTCTGAAAGAAAGTCTGCAGTATGGTTTTATTAATGGGGGGCCTATTAATAAGCGGTTTTGTTGAAGAGCAACCTACCTCAAGATTAAAATCAAATAAAGGAAAAGTTTTAGATGCAAGAAGAGACTGTACATAAAAGGCACATGTATAAAAAAGAACACACGAATAACGGATATCGCTCAAATACGTTCGAGAAATTAGGCCTGTCTATCTTGAAAAGCTCTACTGCTGGTCAGTTTAATTTGAGCATATCCCGCTTAATTTGAGCTTGAAAATAATCTGCATAACACCAAAGATGTCTCACCTGCCATGATCTTTTCGTCGCGTTGGCGCAACATTTTAGCAAGGATTTTTGTGACTATGAAATTCAAAGGATATGGTAGGCCATTTATTGGCTCTCCACTCTCGATTTCTTTTTCAGCTTCTGTGTTCGGGGCTGGTAATGGGATGAAAATTTGCTTCAACAACCGACGGTGATGCGGCAAAAGTAGGTCTTGCGGAGCAGCAGGCTCTTCTTCAGACATTGCTGGACGAAGTCCCAGATTAGGGAAATTTGCAGGCCCCTGGGAGGGACCTGGCATCAATTCAGCTGGGATTGGTGATTCGTTTTGAGCTGAGAATGCAAAGAAAATGATTTACGCGTATGAATCTTTTTTGCAATTTGCTGCAATTTTTCTCTGTTCTGATATTTACTTTATTTTCTTATTAACTAGATGATAGTTATGATTCGATAGCCAAAACAAAGAAGTTTTAAAATAAGATTCCAATATGAAAAAAATGTTCATAAAATTTCTTGTTTATGTACTAACTGAGGCAATGAATCTTCTGTAGGCAATTTAAAATGGCTGATCAAGCCAACATCTTCTACTGAATGTTGTTAGGCAAAATGAGTAAAATAGCTTAAAATCATTTAGTAACCAAATTAAAGCAGTGGCATAGCATAGCCAGACTAAAATTATTGCAAGCTGATCAAATGAATCTCTGATATAAATTACGTACGACGTTGGCTGCGACTCCGAATCCACTCGATAATTTCAGCCACAGCAGCTTCAACAACCGTCATTCTAGATTCCAGACTCTTTACTTCTTCTGTCAACGCATCTCCATATGCACTTGGGCCGGAGTTATCTTCTGGATGCAAAAATGACGTTGCTGTGGAGGAACAGGCGCGTCTTATTAAACATTTCAACTTTAGAAAACCAAATCTGTTGGTTGCTACAATTTTGTCTCTTAAACTATTGAGAATGACATAAAGATGCTGGAAAATATTACATTTCATACCAACACAAAGATGCTGGAAAAAATCACATTTCATACCAACTCAAAGATCTAGACATCTTTAAGGATATTGCACAAGTGACTGGCATCAGGAATTATCTGAATCAATTGAGTTCAAAGTTATATGGACTTATTCCATTTTTGTCATGTAAATGGTAAAATTTGTTTGCAAAACCCCTTCCAAATCACCAAGGCTTGTATGAGAAAGAAGTGAAATTGTGCATTCTGATTCGGGTAGAAATGTAGGATACTATTATGACTATGTGTATTAAGACTAGCATCAATGTTGAATATTGTTTTAGGCATCTCTTTGGAAGAAATCCTGAAGATATCAACATTCAAGTCGCTAAGAAAAGATGTCAAAGAAGTATATTTTTGCTTTCCCCGATTTCTTGTCATGACTCGACTCTAAAAACGAAACACAGGAAACTTACAGTTGTCGTTATTTTCGCTGTTCTCGTCATCCTCTTCTCCTGGCAGTGATGGTGGCTCCGTTGGCACAATTGGGACAATTGGCTTCCCGGACACCGTCGGAAGAATAATTGGTGACTCCCCATCTTGAAAAAAGCTCAAAATTTTGTAAAATCGTTGACACTATTAAAAAGTTATCATTAAAATTTTCGAGAGTAATTGGAGGTAATGAAATTTAGTACTTATAACCAGAAGTCGTTCTGTGCAAAGTTTTTGGATAAAACGGGAGTTTTGTCGTTTATACTCTTGTAAATCAATTCTCGGAACATTTGAATTTACCTTCAGGTTGTGGCACTGGTGGCCTCAACAATAACATCGGTGATCCATCCATATTCTGCCCGGGTGCTGGTTCCATTGCAACTGGTGGTGTTTCGCTGGGTTGTCCGGCCACTCCAAACTGACCCGGTTGTTTGAAAGCCCAACCATTCCCGAGCTGCAATTCCTGACCGGGTTGAGTATCTCCACTCTCCGATGCTGTCTCACCCTGGGTGGGGGTCTTAGTTGGGGCTGATTCGATGTTAAGTATAGGAACAGCTTTAATAGGAAAATGAAGGATTTTCTTTATATAAAATACTGACAAGATATTGGCCTAAGTATAGCAATAAAATGGAGGCTAAGAAGGTCACACGAAAAAGAGGCTGCATAAAAAAGATCCTGGAAGTAATCTCATTAACTTGCAAGCGTTCGTTAAAGATATTGTAATTTACTTTTTTAGAACTGAATGGATATTGTGAAAAAATATGATTAAATGAAAAAATAAATGAAATAAAAAATGCTCTACACGACCTTCATATCAAATACATTTGATTCTATCAGGTAATCTCTATCTAATTTTTCACCCAAGTCTGCTCTTTTCAGTCAAAAATGATACCCGCAGCAAACTTTAGAAAAACGATACATTAAGGTTATTTAGCAAGAAACAAACAAAAATTAGTTAAAAACACTTTTCTGATTGGAGAGATCTTACTTCGGACGGATCTACAGGCTGTATACATTGAACAATAAAAGCTTTCTGTTTTTTAAGAGCTCTTCAAACAAACATTTGCAAAATGGCGTAAGATCGCAAATCCATTAGATGATCTAACATAAATGTGTATTATATTCAGGTTAACTGTATATTATGCATTCAAGATAGTTTTCTGAACACAAACTAAACCCTTTAAGCAAAAATTCCATACCTGTAGTGTTATTCACCTCCACATTTTGTCGCGGTGCCCCAAAGAACTTAAATTTTCGAACAGGCGCCTCGTATTTTGCTGGCTTTGTTGGCATCGTTTTGTTGCCAATTTTCGCAACAGCCTGTCCATTTTGCTTGCTACTGCTAAGTGCATTTTTACGTTTCGCAAAGGTGGTCTTCGAATTTTTAAGCTTTTTAGACACCCGCTTCTTTTTTCCTTTGCTAAACTGCCCAGTGACGCGTCTATTATCATGACCACGGCTATTTGCTATTTTTCCTGAAGATTCATCTCCCGAATCATCGTTTGTATAATCATAGCCATAATCATCATAGTCATCAAAGGCTGCATGTTCTATATTCGATCTGCGGTTTTCTGTTGTGAAACTTCTCTTTCTGTGGTTGGATTTCACTTTCGAAAACGCGGTTTCCCGCGCAACTTTCGCGCTCAGAACGCTTTGGAGTTGTTTGGAGATTGGCGCTTCGTAAGACGATCCTTGCGTCCAGCTCAACTCGTTTCCAGGCACTGTTACATCGTGCTTATTGAATTTTCTGATTAAATGTTTATCGACATTTTTATACCTAACTCTTGTCTCCTTTTGTTGTTTATTTGTATGCTTGGATGATTTGTTTGCGGTGCGTGAGTGTCTGTGCGTTTTGTATCTCTTCTTACTTTTTGTATGCTTTACTTTCTTGCTAGATTTATGTACAATTGCCTCTGCAGGCATCTCTATATTAGCTGTGATGCTTTCAGGGGTTTGCTCCTGGGGTACCATATTACGTGCCCCTGAGCCAGCATCTGTTACTGCATCCTTCTCCTCTGTGATTTTAGCGTTGGTTTGTTGTTGCGCATGTGCCTGATTTTGTTCAAAACTCGACTGCGCATCAGTTCTTGTTTCTGTCTTCGCTGCAGTAGCGCTCCCTATAGCAGTATTCTGATAACCAACCAGCTTTTGCTCGCTTTGGATGGCTGGAGAGACCTGATGAAAAGAAAAACAAACTTATTTTTCGTAACGCTCACGCAAATCATTTCTGGCAAATGGTAAAATTTCAACGTCATGAAAATTGAGCGATATCAACATTGAAAATATAAACTTGCCTGATTTCCATTATAATAGGTGTTCGTCTCCTGTCCAGTCGTTGCTTGCTGAGCGCTTTCCTGATTACCGCGACTATTCGCAGGGGTGCGTGTTCCCGCGTATGTTGGCTTGTCATTACTGTCTGTGTCCTCCTCCCCAGGGGCATCGCTGCCAGGCTGGGCCACAGTCGTTGTCTCATTGTAACCGGTTTGTTCCGACACGTTCTTCTCAACCGGCATTGCTGATTTCTGCAATGAAGCGGTATCACCTGAAATCAAGAATGAACGTCATTGGTAAGCATCCTAACCATGCAAGCAGCTTCAATGATATTAAGCAAACCATAATATTGGTGCTAAACACGAAAATATGAAGTACTTGCGAAACTTAAAGACTTCATACCTCATACCACATCGTACCTCAATTCACAATGATGCGGCTTGAGCATAAAATTTTCAAAGATGAACAAACTTTACATAAAGCAATAAATGGCAAACTCACCACTGTCACTACTTGCTTTCAAAATATTGGCTACCTGATTGGAAACTTTCTCACCAGTATGTGTAACTAGTTTCTCCACAATACTGTGCATCACTTGGCGTGCTCCTACAACAGTATTTTATGAAGATGTGAAGTCAACAAAAAGATTTTTTCTAACTACGAGAAATGCTCTTAAAGTCTATGCTCTCTCTGTCAGCACAATATTTCCTCGAATCTAATTTTTCACTGATATAATTTTCCCAAAGTCCTAAAGTCTACGTCAAGTTCTTCTCCTCTAGCAGTGCATGGAGAGGTTAACTATACATGAAGATCTACTGTGATTACAAGGAAGATGCCTGCTCCTAAACGCGTTTAGGCCCCCAAAAATGCGCTCAAATTTAACTTCCTTTATCTAATTTCGTGACGTCTTATGCCCTAAGAACCTTCTTGGATCTCAAAATGTAAATTGGTTCTTGCTGTGTGAATGTTTCCAGAAAGGGTACGTTCACACAACAAGAAATTTTCGCCTCAAGGCCCACAACACTTTTTAAGATCCTTCATGAAAAACCGTTGCACGAAGGGGGAAGGGGCGAATATAAGATTTTTCGACAACGATGAACCCTTGATTAAAAGTTCACAAACAGTGTTTTATATAGTGCAAGCAAGGTTTCAGAACAGCCATCGTCATCAAAACAGCCAGAAATCACAAAATAGGGTCGACACAAATTTCAAGCGAAATATTGTGCAGCAAAAAATGCAAATGAATAGCATAATCATAAATATACGGTAATTGGCACGGTTGATGCTAAAGGATGGAACAATGACCAGGAATGCGATGCTTCTCCAAAAGAGTATCCCCATCCCCTAGTGTTTATACGATGGTCTCTAATACAGCAGTAGCTACAAGTGTTAACTGTTACTGCAATCGTCTCTAGATATAGAAGAACAGGGTCTGTGCCTACTGAGAGAACATGCAAGCGAGTGCCACAACGTAAAGTGCTGCTGACCCCGGCCTCCATTCCTGGTATGATCGCGCACTCGATCACATTTTCTCTCAGCAGCTGTTACTATTAAGGGCAGTACCTCCGTTATAGAAAATCTACCCTCTTGGTCCTTATTTGCAGGCAGGACCTTATAGATTTACGGTGTCATTATAGTGACCGATTAGGGCTCCGTTTCAACAAGGCAGGACGTCTATTCGTGCGCAGTCATCCGGACTCCACTAGTCTCAGCTAGAGTATTAAATTCGCAGGCATCTGTGCAAAGACACCTTTACTTTTGCATGCTTATAAATTCAAGATTTACTTTGAGAAAGCCAGCATAGGAATATGATGGTAATGCAAGTCCGGCTGCACGAATACTCGTCCGGTATCGTTGCAAACAGAGCAGTAAACAGTCAACTGCAGTTAGAAATAAACTGTTGACATCGGAAACTGTCAGTCATGCTTGTAATGGCACTTTACGTCAAAATACTTCATAAAGATTTGTGTCTTTGTCCGTTAGCTGTCACATACCTTTAGCTCTCCATACTTTCCACAGTCGTCTAATAATTGAAATCCAGAGAGCGCTAAGTTTCTCAAACGTCCGTAGGGGTAGATTCTTAAGGTATTTACCTATGAATTTAAAAGAGAGACTGTCGAAGCACCTGTCTGTCATCCTACACGTTACGCAATATTAGGCAGTTTTCTTTTCATGGTCAAAGTTGCGTTAAGTCTTTTAGTTAAAGTCTAGTTTGTCGTTAATATTAAATAATTTACATTCCCCTGTGGCAGCATAAAAGACAAACGTAACGAAATTGTGCCTTTTACATAGCCTGAAGTTCTTATACAATATATCTTGAAGTCAGAAATTTATCAAAGTTCATCAATTTTTACTAACACCAGTTGAGTCCATTACGATTATCATATCCATGACGTCAAAACATTCTATGTTAGAGAGCTACATAATCAGTCATGACACGAGGATTATGGTGCAAGGGGGAACGCTTAAAATTATGTAGATGCGTTAGTTAGAAAGATTGGATTGCATAACCAGCCCCCTTTTTAGTTTGGTTATTGAAAAGTGCATAAAAGCTCCTTACAGGATTTGTAACTTTGACTAGGCCAAAACCATGATCTTTTTGGCTGGGTTAAGCGAAGATAATCGAGGAAACTGAACATACTTATGTAGTATCTGTTTAAAGCCAAATATATTTCAAAGGGCTAGATGTAAGGAAGGTAATCTGTTGAAAAGCTACGATTATATTCCTGATATTGCCTCGGACAGATGGTGAGATAGGCTTCAAAAAGAGGCATGCATTAGCTCCACAGTCTTAGTTTGACCAGGCTTTTGTTTCCTTCCTTGAGTCTGCATAGGCTCCTTTGAGCTCAACGACAGGTAGATGCTACATATTTACATTTCAGAGGTACTGCCCTTATCCAAGCTTCATTTTGATATTCAAAATGTTACCTCTTCTTATAATCAGTAGAATGTCCCTCAAATGATTTTACTTCAAGTGCATTTTAATGTTAATGGAACTAAATGGAATAATTTCGTATGGATCAAAATTCCGTGACTGTTACCAGAAATTTTAGTGAGTATAAACAGGATTCAATTTTAACTGAACCAGTTTCTTTTTAAAATATTTACCTGTTTTGATATTTTTTGAGAGATCTTCGTCCGATTTATCTAAAACAAACAGAAAAAGATTGATGCGAGAATATGACAAAATTTTGATCGAAAAATTTTGTAGGGAAATGTTAAAACCTTTTATAAAGATAACAACTCTCTTTACTTACTCTTATTAATCTTTCGCATTGTCTCGATGACCTTTTGCACTGAAAAAAGAAGGTAAACTTTCAGACAACTTTGTCAGTAAATGATCATGATACAACCAAAACGAAAACATTCACAATAATGGGTTGTCAATGTAGAAACGAATGCCGATGGTGATGATGGCGAGTATGGGGAGGGCCAGTGGATAATAATGATAAGGATTAAAGTAATCGAGTGTTATTGAGAGCATTATGATGATGATGATGATGATGATGATGATGATGATGATGATGATGATGATGATGATGATGATGATGATGATGATGCTAACAAAATGCAGTTTTCAAAATTGGTGAAACTGGAACCGTACATAGAAAGCCTTAATTGATATAAAAAAAATAAAGAAGTCACCTTCTTGTCCGTTGAAGCCTGATCCCTCGTTGCTTTCATCGCCAGAACTAGCATACCCATCTCCGTCATTCCCCGATGAAGCTTGATCATCAGCTCTGACTTCCATTGAAAGGAAGGCAAAAAGCAGCAAAAATGCGGGAAATAGATGGCGCCTCATGGCTTGTCTGTGTCTGAATACAATAGAAGATATGTTAGAATTATGATGAACTCACGCCACCTTGAGCGTTTCATAATGGCATCAAAACGTTTCCAGGAAGACTTATTTGCGACGCAACGTATAAACATAGCTTTTTAGACGCGATTAATTTTTACCCAACATCTATTATTCTTACCTAACGGCCTATTTTAATGTTTTCTTTTTCATTGAACCTGTATTTTAAAAAACTTGGGTTCTACTGAATTGAATTGATCGTCTTTTCAAATAGTCGGCAGCAAAAGTTTTACAAATATGGTCATTTCTAAGAACTCCTAATACCAGAATCTGGTATTATCTTTCCACCCCAAATTGTGGCCTTCCTGGAGGGTTAGGCCAACAGGCCGAAGAAGAAGATTCGCCAACGAGATTTGACAGCTCTATGAATTGCTTTTAACTAATCAATTGAGACACTTGTCAAACACGACCTGTTACACTGGTGGAAATCTGGGCATCTGACAATATGCTGAATCGAAAGTTTACTTCACCTTCGAAAATAGTAGGGCACTTATCCATAAACTTCGCAATGTGTCTATCTGGAAGGTGAGGTTACGAGAAGGCCTGTTAAGCGGGAAAAATTATTTCGGGGCTGGAATCTCGCAAGACTTCAAATACCACGCTTATTCACCTTCTTCCGTTATTGGAAACTTGGTAGCCAGCAATCCTAAACTCACTGCCTCTTTCCTCTCACTTTTGAACCTCTTATGCTAAAAATATTTGTGGTAATTTGCTGGTTAGAAACATGCACCAATTTTCACGGGACACTTAAACGATAGATTTATTATAGATTCCTTCGAAGTCCCTATTAAGTCAGAAAAATTAGCTAGAAAGCCCCAATTGCTTAATCAAATGATTCAAAAGCTTGCACGTTGGGATTAACCAAATTATGCCCTTATACTTCAATAAAAAGAAGCTAGAAAGGAGGCTCTTTGGATTACTCCTTTGACATACCTTATCAGATAACATTCATAATAATAATTAAAAAGAACCTAGTGTTCAAATTTTATTACTACATCGTTAGATCGTTTCTCTCTCGTAACAAACAGCCAGCACAAAATTGAAGCTCAAGTGAATATGATTAAACTTTGCGAAAAATTTACATAACAAAGAAAGGTTAATTGCTAGTTTCGCCAAAAATGAAACCTTAAAACTTACGATAAAAATTAATGTCCTTCACTCAATGTTGGCTTTGCTCGTCCTATGATGAAACTCTCAAATATTTGAATAGAAAAAATTCACAACATAACATTTTCAAAAACAATTGCAATGTTTCGCCGTTGCAGTTTCGCCGTTCCTCTCTACCTAATGGCGTAATTATTTAATTTCGCCACCAGTAGGGCTTTAAGTGATCAACAATCAAGTTTTGAACCGGCGCAACGGAGGTCACTCAAGCGCAGCGACATGCAAATTTGCTTGATAAGGCAGATAAACTTGTGCGTAATCCGATAAGGCGGCGAAATTCTGTCGATATTAATGCTCACAAATTCCTCTATTCAAGACAGGCGTATCACTATGCCCTTTGTTTGAAAACTTTTGATTTAAATAATCAGATTTCGCCATAGCGCTTTAATTTTATCGAATGTGAGTCAAATATGATTTTTTCTAAACCCCTTGCAGTTTTAGGGAAGATGCGGGGATGTAGAGCTAGGGGGCTCAGGGGGGCTGAGGCCCCCTTGTTGCTGCCGAAAATTGGCAAATATCTACTTTTGCTATTGTTTTTCGCAACATTTTGGGCAAGAGCCCCCCTTGTTATTTTGATAGCACTACACCACTTGAAAATGGTACTAGTCTTTCTTGGGGTGAAATAGACAGCGCTTTTCAAAGACGTTCAACAGAGCGACAAGAGAAGAAAAATATAGACAACTCTAAGTAGTTTAACATTCCGGCTCACGGCCTTCATAGACATTGACTCATGACCACTATCGTCTTTTGATGATATTTTTCATCAAATACTGTCGTCCCAAGGTTCTTCGAGGCTGCATGGCATTTTTGAAAGGCAACAGCCTCGATCCGTTATATCAATTGCAGATAAAAGACCTGGCCAATGCACACTGTTATGCTTTGACGGTCCGCTGCAAATTCATTGATGTTTGCGTAGCGCATCTTTGCTTTCCGTCGCAGGACTCATCCCAGAGCTAACTACCCAATGAATACTATTGACCTTGTTATAAAAGGATGTGAGGCTGAAAGAGATTTTTAAGGTATGAAGAATTAACGATTAAAGTTAGATCTATGGGGATATTCTTCAAGCTCAATTTGTTTTCTTCTTTGTTCTAATCTGTCCTTCTTGTCTCAGCAACCTGTTTGTATGCTTGCAAACTTTAGCCTCGATTAAAAAAAGCTTAAAATAGTTTCTTAATGATGTAAAGAAATCTTGGGAGCCAACTGGATCGCATGTTGATAGGCACGACCCGATAAGTTTCGTTTGATCTGATCAATCTGATACATAGAGCAATAAAGGTAATCCCCGCAAGAACATGCCTGCTTCTTCAAGATTCAGGCTTTATCGTCGTTTTCGAAAGGTGCCTACGAGGCAGGGAGCGGCTCTTGTAGTCCTCTCTTACCTAAAAGGTTGCTGTTTCGTTTAAGTTCAGGTTTTTCTGATTTACTGTATCATACAGTAGCTTGATTAACAGGAAGAGATACTTTGCATTTTGAAACCAGCTGGTCACGTCATTGGCTACTGGTTTCAAATGCTGATTTCCTGTGATAAGGAGACAGGTTTATCTGCGTAAGGTCAAGTTTATCTTATCATTGAGATAACTAATTATATGACGGTTAGAGCCCGGTTTAACCGGAGTTAATACCCGCGTAGGTAACCTGGCAACCAATTTGTGCGTGATACACGAGATCGTATTTTAACCACGAGGTCTAGTTATCCGCCCTCTTTGCATTCAGCTACCGATTGGACGAGTCACATTCTATCAAAGCGCGCTGTATTTCCCCCCACCCTCCCGGCCCACTTTTCTATCCTATACTTACCTTTTCTACCTACCGCTGTTTTCTGCAGACATCCTTTCGTCCGCGGAACAGGTGTATTGGCGGCCTACCGGAAATTTATTTTTGCCAATCACCGACCGTAAAGTTTTGATTAACTCGGTAGGAAAGGCATGAGCCTATACACAAACGCCCAATGCCTGATGACTACTCCCACCTTAGGTAATGTACAAGCTAACTTACTTTAGGTTGTTATTGCTATGTCCAAGGAGGTCAAGAGGGGATTAAATCCCTTTATTGCGTAGAGCTTTTCGTATAGAGCCCTCTAATAATTAATCAGGTTAAGGCACTTTCTCAACGTTTAGTTTATTCATAATCAAAATCATGAAAGAATATCAGAGAGCTATCATGTACAGTCATCAAGGTTGTTTGTGGGTTAAAAAATGTCATCATTATTCAATCTTCTTTTACTCAAGAATTTTGGATTATGATTAGGGACAAACAAAAAAGGGAAAAATGTCTGAAACTCGTTTTCAAGTAAAATCAAAATTTTTTACAACATTTGAAAACTATGAGCTATTGAGAAACAATACCAACACTGCTTCAATAAAACGTACGAGGTATACTTAATAACACACAACGCTCTAAATCCGTGAAATGTTTAAATCGACAAGTTCTAAAGCATAACAATATGCAAATGGCATGGTGTGCTGTCTTTTTGGTTTACTCGAAACAAAAATTTGTCAAACCCAATTTGGCTTATTAAACCTTTCAAATCAAGCGCTTCTAAAAATTCTTCTTTATGGTGATGAAAGGTTGCCACCTATGTCAAACACTATGATCCTTGAGGCTACATTAAAATATATATATGCCACTGAACGCCTTGATTGAGCTATGTCATCTTTACGTCATCATAAACGAACCGTGAGCTCTCCGCGCATCGAATCTTCTGCGGACGCTTGTTTTTTTAAGGAGAAATATTCCAACAAGACAACCTCAGGTAGACAAATTCTTGGTACAAGATACCCCTTGCTTAACGAGATCCTGACTAACTTAAGGTCCCACTCTGGGTTTCTTGCGTGGAGGGCTCACGGTGACATTCTCTGTCTTTTTATGCAATTTTTGTGATTTTTGTAAATTCTTATAATTTTTGGTAAAGTATATATAGTATTATCAAGATTATTATATGCAATAGGTGCAGGGTTGCAATGTATGTTCACGCTCCCTGTACTATCGTCTTGTAGGTTATTTGTTCGTAGTCTAACAAAAATGTTCACTGATTTATTCAGCGGCCTTAGAGGATCGTGACATCAAGGAGGCCTTCGGAACACCTGCACAGAGGATGGGCAGGGATATTTATTTGCTCCAGGCTCTGGACTCAGAAGAGCTCCGTAAAGTTATAACAAAGCTCCTAAAAATAACAACAACAATAACGATAACGGATTTAATGATGTCATCACGGTCCCATCTTTTCTTTTGCCCCAGGCGCCCAAAGAGCTCTCGGCGGGCCTGCTCTTGGTTAAGCACGATACCAAATGCATTTATCTTTCAATAAGCCTCTCGTGTTCAATAGGTAATTGGAAAATGACTGGTGGCCAAAGCATCCAGGCAATTGTGATCACATGGTTGACTGGCATGTTCGAAAAATAAATTATGAAAAAATAATCTAAGATTTTCTATTTCTAGCCTACAAATGATAGCAACTGTATTTTTACCATACCTCGATGTAACTTAGCCTATCAAAACTATCTTTAGCTAAAATAAGCTTACGAAATGTATCATATTATATTCTAAAGTAAACAAAAATTGTCCAGATCTTAATCACTCAAAAACCAAACATTACCATTTTTGCTTTAACTGTTACTTAAACACCCTGTTGGAGTCTTTGTCTTGCGCAGCGGGATGCAGCTCGTCCCAGCCTTTTAAAAGTTCTAAAAAGGACATGGAAAGTATTAGAGGAATGATTCTTCAAATGTAACTCTAAAAGACTTTGATTAAAAGTTGACGCTTCATTCATGCATGCGTAGCAAAGAAAAAAGGGCTCCATAGCTGGGGAACCAAACTAAAGTGTATTTCGAGGTGAGTAAAATATTACCTTTGATTTCATCTTTATCGTTTACAAATTCACCTTCTTCAAAAAATTTCACTCTCTTATTCTGAAATAAAAAAAATATCATCAATGATATCACAATGGTATCACATATCATAATACCATAATGGTATCATAATGGTATCACATATCATAATATCATAATGATATCACAATGGTATCACATATCATAATATCATCAATGGTATCACAATGGTATCACATATCATAATATCATCAATGGTATCACAATGGTATCACATATCATAATATCATCAATGGTGTCACAATGGTATCACATATCATAATATCATCAATGGTATCACAATGGTATCACATATCATAATATCATCAATGGTGTCACAATGGTATCACATATCATAATATCATCAATGGTATCACAATGGTATCACATATCATAATATCATCAATGGTGTCACAATGGTATCACATATCATAATATCATCAATGGTATCACAATGGTATCACATATCATAATATCATCAATGGTGTCACAATGGTATCACATATCATAATATCATCAATGGTATCACAATGGTATCACATATCATAATATCATCAATGGTATCATAATGGTATCACATATCATAATATCATCAATGGTATCACACAGCATTAAGTGCCGCGAAAAGGCAAAAGGACTTGAAGACACGACACAATTACAATGAAAACTGTGACATGTCGGTTTAAATATGATTATATTTTGATAAAACCATCACCTAAAAATATTCATCAAATACAGCAAGAAATTACGCTAATACGAAATTACGCAAGAAATTACGCTAATGCGACAATGCAGAAGACTTGAAAAAGAGAACCTTTTGTGCCAATGATCAACTTGGGCGGATATAAGGTAAAATAAATGCAATATTGATAGTAGGTGTCATTAACAGCGACAATTATGATAAACACAAAGATTTCAGAGTCGAGCTCATTTCTTGCATTAAATACTTCCCTTCGTCCAAAAATAAAAAATTAGTAAATATAAATTATTGAATAAAAAATTGTCACTATAACACGATGCTTCTTCCAGCTCTCATTTATTTGATGAAAAATTGATAAATTGCAAAACTCGCTTAAAGCTTTATCTTTGTATACCGTGATTGTGATATCTCCTGTTATCCAATAACGACACATGGAGTACGTCCCTACTCATCTTCTCTCCTTCCTTTCTTCAACTTATTCCTTTGCCTTCCCCCTTCTTAAACCCCCTTCCCCGTCTCCTTGCCTCCTATCAAAGGAGACAATCAGTAAACACTATCTCCATGTAGGCAGCCATTGGGCTAGCAGGGGCTATAGCCCCTCCTTTTTTTTGCAATAATATATTGAAAAATTTTTTACTCTAGAGAAAGTTTACTCTAACTATGCTCCAACGCAACATTGGATAGTAAACTGAACCAGATTGTTTATAAAACTCCACTAGAAATAAGCCAATATTTTATAAAAGGGGCGTTTTCCGGCGTTTTAGAGGGCGTGGTCTCAAAAAATTTCGGTCACACCCTTTTCAGCCCTCCCACATTTAGACTGGTGCGCGGTCCATGTCTCCATTCGTATGATTATTTTCTCAAAAATTGCACTTTTCCGATAAATTTCCATGGGATAGTTTCATTCGTGTTCTATACATACTAAAGCTTTTCCAGCGGACACCATTAATTCGCAGTAAAATTAGAAATAAAAACGACAGGCCTGGTACCTACCATGGACTTGAATCGACTGTTTTCCAATCTTGTAACAAACAGCGCCTTGTCGATGTCATACTCGAGACGCGCGTTAGCTTTGGCGTCATCATACGTTGATGTTAGCTGGGCAATGAGAATGTTCACGAGAAACAGCATGATTACAAGCATGCTAATCAAGATGATCACAGTCACGAAATCACTAAACGAATCGTAGCCATCCGCAAATCCGTTTGATTCGGCAACTGCCCTGAAGCCTCTGAGCAAAATATCCTTGAATCCCCTAAAAAACCAATTATAAAGATTAAGACTGAACTCCGTTGCATATTAGAAAACATCCTAGATTCTAAATTTTAGAATGAAAATTGTCTGTATTGGCAATAAATCCAGAAACGTGAACCCTAGGAAGAGCAGAAACGTGAACCCTAGGAAGAACAGCATCTTACATAACGTCTTCTGTCATAAATATATATATATATATGTCTTCTGTCATATATTTTTCTTCTGCTATCCTTATATTGCATATATATTTTTCTAGCTAAAAAACAAAAAAATGAAAAACACAAAATTAAAGGAAAGTGGAAAACAGTAACAATTTGGAAAAGAATGATTGGAAAAAAGGACATTGTAAATCTGTCAAGTAAATTCTTCTGAATCATCGAAGAAATTAAAATGGCAGCAGTAAAACCTTAGAAACATAAGGTTGCTACACTTACGTGACTCCCACTGCTTCAAACCCAGTTTTAGTGCTATAGGTGGTTGTTGCTCGAAGGGACAAGTACGTTCCACCAGCAAAGGTGAATAGAATGACTAAGTAAACCGCAGCAAAAACGCGTAACTCCCGCAGGAACAAGCCATAAAGTGTCTTTGCATACAGCCCCAAAGACCTGCGTTCAAAAGTGTCACGTTAAAACCCTTAAATATTGGAATAAACAAAGTAGAAGGGACAGAAAAGGGACAGGAAACAGCAAACTAAGCTTTAACCGCAACTTTGATTCGAAATTTTGACTCCGAAATAAGCTGCCACAATAAAAAACAATTAGCTGCCACAATTAATTTACAGCGCAAATGCGGTCGCATCACAGTAAATGGTGATCATTGTCACAGAAATCGAAAAATAAAAATAGTTTATCATGCATTAGGACTATTCGATCATATAAGAGGTTGAATAGCAATAGCTTGTCAAAAGGAGGCCAGCCAGTAAACTGTTTCCTACTGAGTTGCATTAGGATTGAAACTTGAAAGCATCTTTTGTTTCCAACCTAACGTTTCATACTATTACTCTGTGTTGAACTGAGTTGAAAAAAATGCAATGAGCATCGAGTTGCTTTGAAAATGCATAAAGGGCTCTTGCGCAACCGACACGACATGCTTTGCGACTATATTTTCAAAACCGGCCTAGTATTGTACTTTGAGGATATAAATACAGCCCATTTCATCCCGTATAAAATAACAGCTAACGCAAAGCATGCCGGTTGATCAAGAGCCTTTGAGTATGCACATAAAAAGTTTCGATTTGTAATGCAATCCTGAATATGGGGACAATAGTGCATCAAGTTGAGAGACGAAAAGGCTACTGGGGCTAAAGCAGGAACGACTGAGTTTGATGATAGCAAAGATAACTTACTTGCTGGCGGGAAAATATTTGAAGATTCGGAGACAGTTGATCGCATACGTCACAGTGGCAAGATGCCATTGGGCGTTGCTTTTTGTGAATCGCAGCGGCACTATAGCAAGCAATGAAAACAGACCAATCAGATCTAAGCCATTGAACGGATCATAAAAGTAGGCCTTTCGTTCCCTGGAAAAAAGGAGTTCCTGTATTAGAAATATCGCGGGCCAAATGGTCAACACTAGTTTGTGTAAAAGCCTCAAAATGTCTTAGAACACAGGGGGGGGGGGTGGTCTCAGAAAATTAATGACAATTCCTAATGGCAGCTGCTGATGTCACAGGATAGAAAGTGGATTAGCTAAGGGCTTAAAGGTGATTTTTCCGTGCATTTTTCATTATCGAGGAAGAAGAAACACGCAAATGAAATGATTGAAAGTTTATTTTTAAATCATAATCAGTTTTTTTTGGTTGAGATCTTCAGTTCTATTTAGGCACCCAAAATGTTTATGCGTGGAACCAATAATATAACAAAATAATCTAAAAATTGGTAAAGCACTTCCTTATTTTCCGGGGGGTGGGGGGGCTCAGACCCCCTCGGTTTTCGTCAGGAGGTGCTGAAGCCCCAGAGCCCCCCCTGAGTTTACGCCTATGATTTCCTTATTCAAGTCAAAACTCCTACCCTAGATAAGTCAGACATTTGGTTATCATACCCCCTTGGTCTGACTAACAGAATTCAACTCTATTCATAGTATGTCCTTTGCAACTGCTTTTTTCCATCCAAAAGTGAAACCCAAGAAAAACTCGTTATACCTACTTTATACAAGAAATATGATAACTTAACGCTAAGCGATAGGAAACTGGGCTTAACTTCAACGCTGAAGTTTGCAGTTCAAATGCAGATTTTAAGAAATGACTTTAGACACTCAACTTGAGTCCAATTAGCACCAAAAAGGGTTGCTAAAAAGTGGGGTAAAGAGCTAGGCATACCAAACACACCATTACGTTTGACTGCAGCAAGTTTTGTTCCACGAAAAATTCTAATACCTTTAGCACTTTGAAGTCAGTTGAACTTGTGGTCAATAACGCCTTTTAAAAACCTGACACGGATTTTGATCAGCACAAATTCAAGAAAATTGTTTGGAAATGCAAAATCAGTTTCATTTACACTTACTTTTCCATTTGATCAAATTCTGAGAAAATATAGAATACAGTAAATAACAGCGTGGCTACTTCACAGGCCGCTCTTATTCGGTCATTTTTTGTTTCGTATTTCGTGGGATCCTTAGAGTGAACGGCTCCCAGTAAGGAAACTGAGAGGAGAATCAGGTAGAGCAGGTACATGAATGCATAAAGGCTGCAAAAAAATAGAATGGGAAATTAAAACGCATAGCTCTTGATCAATTCAGGCTCGAACGAAAAAGAGGGGGGGGGCTTAAGGAAAATATAGTAAGAAGATCTAGCAATTCCCAACGCAATCGTTTAACATAATTGACTTTTGAAAGGTCAAAAAGGGACCGAAATCTGGGCGTTTCTGGAAAAAAAGATGGGTAACTTCTTTAGGGCTTGTTAATACGCCATGCCAGGGTCATGCTGTGCCGTACCAAGGAGATAGAAAGAAGACGGGGGATGACTTACATTATCTGAGACTTTCCAAAACGTAACCATTTGTAGCCAGCCAGTTTCCTGATCACTGGGTGCTTGATGGCATTCTATAAAATTGGATAAAATCACATCTTAATTGATTGATAAAATCGACAATTCGAGACAAAGTAATGTTTTATTCAAGAAGCGATTTGAAACAGGGACAACCATCAAGTTGGCGTACACTGTCACTGAATCACATTTTAGGGAATTACTATAACTTTTAAATCGGATATTTTGATCGTAAAAAGGTAATGAAAATCATTGCAAGCAAAACTTTCTTCTAAAACAAACATTGAACATTCTGTGCAGCGTCGAGCTGCATTTCTTAGTTTTTCCAACATCACTTTATTTAATACCCTGAACCATCAATATTTTTTCCACACAGGGGATAGCAGGTAAATATGGCAGGGGCAACAAAATTTGTCTTGGACTTGCAGGGGATGGGATATCGTGCAAAAGAGAGAACTTAAAAATGACTGAGGACAAAAAATATTAGCTTGCAGGGTATGTTGGGGAATAAAAAAATGTTCAGGTCATTCGATTTTTTGAAGTTAACTCCCCAGTCGAGAAATTTCTCCTCAGAGACAGTTTTGACAGGACTTGTTCCACAGGAGTTGTTATGACTTACCTTGTTATGACCACTTAGGCAGATGGCTTGCAGGCAAGATAAGTCTCGATGATTGAAGCCTTGATCAAAGGGTCCTCTACCGTAATTGTCTCCATCGAGCACTTGATAATAAAAATGGTAGCGAACTGGGATATCAGGAACTCTGTGCCACTCGTTTAAGTAAGTGTCTTGTTCATTTTCTGGCATGTTAGGCCAGTCTGGGCTGATAAGTGAGTCTAACACTGCAATAACAGTTTTCTGCAAAATACAAAAACCCTTTTGAATTTCAGCACCTGATACAAAGAATTTGAAAGTTAGATTCTCCATTGGATTCAGTAAATCGTAAATTCAACTTTGAATAAATATTTTCCTCTAGAGGATAGGGCAGGAGGTTATACACCCCCTAAAACTTAAGGGTTTGCCAGAAAAATTCTTCAATGGAGTGAATAGAAAAAACTGCTATCTTCACAAAAAGATATCAAACATAACAACAGGTAAATTTTGTACACTATCTTTCAATGCTTTAATTACTACTTATATATAAAGATATTTGGCACTAACAAATAAACTATACAAACAAACCTTCATATCTTCCCTGTCGATGTATGTCTTGAACTGAAATGGTGGCAGCTCTTCAGGAAAATATTCATTATATTGAAAGAGCAGACGAATCCTGAAATACGAAAATATGAGCCAATTAGGAGTTTATCAATTTGTAACTGCACATTCTTGGTTAAAATTGGAACTCGGTAGTATAAGCCTCTCTAATGAATTGGTTTGGGTCTGTATGGGTGGCTCCAGGCACACTTCATAACAATTTCCTTGGGTTTTCAAAAATATTTCAAAATGATTTCTGAAACCCCTCGTAGTATAGTATATAGTAATACCCCCTGGCTTATTTCAACATTCCCGACCAAAAAAACAACAAACATCAGCAGTCATAATAAAACCAAAAATTACATCATACCTTGATTTGTTTCCAGTTGCATTTATCAACAAGCTTGCCATTTCATCATCAAAGTATTTTAATGCAAATTCAACAGGAAGCTGCTTTCTTGGTTTTCCAGGTTGTGTTTTGATATAAACCAAATCTGGGTCCCTTTCAAGAAGGCTCTTAGCAATTTCTGTGAAATCTCTTTTTCTATTTTCAAAAGTTAAGTTCTCCCTTTGGGCAAATCCTTCTGCTGCCAAGTGAAGCAATGTTTTCTTAACGCCATCTACTTTGATGATCGGATTTGCGTATCTACTTTTGCTTCCATGTTTTGCATAATCTCTGTCAATTAAAATCTTTGCAATTTTGGCAATCTGCAAGTAATTACACATTGTATTATAAGTATAAGAGTGCAGTGAAAAGCAGTATTAAGGAATCTGACCATAATGCTATTATTCTAGACCTTAGCCTAAAAAGTCAAAACCCAGATAAAATTAATTTAAAAGAATTAAAGAAGTTTAAATGGGCAATCACTGATAAATCCCTTCAGAACTTCAAAAAACAAACACATAATGTGACATTCAATGTGGATGAGCAAGAAAATATAAATCAAATCTATTTCAAGTGGAAAAAGAGCTTAACAATGTAATGGAAAAATGTTTCAAAAAAGGTTTAAGGCTACCAAAAATAATGATAACTATATTGATAAAGAGTGAAAAAGATAGACAATTCCAAAATGAAAATTTTCAAATAAAATATTTACGTGCAACCTAATTTTAAAAAATATGAAATAATTAATGATAGTATTTGATCTTTGTAAGATTTGGTGTCACTGACCCATTTAAAAAAGGACAAATGACTTCCAAAATGATGGACGAATCACATAAGACATGTCAGATAGAAGGTAGCCAGTCATGACAATCAAGAGAAACTTTGGCTGATAGCTTTTTATATGTATTTGCAAGGTCAGTAAAAGTTGGGGTGACTAAACATGCAAAAGGGCTGAAGTAATTTAGCAATGTTTTGATTGGAGTTTAAAGTTAGTTGGGGGGGTGCTTGAAAGCTGTGAACCTCAAGGAATAGGAAAACACAAAAAAGAATTTTCGACAGATTATGCAATCAATTTGATTGCATTGTTAATCAGGTACTCGCAGAAAGCCATCTCAAAGGACCATACCCAGTAGCGTAGCCAAGGTGGTAAAATTTGCTGGGGCAAAGGCGAGTTTAGCAAGGGAAAAGTAGGGGTCCACACCCTTTTGAATGCCAGAAAATGTCCTTTTTCGGAGAGATATTTTGCATTAGGTGGGGGGGGGGGGAGGCATCCTCCAGCCCCTTGTCTCCCCTTTGCTAAGCTACTGACCATACCTGTCTTTCATAGCTTGCAAATCCTTCTTCGCCTGACCCAAATGGCTCAATGCAGTGCTGTTCAATGTCATCATACCATGTTGTCATCATCAGAACTATTGGATCATTACCTTCCCTTGTCTCTCTAACAAAAGTGTCATATTTTTCCACAAGTCGATCTGCTCTGATTTCATCCAGGCATTCTGTCCATTTCAGTCCATCTTTTTTCATTTTTTCTTTGTTGTATTTCTCATGGACCTGGCAAAACGGGAGACTGAAGAAATTATCCAGGGTCAAAATTTTTGGGACAGCAGGGAGGACCTTATGTTCTGATAGTATTAAAAGCTTCAAAAGTTAACAATCTTTGAAGTTTTAAACTGACATAAACCGTATCTTGAAGGCGTTATTAATTGGGGAAAATTGGAGACAGCAAGTCAACTACTGTGACCTTCTATTTTCTTGATGAATCATAGATACCTGTTTTTAGGCTAAGTAACCTTGCAACATTATAAAAAAGGACTTCTGGGTTTGGGAAAACTATACCTTGAGAGGCTACACCTTTATCTAGACTTGTGACATTCTCTAGATAAACATTGCACAATATGCCAGATATTCTCCAGAAAATTCTGTTTTAAATAGTAAACTTAACAACCATCCAAGAACAATAGATTTACTAGTTCCAATGAATGCAAGATTGTTAAAACGCAAATGGGTAAGACAATAGGTTGGTTTCGAAAAACAAATAAGAACAATTGGATTTTAATACTGTGATATACGTTCGCGATTTAAATGCGGATTAATGAGGTGTCAGAATGTGAACGGCTTGTGTGTGTTTTCATGACGAAGGGGAACTGAAAACAGTTATAAATTCGTAACTTGACAAGAAAATATGGTAGCGGAAAAAAAATTGACAAGGAAGTAGGAAAATTTATTGGGAGGAACGATGCTCGGTACGGTTAACGAGCAGGATATTCAAAATAAGTTGTTAATAATGCCAAATTCGCCGAATAAAAAAGCTTTTCATGCCTCTCGAAGAGGGGTGTCACATACCCCTGCAAGGAAAAATTGCTCGTCTTCCGTGTTTTTCCGATCTCTCCATCTTTTGTTTAACATCACATTCACATTATATAAATGAACAATTCGCAGTCATGCAGTAAAAATGGGAGATGCTCTCTAAGGAAACTACTTTAACATGAAGGAGAAAACCTTGACAATTTGAACCCATTGAAGGCTTCCCTTCTGTGATATTTGACACCCTTCCTGGGTGAATGGCGAAGCGGTTCCCGCCAATTTACTTTCCCAGAAAGAACAATTCATATATGCTTACCTTATCCCAAAAATCTTCATCTCTTGGGTTGAAATCCTCCATTATCGAACGTAGATCAGCTCGTTTTGGATAACTGTCTTCCCTTTCCTCCAACTGCATTTCAGATTTGAATGGATTCTCGACAGCTCCGTACCTAACCAAAGTCATCCCTGTTCGCACAATACAGCTCGAGTTTCTTTATTTATTCAACTTCATAGCAATGCACCAGTTAATCCCCAGCAACTAAAATTGTTGTCAGTTGTTAAATTACTATCAGGACAGCATCTGTTTCAAAATATTCAAACCATTACCTTGTGTATTCATGTGAAACAAAAGTGTCTGTACTTCACGGAATTTGCTCACTTTGACAACGTGCAATGTGCCAGGGGGTAACCTCATGAACAACGAGGAAACTGTTCCTTTCTATTCTCATTTCGAGGTCATGAAGGAGAAATCGTTTTAGAAGAAATCTGCAACGAACATTGCTGATTGAGATAAATGGCTAATTAAACGCCATGGGTGCTCATTTGGTTTTCACCCCATTATGATGGTTACTTATACGGTCTGGGCTTTTTAAAAATTGAGAATACCAGTCTTAATGACATTTTTGTCTTTATAACGGAACCCGTTTAGTTTGGTTATAAAAATGAGCTACTACTAACACAGTTTTTAGAAAGATGATAGGAGAGAAGCACTGACCTTCAAAGAAGATATCTTAATTGGATATGTGCCAATCGAAATAATAGCTCTGATAAACTTCTATTGGGCATATTGTGCATTCGAGACTCAACCTGAATAAGCCCAAATCGGATCCGTGAGGACTTTAGAAATCCTTGTGTGGAGTACGATACAAGGCCTATCACGAAGAGCACCTTTCTATGTACTCAGTGGCGTATTTAAGGGACTCTGCCTAACAGTTCCTCTCTCAAATAGTTTCCCGTGCATTTATCAGGACAAAGTAAAAATAAGAGGAAAGTAAGGATAAAATTTCCGAAACGCGACTGTTATAAGCTGGCTGAAATCGGATTACAAAGACGTTTCCAATGCATTTATCTACCGATTCATTTAAACAAGCACTAGCTCTCTAAGAACATTGAAAGTCTAGAAGCTTGTACAAGAGTGAAGTGATCGACAATTAAGGGAAAAGAGCGTTCCCTTTCTCTAATGTGTCTACCTTATTTTTAAACATAGTAACAACATTTAGGGTTCCTAAGCACAACCTAACACCACATTGTCTAACCCTATAACAAACATCTCCATATCAATTTAATCGTGTCAGTGGCGAGTGTGCTGAAGATTTTGCTCCGTATTCCTCTAATTCCCTTTGCTGGAATTGTTTGTTAATACGCATGCACCTTCTCATCTAGTTTCATCTGATGCATTACACATTTGCGCATCCTCTAGTGAGGATCACGCATACTTTGGCCTTAACCACAAGCCTCTTGCTTGTTTTCTAGCTTTTAAATACATCCCAGAAACAATGATAGTTTATGAGATTGATTTACAAAGCTCCTTGCGTGCTATTTAAGAGTATGATTTGCTTCCTAAAGCGAGGGAGAAGGGGGGGGGTGAAACCCTGTTGCTGAATAGAGAAAGCTTAACCATATTGATTTTTAGCATCTCCTAGTTATGTCCTACTATAATAGACATGCGATAGTAGAAGACCTATTAATACGGTGTCTAGGGGGAGGCAACTGGGAGAGTTTTAGGGAGGCGCCCTCTTTCTTCGCCTGTTAGGGGGGTTGCATGGGTAATTTGATAAAATGTTGGAGCTATTCTAAAAATAAGCACTAGAGAAGTGGACAGAAGTGAGTTGGGGGAGGGGGAGATGTAACCGTGCCCACGGAACTGGGATGAGTTTCAAGTTTGTTAGGTTTATCTGATATCACCTTAGAAACCTTGTTAATCATTTGTTGCTAAAGTAAGTATACTTTCAACAACATGGTAACTCCTTTGAACAATGGTTGTTCTTTAGGAAAGGATTTCCCAACGTGGGAAACAATGGAAGGCAACTAAAAGAAAACTAAACATAATGATTTCAACAACAGTGCTATATATATTGCAAAATTAGATTTTTACAATCATTAATATAAGATTTCAAAATACATACCAAGATGCTATATACATAATAATACCTATTTTCGTAAATTGAAATGGGAACCAAACTGCTATTTATAGAATTGGTACGAATAAGCTTTCGAAGTCTCGGCATACTTTCCTTAGAGTCCTTTTTACGCCAACCCACAAGCTACCTCTTGGCTGTTACAGGATATCCTCACTCGAAGTGACTGCAAAACCAACTTTGTCGAAAAGATGCACAAATCTTGTATTTTACAACATAAGCATTTTCAGGGATGAAAAGACTTTTCTGGGTATAATGAAGGAACTAACCTATCAAAAACAGACATTTCGGGTGTATCTGAGGCTTACGAAATGGAAAATTATTTGAAAAATTGCTCCTTATATATACATTGCTCAAACGACTTTTGAAACTTAACCTGATTTTACAAATGGCTGAGAACTTTCTTAGTAACCTCATGAAAATTTCTTAATAACCTCATGAAAGCTTGAGCATCCAGTATTAACAGTTATACACAAATATGCTGAGATACATACAATGCCAGTTGTTCTCGAGGCATTAGATAGTGGGGGAAGTTCTTTCATTTGCAAAAGCAGGGGGTTGAAAATAGGGAACGAACGCCAATCAATATTAAGCTAATTGGACCTGGGTTGAACTATGTAATGATATCTTTGTTTTGACATACTTTATACTGGGTGAAAGCTGGGGTATGAATGAAATGTATGTTTGCAGAGGTTGACTTACAGTAGAATCAACCAGTTAATTGGGAGAATGGGGTCATATAAGGATAAAACAAACCATGAGTGTTCTACTAGTTCTGCCATCAGTGATAATGTAACTCCAGTTTTGATAAGTCCTTCAGTGTTTCAATAAAATTTCTGAGAACAACTGCCCAGCTTCACAACAACAAATCACTCCTTTTGCAAAGGACAAAGTTTCAAAGTTTCGTTTACACTGTACCACACGGGCTAGTGTGTTAGCAAAACGTACAATAACGACGTTCCAAATTTACACGCAGGCTGGATTCACAGCAAAACAATTATACACGATCTCACGACCTTTACAGAGAAATTCTTTAAAGACATCCTACAAATCATAACTCGCAACGCGTCTCGCATCCAATATGCAATGACATCAGAGCACGCACCATACTGCATTCGACTTCCTTTCATATTCTAGCCATTTTTATGGTTACACATCAATAACAGAGGTAAGTAGACTAGTAAAACATTAACAATGATAAATACCATTTCTTTTGAATAACAAACCCTATTTAAAGATATTAAATTTTTTGATAATCAGAGGTGATGGAACAGCCGGAAGCAAGACACGTTTAACTAAACTCGGCAATTCCTTGGCAAGGAAAACTCGACTTTCAGACAGCATTTGTGAGCAGTTGCCCGACTTGATGCCGCAAAATGGCTTGAAGAAGGGAGGGGTTTCTTGTGTTACAGAAATAAAGCTAATCAGCAATGGGAAGGGGTTCTCTTGCACAATGTAAGGCTAACGATAAATTTAATGGGTGAAAATGTAGCTAAGTACTTGAACAAATGGAAAACTTTATTGGCATTAAAAAATGCAATATTAATAACAAAATAAGTTGATTTGGAGACTTTCGGTTTAAACACGTCAACATATTAAAAACATGGTTACGGACTATGAACGTGGTCACCTGTAAACTGAGTACAATAAATCCAAAGCAGTTTTCTTAAAACACTCTATAAATGAAGTAACGTCATCTGCCTAACTGCCAAACATACTTCTAGGGACCATGGCATTATGGATGCTTCTCAATCCTAATTCTAAGAGTCAACTGACAGTAAAAAGAATGGAAGAGTTTCTGTCTGCGCGTATTAATTACAAAATAACAAAATTTATCGTTAAGCAAGTTTTGAATAATTAAAATAGACGTATGCACAGTCATTTGTAGGAATATGCTCTTTTTGCAGGATAGGTGCTCCACCGTAAAAAGAAAATCGACAGCGCCGCATTGCAATAGACCAAATTCTCCTTCAATCCAATGACGTCACGTAACAAAGCAACATTAGCCAATTGAAGAAGTTTCCATTCACATGCATCTCACTTCGTCGCGGCAAACGGGGCAAGTTTTGTTCGACTAAAAGTGAGAAGTAAACATACGGTCAATCTATTGAATCCTTCAACCAAGATTACAGTATCAATGTGATTAAAAACCAGATAACGAGGATTAGAATCCAAAACCTAGGTTCTAAAGTCCAGGTTTCTACAATCCTTCAATGAATCTAATTGAATTTCTCTTCTTTGCAAGCGCGCAAATAAGGAGAATGAATGCCGAATCCAAGTCCAAATAATATAGAAAATCCAAGGAATACAAAAACAGAGAGTTCGATTCTAGAGTAGGCGAAGGGCATAAGCCCAAAAAATATACTCTTAGCGACCTCTTAACAATGAAACCTTCAGCAAAAATATAAGAAACAGCAACTACAAAAAGGCATTGAGGGTTGACGACTTGTGCTGAATTCTATTCCTGTGCTCAATACAAAATGAAAAATTCATGGTGGACAATACTAAACTGCTTGATATGACTGAACATATTATAAGCACATTAATAACTTCAGCCTTACAGAAACAACAAAAAATGATTTCGCTCGTTTCTAAAAAACCCAGCTGAACCCTCATTAAACAAAGTATTCCCCTAAAAACAAAACAACGCTGTGAAATTTGCGGGCAAAGGGTTTCTTTGATAGCGTGTCTCAGAAGCACGCTCCGAGAGAAGATCATTTTGCAACACCTGCTAGCTTTCCATTAATATGCTATTTATGGTCCATTTCCCCTAAAGAGCAGCTGCAAGACTAAGTTTCAGTGAAGACAAAATACAAAACAGTGCCACCTGTTTGCAGATAATACGAATAGCATTAATTGCAAAGAAGAAGACGCTAAATAGACTCAACGTTTGTTAATGAGAAAAAGGCTTTCGGCATTAATCATTCGATGAAGAGTCAGCTTATTAAAAATTCTTTAGACAGCAAGCAGAATGTTTTGGTTCTCTACTTGACTGAAATATGGCAAACTACAAAGCATGCTAAACAGCAATAATTCCCGGGGGTCAGCGTATCTAAGTTGAAATGCAATATCATAAATGCAGAATTACGCATGATCGCCGTGAACCCAAGTTTACGTAATTTTCCTATGATTGATACGAAAATTTCTCGGAGTTATTTTTGAGATACTGCAACGAACAGCTGCACATATCTCTCTTAAAAATCAGAATAGCAAAATGTCAACCAAAAGTGTGAATTCTAAGATATCGTTTAACTTTTATTTCTAGGAGCAAAGCTTAAAACACCATGTTGTGTTAACAGTTATAAAGGCCTAGGCTTGAAGAGATACGATATTCCAGGCAAATGTAAATCATCTTCCAATTTTTCAATCACCTTTTACTCTTGTCCAAAATTCTCTTATCCCCCCTTTCTACTTTCCCACTATCCTCTGGTATTTGAGAAAGTAAACGATTCTGCATTTTTAACTATAAATCCTAACTTCTGGAAATCCTGGATCGTATAAGTAATTGTTCGCAAATTTCGCAACAGAGTCGCAAGTTTTCAACAGTTTTAGACCATTCAAAATCACTACAATATAGCGAGCATTTGTCACGTGTCAGGGCGTGGAAAATATCAAATGGCAACAGGAAGGGATTATTCTCCCTCAACTGCCGTGCAACTAGGTACAGTAGACCGGGACGCACATATAGTAGGCTGGAAGTACACGCTTACCTTAAGCCATTTATCGATGCATTTCGAATGGAAATCGTGCGTGCATGGGAGTTTTCTGATCTTCTCTTTGTAGCTGTATTCACTCATGCATACAACACAAGTGGAGTTCGTCTCATCTGCTTTCGATGCACTGTATCGGAAGGCGTGGATTCTATCGATTTCTGGAAACAGATAATACCGATTCATTATTTTCAAATACTGTTACACGGACAACACATTCAGTATATCAGATTAAAGAATGGCACCTTCAAATACTCCATGTCATCTAACAACATTTTTCAAACTGATGAAAGCTTAACAAAAACATGCTGGGGCAACAGGAAGCTTTCAATCTAGTTTTTTGTTATTGTTTCTTGTGCAGGGCAAAATGCTGTCTCTTTCATATTATTTTCAAGATCTTTTGAAATACTAATATCTTTGTAAAATCATTGTAATATTCTATTTTCAAAGCCGCTGTTTTTAAACACATTAAACCTCCTAAAGATTGAGTGGCTCCTACACATGAGCAGCCATTTCACATAAAATTTGTATCAACGTTTTATTAGTTTTTTTTTAACAAGAACAAACCACATTTATGAAAACTGACGAATATAAAGCGAAATTGCGTTCTTGTGGCAAATTTTGTTAAAAATTGTATCAATTTATGTTTTGGTAACAAAAAACATTGATACCTTTCTAAAAAGCAAGAAACAGATCAAACAAACATTTAGGTTCGAGCCAAAAAGCATCCATTGGTCGTTGTTCGATTTATAATCTTAAACACGGAAGTCGTGGCTTACCAGTCTTGCTAAGGCCTCTTGGCTTCGCAGGTCCTATACGCTCGGCAAGGGTCCACAGCGCCTGAAATTGAAGAGAGAATGCTAGGAATTGCAAACAATAATAGAGAGGACTGGAAACTTTCAGCAGTACCCGCTTTAAACCTGCTTATACTCAAGGACGGACACAGTGGTCAAATATTGGGGGGGGGGGGCAAGCCTATTGCTTTAACATTTCGTCACATTAGATGACGTCACATTTCCCATTATTTTAGAACATAAGACTATTGTCCTCTAAAGTATTGGGAGCGGTCGCCCTCCTCACCCCCCCCCCCAAGTGTTCGCCACTGCTTGTACTACAACCTTAACTTCAAGCCACTAGCAGAATCCCTATGGAGAACACCAGGATGATTAAAAATCAAGGGCTTTATCGTTAAGAAAGCAAGCTAAACTCTAAGAAGGCCTAAAAACAGAAAATGAAATATTGTCTTGCAGTATACCAAAGAAACAAAAGTAATACTTCTTTATCTATTCATCAATATAAACTGGATATTTCGATAAAAATAATGCATATGTATGTATATAGTGGATCTGGATAATTCAAACTTTAACTTATAGCTTGAATTTTGCACTTATAGCATATCGCACGTGATTCTGACACAGCGATAGATTGATAAGACCCGCATATTAAGGAGATACATAATAAACATGTGACCGCATTCTCTAAGCAGGTGTGCAGACTGGCTAGTCTTAACAGGCTATATGGCAGCAAATCAATGATGGAAGGCAAAATAAAGAAAAATTATAAATTCGACAGCAAAGTTACCTCATAATCCTCGCCCTCATCATAAAATGTTGATGGGAAATGGTGCAATCTCGGCGTGGCTGATGGATTTATGAAATGACTGCGGAGAAAGGATTTTAGAAAATGTTACTAAAAATCTTGAATCTTTATATTTTGAATCTTTTCACGTCAAGAACCCTGATTTGTCTAGACTTATCTTTTATATGAACGAGTATGTTTTCATTGTTAGACTCATCAACTGCGAGATGGATTAGCGGTTGCTGATTGGTCAAAAGCAAGAACCAATCAAACGAGATATTCAACCTCACACGTGACTTTCGATCAGAAACTGTTCATCAGTGCTATTCATTAGCATTGATTTACATCATTCGTTTGTTATTTGTTAGTAAGTATCAACACGGCCTCATTTAAATCCAATTTATTATCTGATGGGGCACCAAGTTGTTACTCCAAGTTTCACGCTTAATTCTTCATTTAAATCAAGCCCCATTGCATGACTTGCTAAAAAGGATTTTGATCCACAGAATTCGAAGGAACGAATTTATTGGATCACTTAAAGATAACAAATTGGTGAAAAAAACCATTTTAATACGGATATATTGGGATAATAGAGATATACTCACACATATGGAAACAAAAAATCAGGAACACCTAAATTCGCAGTTGAGAAAAGGTTGGAAAATCGTCGTCTTCGCGATAAATGACTCTGCGAAAAATGAAAGGGTTCTTTGAGTAAAACAGTAATTTCTAATCGCAAGAAAGAAAGAGCTAACTGAAGGCGTACTTGTATGGGGTTGACTGTATATTAATGTCATAGTAACTTTTAGCTCTGGTGGCCGAATGGAATCCTAGTTGGAGGGGATGGAATAGGTTCTACTCAATGCAGACCGTTGAGATGATGACCGCTTCAAGGGCATTGTTAATACAGAAAATTCGCTTGAGCTGGTGGTGTGAAAACGTTTAGAAGAAGGTTTTGGATACGGTGAGGTGGCATGGTGTTCTCAAGGCTTCTTGAAATATAGAGGATTTGTAAAGAAGATGTTGGACACTTCCCACTCGCAAGAACAAAGCGAGATTAGATTTTCGACGAACCAAAATTTTGAATCGTTAGAGCTTAATAAGATAATTTAGCTTCTGTGTCATATCATGAGAAACTTTTAGCGAATTCTACCCACGCTCAGATTTGTAATGTATTTGCATGCATGGGGCTTTTCGTTTGTCTTGCTGACATCGCGGATGAGGATATTTTAGTGGAGTTTATACTCAATCACATTCACATAACATAAGAAACCATCAACTTGTCCTAGAGTAGTATAGAACCATACTAACTGGTATCACGTATGCTTTCATAATTCTTACATATAGCCAAAAGGACTACAAAGGAGTATCTATTAGTCACTATTAATTAATGTTGTACTGCAATTATGGATGCCAGCCCAAGTTTAGATCTAATTTCATATAAGATGCATGTTAGATATATTATAAAATATTGTTGGTCACTGTCAAAATGGAGAGTTGTGAACCGATAGGAAAGACTATAGTACCTGGCAGGATAAGCGCAGGTAATCTTCCAAAGACTGAATACTTTCAGCGGGGGTGGAACAATGTTGATTACTCGATAATACCTTCTGCACTCCTATTTTTCTTGCGGGGAATCCGATTATTTACTTATTGGAAAAATCCTTTCTATTGTGTTTGTGGCTGTCTTACTGTTTTATTCATGCGACTGTTCCCAGCTCCTCAGACTTTGTGCGTATTACCGAATGCGTGATTTTTGATTCGCTTGTGTGCCGTTTTTGCTGACCTAAGCGGTGTGCACGTTGATTCTACTTTCTTATTTTCGCGACCTCCGTTTCTTACACAGATCCGTTAATCTATATGTCTTTCTCATCTTTATAGTATTATCGTAGTTGGTTGGGAGCATGCTGAGACTAAATAATACGCGAGACAATAGTATAGATGCATTCGGTGCTGTTCCTTAACTGAATAATACTTATTTTCGATTTCCATAAGACAGTGCCGCACAGCTCCTTCCAGTACTTCATCTTGAAGTACACAAGTCCTTATAACAGCAAACAAACAGGTAATATATTGAAGGCCTAAATAATGAGAGTTGGATATCGAATTTGACTTATTTCTTGACTGAGTTTTTTTTGCTCCGATATGATCATCGTCGGTACGACACGGACGAGCAGTTGTCCATCCAAAAACAGGATGGTGAGTTACTCGTAGATTAGTTGAAGGCAACCAGATGATGATGTTCGAAGAGTCACCTGGTTATATGTCATAAATGCCTGTTTCTTCTCTCGTTGGTAGTGTGCTAGCGTGCACCTAGCTGCGAATGCTCCTCTCAAGCCGCGTGCAGGAGCGAGTGAGAACTTCCGCACTACAAGTTGTGAAGTATCACATAGTTATATCTCTCCTTACTCTCGTATTCTAATAGCGTTCGACAAGAAAGCAAGCGGGGTGTAACTTACTCTTAATGAAATCCTCTTAACATAACATCTCTGTGTGGGTATTAACTATCATGAAGCTTCCACTGCTCCCAGCGTAGTGGTGAGATTTCTTGGACTTACTTGTGACAAATCAATAAGATGAATTATTCATAAAACAACGTTGTAGAATCAATTTAGGTGACTATTATCTGAGCATAGACTCTCGGATATTACTGCTTGTAATCTACTCTTTCCAGATAAGTGAGGGTTATAATGCCTCAATGATACATATGATAATCAATAAATGAATCTCTAAAATAGTAATATGTCTCATTTGTGAAAGCTTCCGCGTTTTTGATTCTCGCAAGACATCTATCTCACTCTCTCTGGTTGTGGTCATAGAAACTACAGCAGTCCTCTTAGGATAAGCTCGGTTGTGGGTGCTAAATACGCGTAATAACAGTAGTATATTATCTTAGTAGTTGAGTTATCATGTTGGTTTTCCATTCATAATCTAAATGTATATTCTGAGTGCTCAGAAATCAAACATACTCAATAGCTCCCCAGTATTCTTTTGATTTCTTTACATTTGACTAAGATATTGCTCGGTTAAAAGCATCTGATTTTTTTATAGAACAGTCGTGGTATTATTGATCATGGAGCGTGAGGCTTTGGGTTAGTTGGCCTTCAACCTCTCGTAATTCGGATGTGTTAGGCACAAGCAACTGTAATTAACTTCCAAGCTAAGGTAAGCGATGGGATGGTTTCTCTCATTTCCTGAAGTCAAGAAGACGAGGTTCGGCTCTAGCCCACAGATACTCGACTTGACTCATGAAGGACCATGTCCTCATTTGCAGGGCAGAGTGTATTCTCGTGAGTAGCTCCAGTTGCTAGACTATGCCCATCGTCGAGGAGCCCATGCGTTATACAAATTTGGTTTTGCTGGAATTCAGATAAGATATTGCACATTATGATGTTGCGAAGATCGTATAACCGAAAAAATGTCCTAAATGCGAACAGATACCAAAAGTCCGATCACATCAGTTTGTTCTAGCTCTGACACTCCTCGCTCCGTCGTGATTAGGATTCGCCCTACGCATTACTCACTTTCATCTGAGACAAAGATTGTTCATCCGACGATTCCTTATGCTGTACAAAGGGCTCGCTCACCAGAGAGGGTACCTGCCTACTGAAGTACGACATAACCTTTGAGATGATGTGTGTAGCGCTCGTATAGAGACAAAGCATATAGTTGACGTGAGTGAGTTATGTGCTGTGCTCCTCTCGCACCCTATGGCTGTTAATCCTGATTTCTCAGTATGAAAAGATTGGGTGTCTTAGACGTCTGGTGTGCATGCACCATGACAGAACAACTGTGATGAGCAGTAGTTGGTGTTCGGTTAGGCAATTCAGAGATTTTGAACCCTCCAGACTGCGTTTAAATATCCTCAAACTCTCTCCTCTTATAACATGCTAATTATTTACTAGAGTCATCTTTTCGTTTTTCTGTGAAATAAATCTGAATGAGATCCTAAAGCGCTAGGCCACTTTTGGTTCTGTTAGATCTCTAAGAATTAAGTTTTACTGTGTATTCAATCCTAAGTCTAGTAATTTGTGAATGTTGGGAGTCTTAAGTAATTGTTGTGTGGTGCCGTAACTTATTGAATGTACTGATGACGTGGCACCCATTGTCACATGCATACAAAAGTGCAGAAGTAAAATTTAACGCGCCACAATTAGTCCAGAAGTATCATACCATCTTCTCAATCACAGCTTTTACTACCCTATTTAGATGATCAATACGAATGCTGACAAGGAGAAATACTTAGCCCGAGAAGATATGCAGAGAATCTTTCTTAAGATTTATAAAAACATTTTATTGGGTGTTTAATCCTGACTATAGGACAGAAATTACAATGCAACCTGTTCGGGCCATACGAGAACGAACATAGAGGAAATCAGAGATCTGGACGTACCTGATTTGAAGTGAAATTCTTATCTAAGAGACGCCCTTGTGACCCCGACGCTTGGCTTCCGTCTTTGGGTATTCGCCCAGGTGATAACTCATACGCGTAAGTGAGATGCAACTAGGAAGTCTAATGGGTTTTGGGATCAAGTGGAGCCCAATTCTCTCGCTGTGATTGTCGAGATGAATATCTTGTGTACCTTATGCCCGCTATTCGCTGCCGTTCTTGGTGAGTTCCCGTTTACTTGGTTTTCTACAAAGGAAAACCGAACTTCATTGAGCCTTGTTTTGAAGCTCGGAGGCGAGTAGCGTACGTGTCTTTTTGTATATTCTCAGTCACAAAATCCTATGTGTTAAGATAACGCTGTACAATAAACGCCCTCCTGATGACGTTTCTTATTGACCATCGATACCATGTGCGCTTTGAAGTGACCAGGGGCACCCTAGCCAACAATCCATCTCTCTCTCTTTGCCACCAAACTTCATCCCACGAATACCAAAAAAAAGGAGTGCCGCGGAGAGTGAGAGGAAAGGTCCATCATGTCAAATCATAGTACTCCTAAGTTCGAAAAAAAAAGCGTCAGAATTGCACCCTTTTCCAATTTTCCGCCTTTCAATCAATTGATATACATGCGGCTAATTACTCTAGGCATGCATACACTAAAGCCTTTTATGAAACAATATTTTAGTTCCTTCTATATTTCTTTGTGGCAAATTTATATATAACGCAATTCTCAAATTTCATAGGCTTGTCGCCTAATTCCTCCGCAAAACCTCCTCAGCGACTTTGGCAATGATGCTCGCCAGTCTTATAACTCTCATTGAACTATAAAATTCCGCTCACGTCGGACTATGACCATTGTGGTGCTGACCTCCCGATTTCATATCATTCTGTTTGATTGTTTTGGTAATACTGACGAATGGTAAAAACTTGATTATAGTCACCTAATCAAAAATATTGTGATTCCCTCGCCACCAACCAAAAGCATAAGAACTTTTGAATGAATCCGTCGATTGAATTTTGTTTGCCTCCCGAATATGACTCTCTTCTATTAGTGCTTTCTCTCTTCTGTTTTGTTTTTTCTTACCCTGTCAAAACTTACTTATTTGGCTTACCTGTGCGTAACTTTGTCTTAAACCTGCTTACGTTGATCTTACTCGCTTTGCGTTGCTTGTTATGCAACCAACATTATCTGTTCTAACTTGCTCGACGTTCGTTACTTACATGCCATGTCATTTTATCTAATGATGGTTCCATACCAGGCGACCATACTATGTCTTGGAATAATGTACATTAATTGCATTGGTTAAATTTTTACAGAGTACTGTATATATTAATTAAGTTATAAAGTAACATTGAATGAATGCGTCAACATAATAGTTGTCACATAGTCATATACATTCAGGAACAGTGCTAGAAAAAAATCTGCTGACTTAATTTCACTGTGCGAGCATGCAAGCATATGTATGGCGAACTTCGTTCATATCCACTTTTACTGCCAATTAACTCGCCTATAATCTCACAATTTTTATCTTTTATGGATTATCGGTTTCTCTATTAGGTTGCCTTACCCAAAAATTAAAAGTATGCCAAGAAAATTTTTGTAATCCTTGCTGGAGGAAGGAGTAAGTGGTTCAGTGCGTAACTTGGAATGGTAACTACTCCTCTCTATATGCTAGCATTCAGAAAAGAGATTGCTACTACGGTTTTTTACCCATTATGAGTCTTTACAAACTCACCAAGCCAAAACTTCTATTTGAATATATGATTACATAAAACAAACAAAATAGTAAGTGAATATAAAAGTACATGAAGTGGGCGTAGTGAAACACTTTAGTCATGGGTTTAATATTAACTCTCGAATAAGAATGTTTATAATGG